CAGTTTGGTCAGGATCATCGACACCAGCTGACCTGCTGGAGGTCCTGCTGCTGGATAGTTGTCCTTCTTCTTCTCCTGGTGGATTCGCCAAGGATAAAGTTTTGTGTTTTGTCAGGAAGTCTAACCTCCAACTTCCACCTTCATCCTGATCGTCTCCTAAAAGGTCGTATCCTCCGATCGTAACCATTCAAGTTAACGTGTCAATTTACACCGACTTCTTTCCGTTCCTCTGCGGATCTTTTCTGGACGCCGGAGCATGGCGGATAAATTCAGCACAGATTAACCCGTGCTGGAAAGGAAGTCGGGCACAGACACAAAATAAAACATCCGTCTTCTTTTCAAAATGAAACACTCCAAACACGGGCGGAGACGAACAAGTGAAAGGTTTTTAGATGTCATTTCACCCCGATGACACCATGGATGAGGAGATGCTGATTCTAGAAGTCTAGAAGTAGATTTCCTCCTCTGGAAGGACACAATCTACTGCTTCTACGGTTAGCCTCTGTGGCTGAAGAAAACTCGTTAATACGTGATTCTTGCTGTCGGCGAAAATCTCCGCCGTTCCGGATGTGGTGGACATCCGGGTTAAGTTGTGGAGAAACATCACGGTGCTGTTTTTAGACCCGGTCGTAGCTGGATGGAGGGTGAAGGACAAAGATGGAGAGCTGACGTCAGATCAGACTAAACTCTGTCCCCCTCTCTCCCAGTCCTCGTCCCTCTCTCTCTCTGTCCCTCCTCTGGCGATGGGCAATTAGTGCGTCTGGAGCGCTCTCAGGACGTCACACATGCAGCTGTGATCCTCCCCGCGGAGCAGAGGCTGTCACACTCCTCCTGCTGGGTCTGTTTGGGTTCGGTGCCAAATGAGATTGATAACAGCCTAAATAAAGACGAATCGACCGGCGTTTCACTCCGAGAGCTCTGAGCACCCGCTCCGGGCTGAGTCATCCGTCCTCGGTAACGGCGCTATCGATCTTCACTTGTCCAAAGTACAGTCACTGTCAGAGTTAAAGACGGAGGACACGGCGAGGGGGATGAGGAGGTCAGGGCGCCACGTCCAGGCTGTCTCACTTTGGACTGAGAGAGTGTGATCTAGTCAGTGTGAGGAACTTCACCGTGAGGAGGATCTAGGAGAGAGCTCAGAAAGACGACACACACTGGACGAGAATTTGATGTTTTATGGTCACATGACCCAGAGGCCTGACTACGGTGTTCAGAAAAGGACAAAGAAGACCAACGAGTCGATTTGTGTGACGTGAATAAAAGTATCGTGACGGTATGATTGATAATATCTGTGCCACATGACTTGAACAGGTCAGATCTGAGTGTTAATCATTTTTATTGGAGTCATAGTTTGACCTCAAAAATCTGGATTATATCTGAAGAGTTTCGGGCCCCTTCTGCCATTTAAGGGCCCGTCTGTACACTGAAAACTATAATACTGAATAAGAATAAATAATCAAAAATGTGTGTGATGGTTTGACTGTTTTTAATGCTTCGTTTAAGTTACCTCAGAGGTAAGAAGTCTTGTCCGATTATAAGGCAAGCGCTAAAATAACTGTCGTAGATGTAGCCATCTTGTTTCCGCCTCCGATTTTGCTTTTTACCAACTCTGTAAGTTACTCTGCGTTCCAGTTTCCTCGGAGGTTAGATGTTGGAGCTGGGAATGACGTAACACCCGAGTTGGCGGCGTTTCAGTTAACGAGTTGGAAAACCAAGATGGACGCCTACGGTTACCCGTTGTTAGCTGTTGTTAGCGATACTAGTTGTAAATGACGCACAACAGTATTTTACTCGTACAAACACGATAGCAGCGTGTTCACAGTTAGATGTTGGGCAGTAAAACATAAACCGCTTATTTAATTTCACAAAAACAAAACAAAACATGACGAGAGCTCTCACTGTTCCTCTTTACTGTTGATGCGCTGCCATCTTCAGTTACGTCGAGGTTAGTGAGGATCGTTTAAATTTCCGAGTCGGAAATCAGACTTCAGGGGGGCGTTCCAGATGCATTTTCGTCTCGGAGCTCAGAAATTCTGACTTTCTGGAAAGCAGCGTGAAATGCTGGGAACTCGGGTGTGACGTCATTTTCAGCTCTGACATTTGACTTCCGCAGTAACTCGAACGCAACGTAAAGGTCCTTACACACCAGTGAATTTGTGGAGTGAAGCGAAAAAGCGAGACGAAAATGCGAAAATATTCGCCGGTCCGAAAAATCGCTTTCGCTTATACACACCAGGCGACCACTCTGTGGTACACACTCTCTCCCATCGTTGCTCTTGGTGCCAGTGGTGGTGTGTGTCGTGTGAACTGCAGCCGCATGGGTCTGTGACGTCATCAACAACATGACTTTTGATTGGCCAGAGGTCTAGCAGGTCCAGATCCTGCGAATCTCCGAAAAATTCGACACAAGAGCGAAAAAATAAAAGACGCTTTTCGCCCCGCGGAAAAATCACCGCCGGTGTGGAAGCTTGTATTGACTTTATACAGTTTTTAAAAAAAGGCGAATAATTTGCCTGGCGAATTCGCGCCTGGTGTGTAAGGACCTTAAGTCCTGATTCCAGGTTCCTGCTGACGCTTTGACGCACAGCGTGAACACGTTGGCTCTGAAATCTGTTTCCACTTCCTTTATGAAACACCTTTTGTTTTCTTCTGCTGCTGGGAGGATCCAGACTTCTCTGAACCCCCTAAGTCTGCTAACAGCCCTGAGGGGGGCTGGATGATGACTGACAGGAGGGGGAGGGTTCACAGCCCCTCAGAGGAGAGCGAGCGTACCCCCAAACCTTCAGGGCGGCTCCATTTATCAGACCGGCACAGTCGACCTTGTTAAAAACCCGCCGTCTAGACTCCAGCAGAGGTGTGTTGTTACACTCGGCACGTGCGCACACACACGCTCGCTCTGCCTGAAATCTGTGAATCACAGCTTTAACCTGAAATAATCAAACTGGGCCGGCGGACCTGCCGGTCCTCACTCCGGTAATCAGGTATTTTTCAGGCGTCCTGCTGTTGTTATTCTGTGCATCAAAAGACCTTCATTTGAAGAAAACAAGCGATTTTCTCCCCGAGTCGATCCATAAGCATGAATAATCTATATCTGCTGCCTTTGGCTTTGATCAGGACGGCCCAGAAAATCCATTTGACGATGCTGGAGAGTCATGAATGTGAATGTTACTGCCCAAAAAAGGGGTCTGGAGAATCCATCGGTTCTACAACCCTGGACTCTAAATGAAGACCATGTACAGGGTTTCTTTTGATCCTGCCTGCTCTGATTCCCACCTAGTGACGCCTGACTTTGAAGCTCCGTCTTATTTCCACGCTGCCATGTTGGTTTGGCGCTCTATCGGAGGAGGAGTCGTACGGTCTGCGCCTCATCGGGCCTCGCTTGTTTCTCCATCAGCTGCACAGAATCGGTTCTGAGGAGACCTCTGATGGGAACTTTGATGTTCAGTTAGATCCTTCACTCCGCCGAAAGAGTCGGCCTATCGGTGCTGATCTGAAACGGCAGCTGTCATACTAATAATCCATCAAGAGAGGAGGAAATGAAACAGACAGAGAGGCCTGCTCTGGAGGTTCGGGGGCGCTGGGGTCGCCTCCCTCAGATTCACTGTCTCTGTATTTCTTCATCAGTCAGGAGGAGGGGGACCGCGGGTCTCATCAGATCCCGGTTCAAAGCCAGCATCCCTGATGGTATGGGGATCATATGTGCCCCTGGTAGGGTTAGCTCTCACATCTCTTTAGTTTGACTGATTCACAAACCGTCAAAATCTCTTTTTATTCTATTTTAATTAGAGTCGTACTTTTTTCCGTCAGGGTTGATCGGGATGTTTTTCGTCCTATCACCAAAGTCGGCCTCAGAAAGTTTTGAAAGTCTGTCTCAAGGCCGTCTGAACATTTATGGGGAAAATACTGACCTCTTTATAGCGCCGGGTGTCAAACCTTGTCGAGTCTGCAGTACACACAAATCATGAGGACCTTGAAGTATCCACACAGGGATGACTGGACTCAATGCCACATTCTGCAACGTATGCAAATGAATAATACATGTGAAAGATATATATGAGGCCAAGAGGGAGGTACAAGTACGGCAGACCGGGTTTCAGCTGAAAAAACACAAACTGAGACTAAAAAAAGAGCTTTAAGGAGAGTGAACTGAAAACATGGACTGTGAGACAAGCCCCAGAAAGTGAGACCAAAATATCTGACTGTGTAAACAGATGGGACTCATTTAACAATCAAACAGAGATAGACTTTATCTGAGGCTCCTGCTGAGATGTTAGCAGAAAATGCTGGACCTTCACAGGTCAGGTGACTGTATGTGCAGCCTCTGATTGGTCGAAAAAAAACGACAGAAAATGGAAGCATAAACAGCAAACAATAAAAAAAAAAAAACACTTTTTCAATAAAAAGTGTGTATAAATCATAAAAGATCACCTTCATTTTGAAAGATCTGGATCCAGACGGACTCTGACCTGGACTGATCTTCTCCTGGAAAGTTGGCGGTCTCACAAAACAAGTGGATTTTACAGTAAGAGTCGGCATCATGCAGGTTTATTTCAGATATAGGATTAAAATATATATATATTTTTATTTCAATTTATTTATTTGTTGTATTTTAACTATTTAAATTTTTTATTTTTATTTACTTGTAAATTCTATTTATTTATGTCTTATTTTAACATTTTATTTTTTAAATTTATTATACATTTTTATTTATGTTGCATTTTAACTATTTAAAGATTTTATTTTTATTTATAAAAATTTTAAAATTTCATTCATTTTATTTCATTTATAAATTTCATTTATTTATGTCATATTTCAACTATTTTTATATTTTATTTATAGATTTTATTTATTTATCATATTTTAACTATTTAAAAAGTATATTATTTTTATTTATAAATTATAACTTATTTGTTGTATTTTAACTATATTTAAATTGTATTTTTATTTAATCATACATTTATGTTGCATTTTAACTTTTTAAAGATTTTATTTTTATTTATGAATTTTATTGTCACATTTTAACTATTTAAAAAAAAATTATTTATTTTTTATTCATGAATTTTATTTATTCATGTGGTATTTTAACTTTTTATTGCCATACTCTGTATAATTTGAGAGATTTGTAGTGATATTATATTTGATGCTTTCAGTGCTTCAGGTGTAGCACCGCACGGATTGTGAAATCCTTGCAAAGCTGCTGAACGGCTCGTTCTGAGAGCAAACAGCCTTGTTTGAGATCTTAACGTGGATCTGAGGTTTTGTTCCTCCTTCTAAAAATCCATCATGGCTCCACTCCCAAAACTCCACAGCCGTTTTTTCTTCCAGGGAAATCTGACCTGCTGTGTCTGTGAGTGGGCGTTAGTGTCACATCTGTGCAGAGAAGTGCGTTTTCCTAAACCGAAGGGTCAAGAAAAGACGAGCATCTCCCGACTCTGTTGTCATGGCGACCATCGGACGAGAACATTGATCCTATCTGAGAGCTTACTCCAGGCGAGCAGAGGGAAATGAGGATTTTTAGTGTTCATTTCAATCAGATCTGCTCCTCCTCCTCCTCCTCCTCCTCTTTGGCTCAGTATCTCAGGTTTCATCTGCTGCATTCAGAGCTCATGTGGCGGCTGTCTCTTCCTTTCAGAGCTGTAATGACTGCCGCCGAACGCCAAACCCTTCAACAAAAATAACCAGAAATGAGACGCACTCCAAAAGAAGAGACTTTTATTTAGACGTTTTCGGCCCTTATGAGCCGGAAAGCAAACAAAGAGCATCAAACCAAAAAGGAAGTGTATCCCTCTGATCCCGATAAGTGTGTCATTTCTAAGACGGCTCAGGCTGTCATTACACCGTGGATACCTCTCTTTTGTTGGGATGAAACTCTTCGAAAATACAATAATAGTTGTCATAGAAGAGAGAGTGAGTAGAAAAAGGAATCATTGCACCGTGAAGAGAAAATGCATTCATGGCATAAGAGAGAGAAAAACCTTTAACAGTGAATCTCAAGAGGCACGTATCAGAGTTTTTCACATGATGCTCTTTTTTTTTTTTTTTATCAGGAAAGAGTTTCAGTTCAAGTCAGATTACCTTCTTATTAATCAAGCAGGGAGTTTAGACGGGATCAATAAACAGATTATGTTTAATCTGCGCACACTGATTATGATATTAGTCTGATAAAAGCAGAAAATCAGACAATGGGGAAGATGCACCGTGTGCGAGCAGGAATGTAAAACTCAGAGCATCCATGCGCCGTAAACAGCAAGTGATTAATGTGCAAACATCCCCCAGAAAGAAACCAGACGGATGGAGAGAGAGAGAGGAAGAGAGAGGGGGAGAGAGAGAGAGGGAGGAGGAAACAAACACAAACCGACATGTTTGGTTTTCAGAGATGAGACGCTGTTACATCCACAGAAAATTCAAGATGCTACAACTGAAGAACGAAGAGGCTACAGAGAGACAGAGAACGTCTGCAGGGTTCGGTTCATCCAACACGTGAGCGGAGCGCTCGCTGAGCCCCGCAGCTACATCGCTTTAACTTTAACGGGACTGATACTCAGATCTGAGTTTGGTTAAAAAGACACTTTTACAGTTTCTCTTCTTCATTATGTGTCCGTCAGGGCTGTCACTTTAGAGTCCGAGTTTCACGTCGTGTTGAGTTGGAGCGAAGCATGCAGGTGCAGCAAACGCTCGCTGTTATCATGAATAAATGCACGCCGTGTTTTCTGTGATTGTTGATTTTGAACATGCACTCCTGCACAGTTCGTCCTCTGAAGCCGTCACGGTTTCAGAGCTCGCCGCTGCGGCAGCGGAGTCATAAATCTCTGAGTAGAGGCCGTGACGTTAATTTGATTTACAAATGAAGAAACTGGAGAGAATTGATGAACACGACGAATATGAAATATGGACTTAAAACTGTTCTGCAACGCAAATGATGGAATTTTAAACATGCAATAAAAATATGATTTATCATAATTGACGAATGAAACTGCGATTTAAAGACGCCTTCCTGTGTTGCAGCTGCATTAAGAGTTTATCAGTGACTCTGGGACAGCTCTGGACTACATACTCTGAATTATCCTAGCGGTAGCTCAGCTCGCAGCCCCTCTACACGGATTTTAGGCTTTGTGCTACATCGAGTGTCAGTGTTGGAAAAACCCGATCAGACGTTAAAGTTAACGAACAAAAACAGACTATGGATGTTTTATTTTAAGGTCAGCAGGGACGGATGATCCCGCCTCGTCGAAGAGAACAGCAGGTCCAACAAATACTGAAATCTGCGTTGAAATGAGTGAGGACGTTAAAGACATTAAAAACAAACCAAAACAGGTAAACGAAGATGAAAAGTTAAATTCTCGTACCGTAAATGCTAATGAAACATATATTCCCTTTAAACCCTGGTGCTGACACTGTCTCACCTCCACTCGCTGAAACAAATAAGACAGGTGACAAACTGTTCGACACGCTGGGTCCTAACTCCCAAAAATATCTGCCTCCCAAGGAGGTTTCATTCGGCGTGAGAGACCTCCAACCTCGCACAGACCGGCGCGATAATACACAAGTGCTTCGGTGCAAACGATGCAGATGAGACTCTGTGCCGAGAACAGTCGTCTAAATTTATGGGGATAATGTGAGTAGAAAAAAAGCCCCGAGCAGAAAATAGTTTCGAAACCATCCTGTGGTTCGAGTGAAATGAAGCAGAGGAATGTGCTGGCCAGAGACAGAGAGCACCCACATTCCCACAATGCTTCAGGGCTGTGAGGAGTCACATGGCAGGCGGTGGCGGCGCTCCTCGGCTGCAGACGCCTTCCTGTCAGAGGCCGCCTCAGTCGCCCACGTCGCTGTCCTGATCTCCTATGACCCACAGGAAGTGGAAGCTGAGCGCCAGCAGGGCGGTGCCCAGCAGGTCGCCCAGAGCTGTCAGGTAAGGAATGGAGAAACTGTCCGGGTCTTTGCCGCTGCGCCACATGGAGTGGACCATCCAGTCTGAGATACAGAGGAGCAGCAACACCTGAGAGAGAGAGAGAGGGAGAGAGAGGGGGAGGGGGAGAGAGGGAGAGAGGGAGAGAGAGTGAGGGAGAGGGAGAGAGAGAGAGAGAGAGAGAGAGAGAGAGAGAGAGAGAGAGAGAGAGAGAGAGAGAGAGAGAGAGAGAGAGAGAGAGAGAGAGAGAGAGAGAGAGAGGGGAGAGAGAGACAGAGAGAGAGGGAGAGGGAGAGAGAGGGAGAGAGAGAGAGAGAGAGAGAGAGAGGGAGGGAGAGAGAGAGAGAGAGAGAGAGAGAGAGAGGGAGGGAGAGAGAGAGAGACAGAGAGAGAGAGAGACGAAGAGAGAGAGAGAGAGACGAAGAGAGAGAGAGAGGGAGAGGGAGAGAGAGAGAGAGAGGAGGATCAGAGTCACACACACGATCATTTTAAAGGTACAGAAGTGGATTTAGATCGGAGTTCGTTTGAATCCTGGTTCACAAAACAAAAACCTCGGGCTGCACGAATTTGGCCAAAAATCAAAAATCTATTTATTATTTCTCTGAAAACTTGATTTTTGATCTTTTCATTCAGCGACAACATACAATGTAGTGCATATGCCGAGCCTACGGTGGCCTGGAGGAGTGAGACATGAACGAGAGGAAAATCAATTTGATGATTTTCATTTTTTTTTAACATCGTCATAATCAAATTATCGATGAATCATGCAGCCCTACCAACACGGTTAAGTGGATCTTTATGTAAGCGGACTACTGTCCTCCTCCCAGACTGTCCAGCTGCAGCTCAGCTCACAGACCCCTAAACCCTTCTAGTCATGATCACACAAACTCTAACTTCCTTAAGCAGTGACGAAGATCATTTTACGGCGGCTCATTTTACGGCGGCTTTAAAAAATCAAGTTTCCTGTAAAAACCTTCAAAACAACCAAGAAAAGATTGAATTAATAAAGTTTAGTGCTCTCTCTCTCTCTCCCTTTCTCTCTCTCTCTCTCTCTCTCCATCTTGGCTTCACAGCAAACCCATTAAGTTATTAGCTGAATAACTTCCACATTAAGTGAGACAGAAAGTACATAACAGCCAAACGCAGCAATGAGCTTTTCTGATGAGTGTGTTCAGAGTAACGGCAGGACACCTCATCATCATCGTCACATCAGACTGAGAGTTCAAACAGTCTGTTACCGGGCAGATTAAGGATTTAAGAGTCCTACTGAAGACCAGCTACTGAGTTTGAGTTTGTTTTGTATTTATTTCCTCGTTTTTGTTCATTAAAACCGTTTAAAGAGGCAATTAAAAAGACAAATGTGAGAGAAGACGGATGAGAGGAGGCCGTCTGAGCGTTATTAATAGAAGAAGAATAGAAACCAAAGTCAGATAGGGAGAAGAAAAGCTGGTGTTATCAAAGCTGGGAGGAAATAAGTGCTTCAAAATGCCATAAACACTTTAAGTGAAGAGGAGGAGGAGGAGGAGGAGGAGGAGGAGTAATGGACGGAGCAGCAGACCGAGAGGAGAGTTAAGAGAGTGTTATTCATAATTCAAGTTTCCACGCATGGAGGAAACGGCGCCCGGAGAAAAAGAGAAGTCTATTAAAAGATAAGGACCGGTCTATAATTTAGGGGGAAACGAGCTGTCGTGAGTCGGGGGGGAAACATTACAAACACACAAAAACAAAGAAAGGTGGGTTTAGAGGATCATCCACGTACGAAGATCAGAGCGGCCATGACGGTACAAGGAGGACCGGAGATGAGAACTCTTCATTCTGACACGAGTTCTGATTCGACCCGTTTCTCAGAGGAAGGGTCAGAGTTCATGAGAAGAAACATGTAACAGGATAAGATTTATGTCGCTTATTTTTAAAGACGTTTATTAGTTTCACACTTTTCTTCGTGTCACCTGAAGATCCAACAAAGACAGAAACACACAGATATTCCAGCTGTTATCGATCACTGATCCATGATCAGGTAAACCGACATGTTCAATAACGTCCTAAAACAACTCTTCACACGCTGACGATCACACAATATCAGAAACACGTACATAAAAACAACTAAAATTCAGTCCAGAGCTCAAACCAAAAATGGAGAAAAAAAAACTACTACCAAGTAATTAAAAGTGATTATTTCTGACGTCAATATTTTTTTACGAACCCGTATCCTGTCAACACAAGCGTTCACATCAGCGATATCCTGCGATATTGCGGCATTTATTTTTTCGTATCACGTCGATTTTTCTAAAGTTTCCCATACTGTGTGTCCACTTCTGACCAATCAGATTTCGTGTTGTTGTGATTCACCGGTATATCAAACATGGCCGACCGGCTGATCGTTTACGTGTCGGAGGACAGAGAGATTTTTGATAAAAGACACAAACATTACAAAGATAACGACCTGAAGGACGACTTGTCAGATTTCTCATATGACGATGGTTTGTGAGCTTTAACAGTTTGATAAACGTCTTTGTTTTAACTCTCTTCTGTACTAACTGTGTAAAATGACGACCATTTCATCTCCGTGTGGATGTCTATCTGCATCTCTGGAAACGATCATGTGACACACAGAGTAACTCTTTTATGGCGCCTGAGCGTGTCCGACCAAAACAACCTTTATACACACGCTCTGTACTCTTCTTCTGTCTTTTGTGCATTTCCTGTGCAGCGGTACAGCGCCACTTACTGTCTTGGCATATGAACTACATCGTTTTCAGAGAGATGATAGAAAAACTTTTTATGTGGTTATTAAGTTATTAAGTTTGGTGAAGTTGTCGCTGAATAAAGAAATCCAAAATCGAGTTTTCAGAGAAAAAAATCTAAGTCGTGCAGCCCTACTTGCAACCATCACCTCCCTGAAAACCGTCGTCCATCATTGACCCCGCCGACCCCTCCTCAGGAGCGAAGTTTGTTTTTGTTTCAGCGAACAAAGATGAGTAGAAAAAAAAATTCCATTTGTTTGTTTTTCAAGGATTAGGAGGCGTCCAATTTACACATTCAGAGGAGAGAAATGAAAAATGAAACATCGCCGATCGTCGATCGTGTTTCTGTATTTGGTCCTTTAATCACGTCTGAGGGGAGAGGAAGCGTCTCTACATTAAGATAAAGCTGTTTGATCCCCCGTGATGACCACATTCGCCCGCATCCGTCTCTGTCTCAGTGATTGTCCAATCACAGAGCACTTACACAGGTGTCAGACAGCAGAAATACGCAGCAGAAAGAAAATGAGTCTTTCGGAGGGAAAACTGCTGCTGGATGGAGCTTCACTCCGCTTTATGCTCAAACGCCTGCAATCATGCAATTTTCTCTCTTTGTGCTCCAAATAGAAAAAAAAGAATATTTCATGTTTCCTGACAAACAGTTTGGTCGGACAATTTAAACTGTTTTTAGAAACATTTCTCTCTATTTTGATCCTTTTGTATTAAAACTGCTCCTTTTAGCTCAGAGAGCGGCGCTGCTGTTTGACAAAACTCTGAACCCTCCATCTTTTAAACGTTCGATTTGACTCACTTTTACGTGTTTTAAGTATTTTTATTTCACAGTCAAAGGAGACAGAGGTTCTGCTGTTGGAGGATGTTCAACAAGCTCGAGGCCGTCATGTACATTTTTACACAGAGCTTCATTTATTGTTTCTTCTATCCAGCCGTTTTCTTATTCACGTTTAGTGTTTCCTCTTTTATCGGTGAGTTTTTCTCTTCGTGAAGCTCTTTTGTAATTTCTGACTCATTTCAAACATTCATGCAAACCTTGAGCATTATTATAAATGTCATCACTGTGAGAAGGAAATGAATTCTGACTATTATTTATTAAAACAAATGATCAGGTCTGATCAGGAGTCGCAAAACAGCCCTCCTAATAAACCTGCATACATGCCACCTCCTTTATATACCCTATGAAACTGTCTTATTCCTGTCAAATAAACCAGTAAACTGAATAAATAAATATATATATTTATGTGTAATATTCTTAGTTTTGTGCATCAGGTGTGATCTATTCTTGAGTTACAGCTCCTTTTTTATTCTGTCTGTCGGCGTCAGGAAGTTTCAGCTGCTCTTTAGTCTGAAATGATGATGGAGTCACTTTCTTGTAAATAAAGGTTAAAAAAATAAACTTGTTTGTTTATTTCAGACTCTGATTTATCAGTGAGACAGTTTCTAAAAGTGTTTCCAGCTAAATTCAGTCACTGCTCAGGATTTAATTTCACTTTAGTATCCAGAGATCGTCTGAATCAGCTGATTTCGTACGTGTTCAATAGAAATTTAGACTCTGACAAACTGGTTTATCTAAAGGTAAATATAAAAATCCAAATTCACAATTCATCGAGTCTGCAGGTGCTTCATTTCCTGATAGTCCACATGCAGGTCTGTACATGTTTATATTCCTTATGCTTTTTCAGACTGATGTGGATTTATAAATCTGCAATAAACTATGAAATAACAAACCAGGACTCTCTGACATTAAACATCTGTGTTTGTTTACATCTAGTCAGTTCAGTTTTAGCATTAGCATCAGCTGAGACCGCAGCAGGATAACATCTGGAGAATTCAAAGACTGCACACCTGAGAGAGTGACAGGTATCAGACATTAAAGGTCACTTTTGGCTGTCGGGGACCTCTTTGTATGTTCAGCCATTATTGCAAGAAACTGACCATTAAAACCTGGCTTCTGATTGGGCCTTTACAGGTCATGTGATTGCTTATACAGCCTCTGATTCGTCGACGGACGAGTTTACGACCAAAATCACAAAAATGATTACATAAATCAACACAGATTACTCGGCTCTCTCGGTCTCTCTGGAGAGCTGTCGGTCTAACGAAGCGAGTGGATTTTACATTAAGTTCATATACTGAATATCTATATTTCGTTGTTTAGGACAGCAGTTTGGACCGCTCCTGTCCTCCGTGATTTCTTCCTGACTCAAACTATTTCTGCTCTGGAACAGACATGTGAGTGTACTTTGGCTGTCGGGTGCGTTTTCTGATCTTTTTGACCCTCCTAGGTATCCATTACTTAACGTTTGGAAAAGCAGAGATCAGTTAAAATCATCAAACAGAGTTTTAACTCCTTCAGAGTCATATTCGTGTCACTTCAGGGACCGAGACGGAGCTCTTCTCTGCTCGTTTGCTCAGATTTACCTCTCCGCGCTTCCTCTGCCTGTCTGTTTCGATTTGGTATGCGAGTGTATAACGAGCCTAAATCCTGAGCTAACAGAAACCTGCAATCCCGCCTGAAAGAGCGCACACCGTGTCCCTTAATGTCACTCCATTAGCTGCTTTAGAACACTGCAGGTGTTTATCATGGGGGCCGACATAATTGGATTTTGTTGTACTCTTGAAAAATAAGTGCTCGCTGGAGTGCTTGATTTGCAGACCATTACAAGCTGTTTCACATGGTCGATCCAATACTGAATGATAACTCACTCTAGTGCATGACTTGAATAGAGTTCAGCTCGGCAATGAGTTTATTATACACACACTCGGGTTTGTTTACTGTAGCATTTTCTCTGCATAAGTGCTTTCATTATAAAAACAGCCTTTCAGAGGCAGACGGTGCAACACCTCCACTCAAACCGTCAGAAATCTACCTGAACAGGATTAATGCACAGCTGACTCTGACCTTTCCTGGATCTGCACGCGTGTATAAATCATCCAGCGGCCGATTATCCCCCTGACTGAGACCAAAACACCTTCATTTTTAATTATGTCATTAGTGTGAGTGTTCCCGGGAAGTGTGTGTCTCTATGATGTACGAGTGTTTTGGCTGCTGGGTGTCAGTGTCCTGATCTCTCCTTATTAATTCTCATTTTACCAACCTGACCGTGAACGCCTCACAGCGTGATCGTACGTCACCTGAAACGATTCCTCGAGTACCTCAATTACAAATAATGATCGAGGAACTTCCTCTGCCTCCAGTTCTCATTTATCAGCTCAAATCGTCACTGTTTCACACGGATTATTTTCAAGGTGACACAACGCGCTTACGTCCCCACGGTAGAAGGAGGAGTAGGCGCGGTTTTGGTTTTGCAGAGCGGAAAAACTGAAAATGATGAAACAGGCTTTTCCTCTGCAGAGCTCCAGTAGCTCATTAGCTATTCGCCGCTGAGTCGTGGGCGGAGACAACGCTGCTCTGCACCCGCCTTTTTACGCTAGCTTGTAGCCTACGATTCAGCTCTTGGACACTGACGACTTTGGAGACATGATAAAAGTTAACATCATAATTAGCTTTCTTACGAGCATTGCAATCCGCTAACGCATGCACTTGTTCTGCCTTGTTTCTAGAAAAGGAAAACAATTGATTGTTCATTATAAACTTAAATATCTTATTTTCTCTTATATATCAAATAATTGCAATTTAACTTTAATAAATTATGTTTTATCTGATCGCTCGATTAATCGATGAAATATTTGGTAGTCCATTACTAAACTATTCAACAGCTGCAGTCCTACTCCTCACTTAGTTAGCTAACGAGTTTTCATCCTGCTTATTTCAACACAGGATTATGATTTTTAACTTCAGGACTTCCTCTAAACGCCGACCAGGAACTGAATATTAAAACCTGGCTTCTGATTGGGCCTTTACAGGTCAGATGATTGCTGATACAGCCTCTGATTTGTCGACGGATCATATTTTATATATCATAATTTTGCAGGCTTCCATTAGCATAGTTAGCTTACGACCAAAATCCCTAAAATTATTAGGTAAATGAACACAGATTACTCGGATCTCTCGGTCTCTGAAAATACTCAAACATTCAGAGTTGCTGAATAACTATTGCTACGTTCCAGTTACCTCGGAAGTCGGCGTTCAGGTAAACAAGTTAGAAAACCAAGATGGACGCCTACTGTTAGCCATTGTTAGCTGTTGTTTACAACTGTCAGCTGTCATTAGCCGTTGTCAGCAGTTGTTGTTAGCTATACTGGTTGTTAACAACGCTAACAAAGTATTTTACTCGTACAAACACTATAGCGGTTCGACGTTGGGCAGTACAACATAAACCACTATTTAATTTAACAAAAATGTCGGATTATGACGTTGTCGTTCAGTCAGGATTGGTGAGGATTGTCCAACCTGCCGATTAGGATTTATTTGCGACTCGGACGTCGGACATCCTGACTTCCGAGTACAACTGGATCACCGGAGAGCTGTCGGTCTAACGAAGCGAGTGGATTTTACAGTAAGTTCGTATACTGAATATCATTGTATAGGATAGCAGTTTGGACCGCTCCTGTCCTCCATGATTTCTTCCTCGCTCAAACTACTTCTGATCTGGAGCAGATTCCCGACTCCATCCCTCATCGTATTTATTAAAAATTGAGCTTACAAAACCTTCAGAGGATCAAAAAAACAATCATTTCGACTAAACCTCTAAAGCTGAACTGTCTGTATTTACCTTTAAAGCCACCTCAGTGAATTAATTTAGTGGTTTCCATATAAATGTAAAAATAACTCTGTGTGAGAGAGAAGATGCGAGACCCCCCCACCGTAATTTCCATCATCTTTTTAGTCGAGCGATTAAACGCCACAAAGCCCAGAGGATGAAAGTGTCCACGGCTCGTCGTTATAAACAAAACCCAGGAGGGAATTTGACCCCGTTGGTTTTTTGTGCATTTAATATTTGACATCTGTGGTTTGGAGACAGTCAGCGGTCAGCTAATAAGAGACTTAACATTCAGGTCGTGAACTTCCATTAAGCATCTGCAGCCTGGTAGTTTCAGCCTCAACAGTAACAGGAGGTGAAGAAAAGGCTAGAGAGAGAGAGAGAGAAAGTAGACTTCAAACATCTCTATCTCTGAGAGCGGGAGTTAATTGTTCCTCTCCGTGCTGCAGATTCAGTGCCCTCTGTCCTGGTTAACGAAGCATGCTGTTACTAAACCCCCTTGAATCTGTCCGGTCCCGTCTTTCTCCAAGTGCACTCGAAATGACTCCTCACATCCTGGCGTCCTGAGACCTGGGGACGTTTCTGGGACCTCTCTGGGCCGTTTGGGGAGCTTGTTCCTGGTGCCTGCATGTTTCATTTCCGTGTAATTGCCTTACAAAATGAGTTTGGGATGCATTAAGGTCCAGAACGACTTCATTATCACTCTGCCACATTCTGTTCAGGTCAACATCATCATCATAGCACCGGTCCAGCTTTCCCACAGAGAGCTGTTTGAGCCTTCAGTTAGTCATCTGCAGCTCTCTCCTCTAACTCTTCATCTACAGCCTGTTCAGATTTCATCTTCTGCACCATCTGCTGTCAGTCCTGACCCACCCAGATATAAATACTCTCTTCAGTAGCTTACCGGAGAAAAATCAGGAGAGGGATCGATGTCAAAGAAGAAAAAAAGATGAATTCGAGTGGTTTTTTCCTCTACATGCATCGGACTGTTCTTATAAAACGCTCAAAACTACGCCACGCTACTTATCGACCTTCACCAATAAGTCCGGCCCAGACTTATTTAAGGTGGTACGACTCTGTTTTGGATCTCTCAGCTCTTTCTTGTGCATACATGGAAAACCAAGACCAGGAGAGCAGCAGCAAAGACCTCCAGAGTCGAGCGATGCACAACGTTGAAGAATGTATTTAAGAGCTCGACTTAAAACAAGACAAATGATATTCGATCAAAGCTTCTGTAAGGAGTTTTAATAGGCTATGTAATAGGCTGAAATGAACAGTAATGCAACTCTATGATGTACAAAAGCCAATGAGACCAGTGATGATAAAATTGACGATGTCTATACTCTAATTTTTAATAATAATAATAATAATGCATCAGATTTCATATAGCGCTTTATCAGAGACCCTCAAAGCGCTTTACATTGGATACATCATTCATTCGCTCACACAGTCACACTTTGGTGGTGGTGGAAACGTGGCTGCCATTCTGCGCCTACGGCCTCTCCGACCACCACCACACAACACTCAAAATCATACACCAGTGGAGGACACACACTGGGAGCAAGGTGGGTTAAGTGTCTTGCCCAAGGACACAACGGACAGACTTGGATTAGGGGGGAATCGAACCGCCAACCTTCCGGTTATTGGACGACCGCTCTACCTCCTGAGCTACTGCCGCTTAATGCCTTTAAGTGCTGTGAGGGGGTAGGTGCGTGAAAAAAAACTGCTGTAGTTACTTTAACAACAGCGAAATATTCAAGATGGGTCGTAAACTTAATTTTTAAAAGACAATAATTTTTTTTTTTGTCAGTTAACATCACTTTCAAACAAAATCATCAGTAACAGGAGTTACCATTTTGTCCACAGGGGGCGCCAAAGTCAACAGAGACTGAAAGTTCCCCACCGCACTGAGTCTATAGGGTCACAGCCATAGTACTAGACACCAAACATCTTTTTAACTTTGACTCATTTCTTTAGCAAAGAGACTAAACACAACTCACCTACTCATCTACTCTCAGGCCAGTCCATTACAGACTACAGAGGGGTGCCACAGCTCAAGGAAGAACATTTATGTTTCATTTTTTTACATTTATGCTTCTTCATTATGATTGGCTGTAAATTTTGATCTCAGTGTTTTTTTTTTTTTTCTGGTTAAATCGAATAAATAATTTTGTAAAGAAATAAACGCTCTTCGCTCCGTCTCCCTCCTGACTGTACGCTCCTGTGGTCTAAGAGTCAGAGCTGACAGAAGCAGAAATCCTGATCTGTGGAGATAACACAGATAACATCAGATACCTTCGATAATGAGCTTCACCTCCAGAGCGCCCCCGTGTTAAAGAGCCGTAAACAGCGCTGTTAACGGTTTATAATGAACCGTGCGCTCCACATCTCCGCTGTTGGCTTGAGTAGTCTCTAAAACTGCATTTCCACAGTCACGCGGAGTTAAACTCTGAGTCACCTTTCCAGAGTTTCCTGACAACGACTCTATCAAAGCGCTGTCAGGGTTCATTCGGCGGCGCTTCACTCTTCCTCTGTTTCCTGCTGGTTAATACAGCGCCGTCAAAAACCATGTCGTGTCGTATCGTTCAGGTTTGTTTTTATGTTTTTACTCTTGGACACTTTGGATTTGTGTAAAACCAGGAACCACAAAAAGCAGAACTCTGGTGAATTCAGAGTCATTTCTCTTTCTCACAATGAGTCTGCAGAAACGTTTCAGTTTAAATGCTTTTCACTTTAAATATAGCATTATCAAACCGCAGCATGTGCAATTTCTGCTTATCGCTGCTATTAAAGAAACAGACTCTTACACTTCTTTCTACTTGAACTGAGTGACATTATCTAATTCCACCATGCTGCGGACATCTTCACCAAGTCGTGTCCGGCCCTGCGCTGGGACAAAAGAGGAAATATGAAACTATATTTTAAGGTCTGTGTTGAATCTGAGGGGATATTGTTGCATGTTTGGAGTTTTAGGCTTCCAGATACGCAGGACGTGCTCCAATTATAGCAGAGTTTCTACAACCAGGCCTTATTTTCACAGATTTTTGAGGTCTGAGCGACTAATTGGTACAAAAAGTTTGGGAGTTTCTCCAACAGATTTCTTCAACCTGAGACTCTGAGGACTCTGGTTCCTTTGGGGGTTAGAAAGGTGTCGGAAAAACTGCCTGATCTACGTTTGTTTCTACCTCGAGGAAACGGATTCCTCTGGTAAAAACATCCCTTCACCCCGGTTCAGATCCTTTTTAAACACGAAAACCGTGATCTGTCTCTTTGCAACACAAGACTAAAGTGAAACTCATGATCCCTTTTTCTGCAGTTTTTGTCGAGAGTTTGGAGCTCTGTAGAGACTGAAATAAAAACACAGATTCAGGTTTGACAGAGCGTCTAACCTCTGACTGTTGTCTGGAGAGAATAGAGGGTGTTTTAGAGGGTGAGCAGAGTTCAGCACAGACTGGAGGTGGTGGGGCGTTGCTGCGGTGGATGTCGAAACAGAAAAACTGTCGAGTTGGAAAAATATTTGCTTGTTTGAAAAAAGTATGGACTGGAGCACGTTAACAATCTGGAGACTGTCAGATAAATATCGTCCCATTCTGGCCTGATAAAGGATTTCAGCGGCTCCACAGTTCAGGGTCTCCTTGGTCCTCTTTTTACTTCTCTGTAAAGGTGAGTTCATCGGCACATGAGTCAGCGCCGATCGCAGCTTACCGTTTCCATTCAAGTTAATTTGTCAATTTCCACCGGCTTCTTTCCGGACCCCTGCGGTTCAGAGGGCTTCGTAGCTGATCAGCAGGTCTCTATTTTTTCTGGACGCCGCAGCATGCCAGATAAATTCAGCACAGATTAACCCGTGCTGGAAAGTAAGGTGGGCACAGATACGAAATAAAATCTGCCTTCTTTTCAAAATAAAATACTCAGTTTTTTGGCAGGATCGTATTTTCACCCCGTTGACACCATGGATGAGGAGATGCTGATTCTTAAAGTCTACTGGTCTGGACAGAGTTGATTTCCTCCTCTGGAAGGACACAATCGAGGAAACAACTCGTTATCGTGCGATTGCACGGGAATTTCCGTGTTCTTGTGAGTGCTCACGATTCCCACTGTCCGAAATCTGCCTCATCAACGCATCCGGCAGGGGTTGGTGGACAGTGAAAATCGCTGCTGTTCCGCATATGTCGGAAATTTCATCATCAGGTCCAGGTTTTAGAAAACACTCATCATGATGGCTTGGTTTTGTGCTGGCATATTCAAAATGAACCCTCCCTCAGTTTAAAGCTTTGCTCATTTACTCACTCACTCCGGGTTGTTTGAGGGCGTGAAGAAAAGAGATGTAAAGTGATTCCAGTTATCAGAGATGCAGCGATACTCGGCGCAGGGCCGTTCGAGGACACTCACCGGAGCTATTGACATCCATAGCTAATGACGCCGTCATTCAAGTGTCTGAACCGAGCCGCTCTGATTTCTCTCTTTCCCACCGTCGAAACAATCGGTCACAAACAAGGACGTAGAATTCATTAAAATAGATGTTCCTCAGGAGATCAGGTTTTATAAATTAAAATAGAGGCTGACAGTCCTAAACCCTCCAAATGTGGAGCTTATGTGTTCATTGGAGTGCACTGTCAGGCGAGATAATGAGAGTGGCAGAATATTTATTACCATCATTAGTGTCTGGGTTGGAGTGTAGGTGGAGAAGCTTACAGAGGGTGAAGTATACCTGCTCATAATCCTCAAACACCCACACGTTTGTTTTCAGAGAGATAAAGATGTCAGAGAGAGCCGTGCACTCTTCAGCGCCGAGTGAAATAACCGAGCGCTTTTCCTTTATCCCTCCTCTTCCTCCTGACGTATCGTTGAGGCGTTTCTGAAACCTCCTCAGTCCTTGTTTTGGATCGGTAATCCTGTATTTTGCAGATTAAGGGCCAAGAGGAGCTGCACCTTTATACTGTCATGTTACTCTTCACCTGACCTGACAGAGCTACTGTAATCTAGTCAGGATGAGCGCCGCGACTACGACTGCACGACTAAAATACTGTAGCTGGTGATGTTTAGTCTGACACTGAGCTCATTACCGTCTTAACAGAAATTCGGGTTTCTGCCTTCACATCCCTCAGCAGCTTCATTAAACATACAGCAGTGCAGAAGCACAGGCATGGACAGTGGTGGGCCTCATTATGACTGAAAATCAAACGTGTCACGAAAGCCGAGAAACAAAAGCCTGCAGACTGCGGACCTCCACTGGGCGGACTGGAAGCTTATTTGAAGCATTTCAAATTAAAAGCGATTACACCGAGAAGGACGTATTTTGTCGGTATATTTTATTTCTTGGGTCTTTATTTTATGTTTATAATGTTAATATGATTTTTTGTGTGTTCATGTGCTCAACAAAGACAAGATACAAAACTGGATGACCACTTCAAACGAACTGGAGCGCGTGAGGAAAACCGTCACCTCGGGTCCTCTCAGTGGAGGTCTGCAGACAGATCCCTCTCCAAAGTTCTGTGTGACGGTCTGACACGAGCTCCTGATTTCAAAGACGCTGGTTTTAATTGCTGCACTTGATGGCATAAAAAAAGCACTGATCAGTTGGTCTTGGTTCAGTATCACCTTGCTTAACCTTACTTATTCATTTAGTTCATTATTCATTGATTCACTCCAACATCATTTAAAATAAAGATTCTCATTTTTCTCAGGTCGAATATTTATATGTGATTAAAATGCGATTAATTAATTGCAAAGACTCTGATTAATTAGATTAATTTTTTAACCGAGTCCCAGCCCTACTATGAATATGAAATGGTCACGCTGCAGCACATCAGCTGATTTTAACGCTGGCCCAAATCAGCTGATAGGTCAAAACAGACATTTGCTTCCTCTGCAGCTCCTCCCTCTACACTGTGTCAGGTATTAAACAGCGTCAGGTGTCGTCTGCTCTGTACCCCTCTGTATGGAGGTTTTGCTGCTGCTCTCTCCGCCTCTGGTTCTGGTACTTCACGTTCACTCAGGGAACTCTCAGAATCGAGCTGTACCACCAAATATCAGTCTAATTTTACCAACCCAACCTTGAACACCATCCATCCATCCACCCATCTATCTTTAACTGCTTAACTGGGATTGGATCGCAGGGGCAGCAGCTTGAGCAGAGAAGCCCAGACTTCCCTCTCCCCAGCCACTTCGTCCAGCTTCTTCTCCTACCCAGGAGGCACCCTGATTAGATGCCCAACCACCTCATCTGACTCCTCTCAGTGCGGAGGAGCAGCGGCTCTTCTCCGAGCCCCTCCCAAAGACTGAGTTTCTGACCCTATTTCTAAGGGAGAGCCCAGCCACCCTGCGGAGGAAACTCATTTCGGCCGCTTGTACTCGCGATCTTGTTCTTTCGGTCATTTCCCACAGCTCCTGACCAAAGGTGAGGGTAGGAACGTAGATCGACCTGTATATCGAGAACACCTCACAGAGTAATCTCGGGTCATCTCGGTTAATCCTGCTGATTCAAACTTTGATGATTTTTAACCAACAGGACTCACTCTATGTGATCAGACGTCCCATCAAATAAAGGCAAAACTCTAACCTAAAGATGACTGCAGAATCACTGTGTTATTTAATTATCCTCATCTGAGATCATCTATTATGATTTACTAAACGATCTCCACCTAAAATCAGCAGGTAGGAACCGAGTTCTGGACCAACAAAGCACATTTACAGACGCCGATGATGAAGCTGATTTACCTTCTGAAAAACATCCGTTAAAGGTTTTTGTTCAGCTCAGAGTTTTTTTAATCAATACAGAATCTTTTCATATATCAGAGATACAAATAAGCCGTACAACAAACACGTCTTTAGAAAAACCTTCAGTCGGTACTGAACTTTCTTATTATGTGCAGCATCCAGCCTTGTAATTAGTGTCTGCTACTCTGCCTGTGTCTGTGCAAACACACCGATGATGATAATGCAGATGAAATTAGATTTTGCTGAATGCTTCCATAAACAATCCTTCTATAATAACCTTGTCGCTGCGACACACTTGGTTGAAACCTTCTCCTGGCGCAGCTCTTCGGGCGGGTTTTCCCAAATGTCCCAGAGACGGATCAACAAGGACGATGAGGAGGAGGAGGAGTTCATGAATTATTCTGACATCCCGGGTCTGGAAGTCTTAAAGCTTTAACCTGAACATTTAAAACCTGCTGAACCAGGTGATGTTTGAGGTCCTGATTCCGCTCGATGAAAGGATCAATATTTTCTTTAGTGGGTGTAAATACGAGGCTGGATTCAGACCTCTGTGCATGTCTCTGCCATTGGATGTTCTCTCTGGGCCTAAAGCGCCCCTAAAGCGGCTCTACTGGCCCTGGTCTTAATTGATTTGGAGAGTCTCCAGCTCCTCCGTGGTCAGGATTACATCCTTAATGTTCCACGTCTGCACTGAAGATTAAGCAGAGCCTTAAAAAGCCCGGAGCAGAGCGTGCACAAAAAAAAAAAAAAAACACGGACTGAATTCCTCAAATTCCAACAGCGGTCACTCATGACTCAAACCCTCGCTTCATAATTATCTTAAGTGCTGCCAAAACAGAAACTGGCATTCGTCAGATTCCTTCAAGCGTCGCCTCGAACCACAACGCTCGAGGAAATCTCTGGAAACGCACACCTGCTACCGGCGGAAACACTCAAAGGAACTTAAATCCCACTTTAAGAATAACTTCCTGTATCAAAAATGCAAATTAACTAAGATTAATTAAGAGGAGTCAGGTGAGTCAGGACGCAGAAGACTGAAGGACAGAAGCTTTTTTACTGTCATTCATTCTCACAGTCTGTCTTCAGAGCTGCATTTAAGGTGGTGTCGACAGGAGTCCGTTAAAGAAGCATCTTTTTTTGTGGTGTATTTAAAAAAATCTTCTAATATCAGTCAATAGTTATTAGTTATTGATGACATTTGGTAATATATCGATATCTCTGTGTTCTCTTATATCTGTGTCGTCAACATTTGAACATTTTTGAGCGGTCCACAAGAAGAGAAGAAATAATCGCAGGAGGGAGATTTTAAAAATTTTCATTTAAAATTTCATGTCAAGATTTTAATTTTCTTGAATAACTAAATTCCGACATTACTCACAACAGTTCGACATTTTGTAATCTTAAAATTTTGACTGTAATCTTTAAATTTCAGTTTTTAATGTCGAAATTACATATTATTGACATATTTTTGATTCTTTTAATCCCGAAATTTCAACCTTCATCTCCTTCCTGTAATTATTTTTCCCCTTCATGAGGCCCTAATCCTCTTTTCGTTGTTTCTTGTCAAACGGACCTGCTGTAGCGTGTTGTAGCGCCATCGCTAAACTGTCCTCCCTCGGGTCCTGGACTATGTCACTTTATCCTCGTTGTAGAAGTCCTGCAAACATTGTGTTTGCTGGTAGTCTGTTGGCATCTACAGTAGCACCAATGCTTTTGACTTTCACCTTGACTGGGCCCCATTTGTAATGATCTGAAGTATTTATCTGCATTATATCTGAATTTAATTGGAACGATACGAGCGAGCAGGAGCGTCTGTTTCTGAAGACACTCAGCCGTCTCGATTCACACTCCTCCCACACATGGTCGATCTGATATAAAACTACACGGTGGGAGGAGTCACTCTTGATTCGTCTCACGCTCACCTGCAGCATGGCAGCAGCCAGGTAGACGGACATAAAGATGGGCGTCAGGGTGGTGTGTCCGCTCTTCATCAGGTGGATGGTGTAGAGGAAGATCAGGTGGCCGGGGATCACCAAGAGGAGGAGCACCTGAGCTGAGCGATGATTGGCTCCTGAGGGGATAGAGGTGAACGTGAAGAAAGCAGGAATCAAACTGAGCATTTATTAAAAAAAAACAACATGTCTGACAGAAGCGGACCCCCCACCGTCCCCAGAGTCTGGAGTCCTGCTGGGTTTTATTACAGACCTGTAACAACAGATTAATTTACACCTGGGACAGCAGGAGACGGCAATTACCCGCCTGCTCGTACGGAGAGGCGGCTCACCAGGATGAGAACTTAACGCCAACGTCTCCTCGCTTACTGTGAATTTCAAACCTGGTTATGATCACGGCAGATTTCTCAGTGAAGCCCGTTTCCTCGGGTGAATCATCGACGTGGTCTCACCTGTGCCGAAAAAGGTGCGGCAGGGGTAGTAGCAGCCTTTGGCCTCGTCGGGGACCTCTCCAGGAGCACAGTGGAAATGCAGGTGAGTGGAGATCCTGCTGGACTGGATGGCTACCAGGTTTCCCCCGATTCCTGGAGAAGATAGAAAGGTCATGGTTCGTGGATGGAGCAGGAAGTCAGGAAGGAGCGGGTAATGAAGCTGTTATCATCCGCTGTAAACGATCCCAGAGTTTCATTTTAAAGACCGAGACCAAAACCACGTTTACAGGGGAAGATTTCAGATCACTCCTGATGAAACAGTGGACTTTTAATCTTAGAGAGAGTGAAATCTTCATGTGAAAAGAGCTTCTAGCTTCATTATTTAGAGGTTCTCAGATAACGCATCTAGATAAAACTCAGCAGAGGAACTAGGGCTGGGCGATAAAATGATAATGATATATATCAAAAATCAATTTCTCTTGTTATTGATATGAAACACGGTCAATATGCTTTTCGATTGTCGTCATTCTGCCATGTTTGTTTGACTGTACGAATAGCCAATGAAAAGAGGAGTTGCTTGGGGTCACGCTGCGCTGAACCAATCATGTGCTGAATGTGCAAAATATGTCGAGTACGTGTTAAATTTCATTTAAGAGTAACGGGGAACATTTAAGATTGACGAGTGATTTTTTTTAATATTGTGATATTTATCGATATCGACTGATATGAAAAAAATATATCATGATAAACTTTTCCCCATATCGCCCAGCCCTAAAAGGAACCTGAAGCTCCCTCCATTTACAAAAGTCATAATTAAATGAACTGAAAATCAAAAAGGAGCCGGTCATCAAAAGTTAAGGATGGGAATTGATAAGATTTTATCGATATCGCTGCCATTAACGATTCTGCTTATTAATTAAATTCTTTAACGATTCCCTTATCAATGTCTTTGTTCGATAAAAAAAAAAAAATGTTAACTCAAAATTTTATTGAGTTTCAGAAAAAGAAGTACACCACCTTCAGTGGGAGTCTAAAATAATCAAACCAAAATGATATTTGTGCTTCATTTTTGTAATGGATTGCGTTTATGTTAACACAGGACATACGTTAGAGTGACCATATTCTGAATCCCCAAAAAGACGACACTACTACGCGGGGCGGACTTGCGGGTTTTTTGGTCGGGTCGAGTGTTTTTTATGTGCTTCTAACTCAGTTAAACGTAAATTATTCTAAATTCCCAAAGACAGCGCATGCTGCGTCGCGTCAGTGTCTTTGCTTAGAAGTGAGCGGAGCTGCAGAGAGGACTGATGCTCTGCACTGTTTTATAAACAATAGAAACATATTCTGGACATTTGAAGGATTTTAAAAACTCCCCTGGACGGCCCCCCAAAAGAGGACATGTCCGGGTAAAAGAGGACGTGTGGTCACCCTAAATTGCGTACCTTCCCTGCTGTGCTGAGATGGAGCTGCAGCGGCTGACGACCGGCGGAGAGCATCGAATACATGTGACTCTTTATATTTAATACCCCGCTGACAAATGTTTAAGCATGTTGCTGGTTTTTCCACCTTTGCATGTTATCACTGCTCGACAAACGCTGCACTGTTGTCATTGTTAGTAAAATTAATCCACACTTTAGCTCGTTTCTGCCGACTTTATAACCATCAGCTATGTTTTTTTCTCTGTTCCCGTTTGCGTAGACTGGTACTCGCGAGACCATTTTTCAAGGCCCCCGGAAGAAAGAAAACGTTAAGATAAAATGCAAATGATGTCCATGGATTGAACCATGTTGTTGAGAACCGGTTCTCAATTCCCATCCCTATCAAAAGTCCCTTGAAGGTACTTTTCAAAACTGTTTCATCGTCTTTTAATAAAAGTCGGCTCAGGTCTGCTTGAAGAGGATGAATCACAGAAAAAGAAATGATTCATATATGAGAGGAGAGAGGAGGAGGAGGAGGAGGAGAGAGGAGCAGTTTGTGTGTGTCTGAAAAGCTAAAGGACAGACGAGCACAAACAGAGAGAGGCTGCAGTGCGTCCACAAACACTCATGAGTTAATGACTGAGAGACATCGTTCTGGATCATAATTAAACACGGTCTGAAGTCTTGATGTTGTGAAGGACGTTTTAGAAAAGCTTGAAAAGACTGAATGATTTATTTGACCTGCAGCCTCTAATCAAATGTAAGAAAAAAAGCTCAAATCCTTCAGTTTTTGAGACACATTTACTTTGATTTTCCAGATGCCTCACAGGCTCCACATGAACACTTCAAAAAAATGAGCAAAAATCCACACAGAGAGAGTTTCAGACGGGTACTTTTATAAAAATACAGAAAAAAAACCCTCAAATGCTGCTTTTCACAGCACTCGCCTCCGATCTGGTATTCATGGTGTTCTCTTTTCAATGTAAGATTTAAAATGCAATCAAGTCGACACACGGACCGGAGCAGGTGGGACGCCATCTGCACCGACAAACCAACCAACCACTTTAGATTCACATGATGCAGCCGCAGCACCTTTCCCTCACACGCTAACTCTCCATCTTCAGTCTGGTGACGGAGCTCTGCAGGGGGGGCTCGCATACATACAGAGAGATGACAGGTGAGCACGTCTTAGAGGAGGGAGGGAGGGAAGCCTCTTCTGAGAGGGCAAACCCCGTTCAGAGCAGGAGCGAGAGAAAAGAAAGAGGGAGAGAGAGACACTTCTTTTATTCACTAGCATGAAAAATGAATTCAAGAGCTCGCAGTGCAGCGGAGAAGCAGCTCTTCTGTATGAGCTTGAATTTCATTGACTGGAGTGGTCATGTACAGCAAAGCAGACAACAGGACGTGTGTGTCTCAGACCCCCCCCTCTGACCAGGCTTGTTATTGTGGTGAGTGTATTAAATTAACACTGCCACCACCACCTCAGGGCGATGTCTACTCAGTTCAATCCACCGTGGCTCTCTGTCCGTCTGGTGGCGTTTTATTGGAGCGTTAGCGGCGCTCCCACTGGGCCTGTAAACACACATAACTTCACTGCAGTCGCTACGCCCCATTTCTCCCCCTCATGTCGTTTATGTCCCACTCAGGCTCCCATCATCTGGATATTACGCCGTATTACGCTCTGATCTGGAAAGATCTTTAAAGGAGCAGTTCGGTGAATTTGGTGTCTAAATCTAAAGATTGACTGGAGAACTATCAGGCTGGCTCGGCTCGTGTTGGAAAAACCCAGAAAGAAAGCAGGTTAGCGCCTCATGTGTGGGGTCGGAGCGGTCGCAGGTTTGAGTCTGGCCCCGACCATGTGCTGCATGTCCACCCCACTCTCTTCTATCTCGCCACATTTCACCCTGTCCTATAAATAAGAAAAAGGTAAAAATCGCCAAAAACAAACAAACAAAAAAACGATAATAATAAGTGTTGTTGGCAGTATAAACAACATTTAAACTGTAAAATTAATATCAATACTCTCTGTATTTTTTGTTTAGTTTATTCATTTATTTCACTCATTTATGGAGCATAAAAAATTAAAATAAAACTTATAAAAAAAAGATGATACTGTAATTCTTGAATGAAAGTGGGCAGAAAGAAGCAAAATTATATTATCTTCCCCGTTTTTTCTGTTTTCCATTTATATAATAAAGTTTTTCTCTGTTGTTACTGCAGCTAATATTAGTATTATTACTTTTATTGTGTTATCATTAATATTGATGACATTATTATTATTATTATTATTATTATGTTGATGGTTGTCTTAGTCCTCCAGCCGCCTGTTTCACCATTTTAACTACGTGTTCCTTTATATTTCATTTTATCATTATAATATATACAGTTCATTTTTATCATTAAATCCAAATATTATGACACATTTGAATAGATATAAATTTTTTTCCGTTTAATTTATTTTCCTGTCCCCCCATTAATAACTTTAAGACCGTACTGAAACTACAAAATTATAGACCCCATTAAGTCTTCGGGGGCTCTTAGTAATCAGATGTGTTTTAATATCAGAAATCTAATAAAAGATTGATTGATTTACGGTCATATCGCCCGGCCCTACAGCTGCTCTGATTTGTTGGAGACTGAAATCACTGAATTTTTTTCTCAACTTCACTACTTCTTTAATTTTATACTTATGATGAGAATCCAAGAGAAACACATGCAGACACGGAGCTGCTCTGCTGAGTCTCCTCCCAGAAACTCCTCTGATACCACCTCCAACGCCGGCGTGATGGCGGGATGGCGACTCGGTCCCACCATAACGCCCCGGTTTGGTACGGGATTTAACTCATCAGAGCAGGATACAGTCTGAACACCAGCAGGGAAAATGTCGATAAGTCAATAAGTCCTCGAACACTTCAAACAGGGAGGCGGATATTTTAGTCGGATCTGCAGAAGCTTTCCTCTTTTCTTCTCTAATTTTGGGGCATCACCGTGACGCTTCCAAACCTCGAAGAATAAGAGCGCAGTTTGGCATTTGAAAATAATGTATGCTCCACTCTTCCTGTCAAAACAGCGTTAAATCAGATTAATTGTGCACTTGGAGTGCGCGGTGATTCTGACTTTCTGGCTTTTAGTCCTTCGGGGTGTTTGGGGTTAGGATGGGGGCTTAACAGGCGGAGGTTGTTCTTACAATCTCAGCAGGGGGCAGAGGGAGAGTGAGATTTGGGGGTTTCTGACTTATCCAGGTCACTGGGTCTGACAGGAGGAATGGGGATAAGGAGGATGAGGGGGTCTCTGGCTGCAGAAAGGCTTCATGGGAAACCGCAGGGGGTCTGTGCTCCTCGGAGCCGGACTGCTCTGCCTGGAGGGGGGAGACATGTGAACTGTCTGCTCCCTCATCTCATCTCTACTCCCCTCCTTCCACTTGAATTTCGTTTCATTTATTTGAGCAGCTGCAACATCGAGGTTCGACTTGACGCAGCGATAAAATGTAATGAAAGGAGAAAGGATGGAAACATAAAGATGGCCGACATCTTATCTGACAGAAAACAAACAAGAGGAGGGAAAACGTAAATATGCCACAAGGACGAGCGAAGATTAAAGACTCAGTAAAAACAAGAAGAGGGGGAGCAGAGCCTAAAGTTTTACCTGCAGACGAGGAAACATGATCACATGACTCTTATTTACACTCCAGTAACACTTTGTATGAACCATTATGATGAAAGTCCACGTTGGTTTTAGTCTGAACCTTAAATTAGGGTTTTAAAAGTGACGCAAACTCACTGAATCTCTGTCCACAGAGCAGGAAAAGTCCCGCTGCTGCAGGAGTAACTGTGACTGAAGATGACGAAGGCGGTGGAAGGACACAGAGACTCCTGTCCTCTGCACAGGGCTGGAAGTTAACCTGATTTTTACAGAATGAAAACAGATTTCACTCGTTGATATTAGACGCTGACTGATCCTGTTGGCGCTGAGATTTATCAGTGAAGACGTAATGCTCTGTGTGTGTCCTGCTTAAAAGCCTAAAAGACTCAGCATCTCTGCAGGTGTCCAGAAAAATCTAGATATATGAAAATCGTCCACTTTCAGTCGGTACCTCACTGATCATAGCTCCTCCTGACTGAGAAAGTAAAGGGCTGGTTCGTGTAATTTTGCTGCATCATCAGCGCTGAGTCCTGAGTCCTGGACTTGAGCCCTGGTATTTGGATTCACAGCTTAGAAAAGTGAGGATATTTGTTTTGTGTTTGGAGTCTAAAAAGTGAGATGATCTGTTTTTGATTCATCACCATCTGCAGCCTCCCCTCCTCTTCCTGCTCCGCTTGTAAACTTTGTGCTTATTAATCTGCAGTTTGGAGACAATAAACGGCTTCGTCTGTTTCTGCTTCTTTAATCCAGAGACAAATACTGGGCTGTGGACGCTGAAGAGGAAACTGTGCAACTGTGCAAAAGGGAGGACAGGTGTGCTGTATGAGAGCTGCAGATCTGACACAGAGAAGGAGAGAGAGAGGAGGGAGAGAGCATTTCCTTGGCTGCATGCAAACAGACCCAAATCCCGTCCCCTCCTGCAGGGCTGTGCAGAGGTGTGGGCGTGATAATCTGCTCTTTAAAGTGTAATTGCTGTGACACATTTAGAAAATACCATTTTGTTTCCCTGATTCAGCACTTTGTTTTCAATAATGGCACTCTTCCCTCCTCCCCAACCGTGTCCCGGACTATTTCAGTCCCTGCAGCTTTGAGTACAAATCTGTGTGTGTGATTGTTTCGATAAAGACGGAGGCTTTGGTCGTTTCTGACGTCACATTAACCCAAAACTTCAGACAGCAGCAAACACACTGAAGGGTTCTTCTGTAAATTCGAGCACCAACAACAAAGAAGGCATCAATGTCAACCCAAAAGATTTAAATTCAGTCCCAGCTGCCGTGAAGCGCCCCGAAAACTGAGAGTGTGACGGATAAACAGACAGTAAAAAAGAGGGATGAGGCAGAGAGCGACTGTCCATCTTTATCCACCGTCAACAGAGCAAAAACAGCAGCGGACTAACAGGCGGACACTTTCTCAGGCGTAACACACCATTTAGGGCTGGGCGATATGTCCTCAAATCAATATCACGATATATTGATCGGTCCACCTTGATAACGATAAATAGACGATAACTACATCCACAAGCTGCTCATCCCCTCCCACATTAACTTAGTCTCCTTCAGCCTTCTGTCTAACTTTGAAGCGACAAACAGATTGTATGGTATACGGTGGGTCAACTTAAATATCCAACGAACGTTAGCCCGTGTACTTTTTCACAGACAAACGACCTGACAACAAAGATTCATATTTATAAACTGGTTGAAAATGTGAGAAATTCAAAGTAAAGTTCTTAAAAAGTTCATATAAATTAAAAATTCATGGAGAAGTTCAGAAATTTTATTCAAAAAGAAGAACTCTGGTTAGCACCCTCATTTAAACCATGTATTTTTTTTCTTATATCCTGCCTTTTAAAAGAATCGGAATAGAGAATTGTTAGGAACCGGAATCGAAACGAGGATTCAGAATCGGAACGGAACCGGAATCGTTCAAAATCAAACGATACCCAACCGTACTGATGAAGGCAAAATGACGTCGGTTATTGTCGTAAATTTTTGTATCGTAAATTTTCGGTTTTATTGTCCAGCCCTAACACCACCTTTGAAGAGTTTAAAATGTAATCAAATTTAGAGTCTCATTTATAGACTGCATATAATATGGACAACTTGGTTCCGCCTCCCGCCAGTATACGGATTTGAAGCCAAAAAGCTCTCGGTAATTTCACTTTTTCATTTTCCTTAAACCAACATTGTGCAGTAGCTTTGTGCACATTCGACAGAAAAGTAGCTGTGATGACGCTCGGCTCAAACAGCGTATCCCCTGTGTGAGCTACGCAATCTTCGTACGCCCATTGGCTGTATCAGGTGTCAATCATAGAAAACATGAACCCCCTAATAACTTTTAAAAATGGAGCTGTACAGAAAAAAAAGGACTTGAGCTCAAACCAGTCTGACAGTAACTACATGTCAACATCACAACCAGGGGGGAGAAACATTTATATTCTGGGTCATTCATTTATAAAGTTTGTCCACAGCTCCATAAGGAGGCGGGGTTTATGACCTATACTGCAGCCCGTCACCAGAGGGCGCTGTTCTCGGAGTGGCTTCACCCATATACAGCTTATGATCTCATCCTGTCAGAGAGGCAGACGGATAAAAAAGCACTTTTATATCTAAATGAAATAATTGAGGTCAGCGGGGTAAACGAGGTATTCTTCCTCTATTTTCATTGAACCCGCCGTCCCTCATCTCGCCGTTCACATCAGTTTCTCTTCGTCTTCCTGCATTTTAATCAGCTCACTGATTGAAATGTTGCTGGAAAGTTGGCTGAGACCTGGATTTCCTTTTTTCCCCTCTCAAACTCACAAACAGACACACGCTCCCTCCATCCCACAGCTGTTCAGCGTCTCGACGGAAAACCAATTAGAGGCAGAATCATGCTCCATCTCCTTAAATGTCTCTCATTAATGCCATTTAAATTAAAAGCTTATCTCTTATTGTGAAGGTGCCAGCGCCCCTGGCTGCCGCGGCGGCGGCTGAGCCAGTCGTGGTGGGAGATGGAAGCGAGAGGAAATGGAAGAGGACCAGTTCTGTGAAGTGGAGACAGACGGCCTGAACCGGTCTCCCCGGGCTCCTTATTTATGCTGATGAGCGCTCAGAGTCTGTGTTTGGTCACCTTCATTTATCCACGGAGCCGCCGTGTTGACTGAGCACACTCCTGTTTCCACTCTCTCACCTGGGAGCCGCACAACGAGACAAATAGACTCCGCGGCGCGTCATCCATCTTGTGTATAAACACTTTGTCTATCGCTCAGCTCAGGCGGGTCAAACGCCGCATTAATTGCAAACTGAGAAGAATAAACGGCAGACGGCTTCTTTGTTGACAAAGTTAAACAGCTTGTTTCCGCCTGCTGTGGGAAATTAGATTGAAGGGCATCACCGCCGCTTATTAAGACAGAACCTCATTAAGGAGGAAGCTTCAGTCCATCCACAGTCTCGGACATGCTTCACCTCGCAGAGCGCCCCGCTCTCAGGGGTTCGAACGTTCAAATCATCGTTTTGTTTTTACTCGAAATGACCTTCTCTCGAGTAGACCACCTGCAGTAAACCAGCTTTGCCAGTTTGTGGATATTTTGCAGATTTATAACCTTCTCCTTTAACTCTCTTTTAATCTCACATGCGTGACCTTGTTGTCCGACTGATTTAGTGGAGCTCTTTCAAACTGTTACTACAGCTGAGGGCCTTGAGTTTATTCAGGAGGCCAAACGAGTCCGTTCTGGTGGATGCCCGGGTTAGAAAACAGCATCCGACGCAGCGAAGGATCCGGCAGGAGGTAATGAAGCAAGAGGGATTGTACAGATCAGTAAAAGCAGGAGTAAAGAAAAGCCGACTCTGAGGGTGGACAAGGATTCAGAGAAGTGCTCTGAGCGATGACAAAAGCAGCCAAATTAAAACTCTGACAGATGTCAACCAGCTCGTTAAAATCACTCATCTGCTTTGTGTGACGCACAATCAGAGTCTGTGTTTGTTCGGTTGTCTCTTTTAGAACTTGCACAAAACACACATTTGTTCGGCTGTTTTTTCAGGTTTCGTTCTGAGGCTTTCTCTCATTGTCATTTGGAGACAGACAGTTAAAAGGACAACTAATAAAAGAGGATGACAGAAAATTGGGGCCTTGTTATAACAATGATGGATAATGAAAAAGTCTAACTCATCCACAGTCGAATTAAATTTGTCATTGAAAGGTCGTATTCATTATTTTCACCGAATCAACAGACAGAGAGGAACTGCAGCCGAGCTGGGAACAGGTTAAGGTTATTCCATATCACACCGCCCATGATCATTTCAGTGTACATCTCTATTTAATAATGCTCTATACTGTGGAAAAAAACATATCTGAGGACGACGGCAGCAGTTTTATTCTACAAACTAAAATATTTTTGCAACCCAGAGCAGGAAACTAACCATGCAGAGGGTTTTATACAGTTTTGGGTGAATCTGCTGAGTTTAACAGCTGTCTTAGCTGCTAAATCAAAGAGATGAACAGAGCGACCGACAGTAAAACATTTATCATAAATACTCGAAATAACCCATTTTTCAATCTGCAGCCAGGCCCCTAATTCTGACCCGAATCAGGAGAATAGATCATCAGAGGAAGCACTTTTATACTCTCTTTTATAGAAGTTCATCGTGATCACACACCAGTCTCATATTCTGTCCAAAAATAATAATAACGACAATAAACCCTGACTGTTTGACATCTTCACTCTCTGCTGCTCAGAGCTGCACTCTCATCCTGATGGTCCTTGATGTTGAATTATAAAGTCAGTTTAAATCAAATATGTCAAATTTTAAAGTTGATAACCTGCTCAAATCCTGACGCAAGAATGAAGCAACATGTTTGAAAATATAAACAAACTGATAGGTTGAATATTCAGCCTGTATGTAAACACCAGAGAACAGAGATGCTATTTGCCCTGTAGGAGTTTGTGGAGTATCAAACCCTCTGCATGAGCTTTGAGTATTATCAAGTGTAAATTAGGCTCATTTACACTACAGTAAAATGATCGTGAACAAGGTCCTCCATATAATGATTCTTAGAAAGAAAGAATTAAATATAAAGACTTTAATAAAGGCCTGACTCTGATACAGGCCTGCCTCCGATACAAGCCTGACCTAAGACAGGTCTGACTACTATAAAAGGGGGACTCTAATACAGGTCTGACTTTAATACAGTTCTGACTTTAATACAGGCCTGATATAATAGAGACCCGTCTTTTAATACAGGCCTGATATAATAGAGACCCGTCTTTTAATACAGGCCTGACTCTAATACAGGCCTGATTATTATAAAGGCAGGACTCTAATACAGGCCTGACTCTAATTCAGACCTGACTCTAATAAAGGCCTGCCTCTAGGGTCTAGCTTCAATATAGGCCTGACTCTTATACAGGACCAACTGTAATACAGGACTAACTCTAAGAAAGGCCTCACTCTAATACAGGCCTGACTCTAATACAGATCTGACTCTTCTCCAAGACCAACTCTAATAAAGGCTTGACTTTTATACAGGCCTGACTCTAATACAGGTCTGACTTTAATAGAGGCCTCACTATAACACAGATCTGACTCTAATAAAGGCCTCACTGTAATACAGGCCTGACTCTAATACATGCCTGACCCTTATAAAGGCCTCACTATAATACAGGTCTGACTCTAATACAGGTCTGACTCTTACACAGGCCTGACTCTAATACAGGCCTGACTCTAATACAGGCCTGACTCTAATACAGGCCTGACTCTAATACAAGCATGACTCTAATACAAGCCTGACCTAAGACAGGTCTGACTTCTATAAAAGCAGGACTCTAATACAGACCTGACTCGAATACAGACCTGACTCTAATAAAGGCCTGACTCTAATACATGCCTGTTCCATACAAAGGAAGGACCTGATGCCTGTGAGAGTAAAAGGAAAATACAGGACCCAGCCTATATATGTTTCATCAAAAAAGCAGTACGACGTCAGATAAATACATCATACACTCTAAAAAGAGGCATGTTGTTAACGTATAAAGTGACAGCATTACGTCTCAACTGGTTTGGGCCTTGAGAGACTTTGTAAATTTCCCCACTGTGGAAGGAACAAAGGTTTATCTTATCTTTAAAGGAGGTTATTGACTCTACAGCCTCAGTCTTTAAATGAAACTGACAGGGATGTATGTGGGTCATTGAACACACCACAGTCCTCTGACTCCAACGAGCCGAGTCCTTTCACAGACACAGAAATATACGGTCTAGGCTTGGAGCAGAGTTTTCTTTACATGTGTACATGTCTTTTGTGAATCCTCCTAGGATTTAGAGGGTTTTAAATCAACCCCCTTCGCTGTAGACTCGGACCACATCCTCCTCATCTTTTCGTGCTCTGAGGAAGGGTTGCAAATCAAACTGCGACACCTCGAAGCCTTTCAGAGTAAAGAAAGAAGCAGTGCCAGCAGAGCGACTCACCGTTGATAACCGGGGTGTAGACGACGATGCCAGCCAGATTTGGGTCAGACACCGTTTTGTCCAGGATGAGCCCTCCGATGCTGGAACATAAAAAGATCATTAACTGCTGTTATTCACTGTGAGTGTGTGAAAGACGTGGGAGAGAGAGGGAGACAAAGAGGGCATGGAGGGAGCGGGAGAGAGAGACAGAGTATTGTCTTCATCTAAATGATGTCCACAGTGAATTTGTGTGCTTCTCTATAAACGCTTTGTCAGCAGGACTGAATGGAGGGGGCTGAGAGAAAGCCAATGACGGAAAAAAAGGAGATTTTTTTAAATAGTTTTCAGCTAATAGTGACAAGAACTAATATTTATTTTCTCTTTTATACAAGCTGGAGAAACGCAGAATCACCACACAGCACGGAGGGGCGAGAGAGACAATCAATCCCTTCCTACGGGCTGTATTAGTAAGCCTGCCAGACGCAAGGAGACCCCAGGGTGTGTGTGTGTTTGTGAGTGTGTGTGAGTGTGTGTGTGTGTGAGAGTGTGCTGGGATGCTATGATTTGTTTAGGGATGAGTCATCAACCAAACCAGACACCGAGAGCTGCAGAATAGCTGTTCTTTCCGCTTTGAAGACCAAAAACACACAGTCACACACACACACAGTCACACACACCTGCTGATGACCATGGCGGTGATGACTGGCTCCCATCCGGAGTACAGCAGGGTGCGGCTGGCCGGGTGTTTGGAGGAGATGACGATCCACAGAGGAGTCAGACACATGAAGAAAGCACAGACCAGGGACGACACGTACGGGTAGGAATCTGAGGAAAAGAAGAGACGCTTTCATTTTTGAGTCTTTCCCAGCATGCATCAGAGAAACGGCGAAGAAACCGCCAGAGTCCTTTGAGAGACGCCTCAACTGATATGATATCCGGCTTTTAGGAACATTAGCAAAGCGATATAACTTTGTGTCTTAGTCTGAGGAATATGAACAGGGGTGTGATCTTTGCAGGCCTTAATGAGAGCAGAAAACAGCTGTTCGATCACACTCAAGTCCCCATAGACAAATCAGACACTTTAAGGGATCGTTAAACTAAATATTTGGCTAAAGGTCGACACTGAAGGACTCTGGATCTGAGGTAGAAATTCCCATCCTGGTGATACTCCAGTCAAGCTGTTCTCCCTACAGACAGACAGAGGCTGAAGTTACCTGGACGTGCACAGAGAGTCTCAGAGAGTTAAATTCTTACTCTGAAAGTTTTGATGTTTCTAAATTCTTCAATAAATCCAACATCCATAACTTTCCTCTCCCGCCTGATCAGTCGGCTCTTTATTGTCGAGTGAGGCAGAATTATCGTTGTGGTTAATGATGTTTCATGACTTTGAGTAGGAGAGTGTTTTTGGTTTTGGAAAAAGGTTTTTCTTAACTAGAGCTGTCAGACACAGAAAGTGACGATCTGATCCAATCAGAGGTGAAAAAAATGAGAGCTTTTAGCTGATGGTCATCAATCAGCCGTAACATCAAACCTGCTGACAGGTGAAGGGAACATCATCCATCATCCTGTTACAACAGCACCTGTCAGCGGGGATGGGGAAGGTGGAGCGTGAACGTTTAAACCTCAGAGTTGGAGTGTAGGAGGCAGCTGGACAAGGACCAAACGGTCTGCAGAGGTCCAGAGATGGAACAACAGATTTCTACAGACTTCCCTCAACCCGGGCCACTTGGTCCAGCTCTTCCCGAAGGACCCAGGCCAGCTGAGAGACACAGTTTCTTCAGCGAGTCCTAGGTCTTCCCCGTGGACTCCTACCGATTTGACGTGCACCTAAACACCTACTCCGAAACCCTCCTGGATGACCGAGCTTCTCACCCTATCTCTGAGGGAGAGCCCAGCCACCCTCAGCCGCTTGTACACGTGATCTTGTTCTTTCAGTCACTACCACAGACTGTATATACTCTGGACAACTTGGTTCCGCCTCCCGCCAGTAAACGGATTTAAAGCCAAAAAGCTCTCGGTATTTCTGCGATTTTTCTTCATTTCCTTTTCCATTTACCAATATTGCGCAGTAGCGTTGTGCGCATTCGACAGGAGAGTCGCAGAGAGTCGCTGTGATGACGCTCGGCTCAAACAGCCGTCTTCTTTTCAAAATAAAACACTCCGTGCTTCAGGCCGATTGTATTTCACACCCTGTAAACTGGTGGTGAAAGTGAAAGGTTTTTAGACGCCATTTCACCCCGATGACACCATGGATGAGGAGATGCTGATTCTAGACGTCTAGAAGTAGATTTCCTCCTCTGGAAGGACACGGTCTACTACTGATATGGTTAGCCTCTGTGGCTAAAGACAACTTGTTATCGCGCGATTGAACGTGAATCCACAGGTTCTCGTGAGTTCTCGCAATTCCTGCTGTCCGTAATCCACCATGGAATTCCCCTCACCAATGCATCTGGTAGGAATTGGCGTACGGCGAAAATTGCTGCCGTTCCGGATCGGAGCCGTTCCAGATGCGGTGGAAATCCCGGGTTAGGGTTGTAAACTACCAACCATGCAGCCTATAGTCCAGGTTTAAAAATACCACAAACACCAATCCTGTTTTCTGCTAAATTCATCTAATATAGCTGTAAAAATATCTCACATTTAGCCTGAAAGCATTAAAAAATGGTTTCTTTCACTCTCTAAACCTCTTTGTTCAGACTATAATAAAGCAAAACACCGCTATTTTCAAGTGTAATTAGGGTGAAACACCTGCTAAGGGCCACTACAGGTTTCCAGCTGGATTCTGGTCCAAGTACTAAATAACTGTCATTAGGAAACAGTCCCAGATTTATCATCCCTGTGGTCCCTGAGCCGGGGAGCAGAAAGAGCTCAGTGTTCAGCTGGAGGTGTAATGGGCTGCAGCAGACCTCCTTTCCCAAAATATAAAGCTGAGGCAGATTTTCTGTGGCACACATTTGGGAGGGGAGCCTGTCCCAAATCCACCCAGCTCCTTCTCAGACGCTGACGGGGAATCTGAGTTAGCTAGCAATCAGCTGTACCCCAATTATAATCCTGTCCAGGTCAAATTGTTTACATGAACCCCTGACAAGCTGCCACTTAGTCTCCCTCAATCAACGCAAAAATAATTGATATTCCCGGGAAAAAAGAACCACACGCCACCAGCTGAGAAATGTGCAGGACAGAAATGAGAAGTGTTACAAACCTCCGTGTTTTATGATGACAGCATCAGGCTGCAAATGTAGAAACTCTCAGTGAAAGGAGGAAGACGTTTCCCTGCATTTAAAGCGAGATTACTCTCACTAAGAGCCTGTCAGGGTTAGTCGAGCTTTAGTGCTGTATGTAATGACAAGGTTATCAGATAAAGAAGGAAATTCAATTAGAGCCAAGTCTCTGTAAGACACTTTCTGATAAACGCTGGGCCGTGTCGACAGGCTGTAAGCCCCGTGATTGAGTCATCCATGCGAAGGTTAAACCGCTGACAGAAAATATCCAGATTTACCAGGAAAAGTCAAGAGATGAATCTGTAGAGATCGGTCCGAGTTAAACCGGGAGTCTGGGTGTAAAGTGGTGAAAGTGGGTCATCCAGTTTCCTCACATGGAGTAAACACAATAACGATTTTTATCCAGCCGGGACCGTTAAACACCGCTGGTTTTATGAGAAAAGACTGATAATAAAATTGATCGGTCTGTGGATATTTATCACCGGCTAAATGGACAGTAAACAGACGTATCCGACCAAACCGGTCTCTAAAGCTATTTCTGTGTTTTTTACGATGTCGGCTGAAATGACTCCTGAAGTTTAAGACTTGTTCTGCACCAGAAAGTGATAAATTAGTGTTTCATTTTGTCAAGTAACATGTTTTTTTCTGCAGGGTTACTTCCTTGTCATACTTGAACCTAGGGCTGCGCGGTTTTGGACGAAAATAAAATCCAGATTTTTGATTTTTTAAAACTTCAACAAACTTCACTAATAAAAAATGTTTCTATCATCTCTCTGATAACGATGTAGTTCATATGCCAAGCCATAAGTGGCGCTGTAACGCTGCACAGGAAATGCACAAAAGACAGAAGAAGAGTACAGAGCATGAGTCTAAAGGTTGTTTTGGCGCCATAAAAGAGTTACTCTGTGTGTCACATGATCGTTTCCAGAGATACAGATAGACATCCACACGGAGATGAAATGGTCGTCGTTTACAGATTTTTTCACTCTCTGACCCGTTTTCAAAAAAGTACCGTTTACAGTCACCTGAAACGCCGATACGACAAAAACTTTAGCGTTTCCTCCTGAATTTGTTTCCGTGGTGACGGGTTGATACCGCCTTCAGACAGACTTTACAGCGGGGAGTGGTTTACTCTTCATCTGAAACTGTGAAGTCGTACCAATTCAACATGACTGACTCGCTCTTGTCCGATTTAACCACGAAATTATCGCCTTCTTTAGCAAACGCCATGTTTGTTTATACTGGTGGGTGTGGGAACTGTGGAGGAGGAGCCTACGGTGACCTGAAGGCATGAGACATGATAAAGAGGAAAATCGATGTGACGATTTAAATTTTTTAAACATCGTCATAATCAAATAATCCGATTAGGATTGAAAATCGATGAATCGCGCAGCCCTACATCATCTCTCCCTGTGTTATCAGTTACACCCAATTTCTACAACATCCAGAATGTCTACGGAAAGGTCGTATCCTCCGATCGTAGCTGATCGTTTCCATTCAAGTTAACGTGTCAATTTCCACCGACTTCTTTCCGTTCCTCTGCGGATCGCCGGACTCCTCAGCTGATCACAAGAGTTCTATTTTTTCTGGACGCCGGAGCATGGCGGATAAATTCAGCACAGATTAACCCGTGCTGGAAAGGAAGTCGGGCACAGACACAAAATAAAACATCCGGCTTCTTTTCAAAATAAAACACTCCGTGTTTCACTCTGTATTTCACACCATGCAAACGGGCGGAGACGAACAAGTGAAAGGTTTTTAGACGTCATTTCACCCCGATGACACCATGGATGAGGAGATGCTGATTCTAGAAGTCTAGAAGTAGATTTCCTCCTCTGGAAGGACACAATCTACTGCTTAAATGGGTAGCCTCTAACTCGTTATCGCACAATTGCATGCAGATCCGTGGGTTCTTGTGAGTTCTTGCGATTACCGCTGTCCATAATCCGCCACGAAATTCGTCTCACCAATAGATCCTGTAGGAATTGGCGGGTGGCGAAAATCGCTGTCGTTCCGGATGCGGTGAAAATTGGGGGTCAGACTAAAGCAGACGTCCTACGGTGGTCACACCTCCTTTTATGTGAGCCTGAAGCAGAGATCTTCAACTGGACCTCGTTCAAAGAAACTCCTGGTATGTTAAACTTGCTTCATGGCAGCCGCTGCGCTGAGCTGCGGATGCTGCACCACTGACATTAAGGCTCCACGCCTGCTGCAGGAGCAGAATCCCAAGTGAAACCTTTAAAGAGTGGAGTTGTGTTATTTGGGCGACTTTATAAAACAGTCAATAAATGAGACACGTACAGGCTGAGGAAACAGAGAGGGGCTGTGCAGGACACGCTGCTGCTGCTGCTGCTGTGAACATTAAAGACGACAGAGTCCAGATTAAAGACCTCAGGGTTGTAAAGGTGCTGCCACAGGTAGAATTAATGTGCCAACAGAATAAAAACTTACAGTAAAACTCATTTTGTCTTAAGGGAAGAAAGAAGTCCCCGACAAATTAAAAAAAAAACAGGGAGAGCAAATGTTTGACGTTTTACCCGGTCCATCCTGAGTGCTTGTGTGCTTTCCAGTGTTGTTAGCTCTGCTCTCATCGCTTTGTTTAACCGCTAAATCCTTCCCACACTGGATGTTGGATAACTGAGAGAAAAACACACATCGGCCATCTTGCTGCGGATGTTTGATCTTCTTAAAGATGAGTATCATTCCTCTGAGAGAAAAAAAGGTTCAAGTGTCTGCTGATAAATGGAAAAAAAAGACTTCATCTCATGAATTTTGCTTCAAATCTCACTTTATAATCAGCCTGAGCCACAACGAATAAGGATGAAAAACGGGGATGTGGAGAGATCTTAATCCGGATCATTCCAGTTATGGTCAGGAATGCCTGCAGTTTGCATTTCCACATTTCTCAGGTGTGACTGTCCGAGCCTCAGGACTACACACCGATGAAAAATGTGAATGAATTTGTTTTTACAGAAAATCCAGAACCTCTGGGTCAACGTAAGGAAGGCCTCTGGTTTTGTATTTGTTTGATTGTTTCTTTGTCGACCCGGCATCGATCCCAGTGAGTCTGCTGTTGTTCGTGTGATGAGTCAATCAGCTGTTCTGCTCTGGTTGATCAGCTGATTGCGTCTGAGGAATCGTCCACCTCCTTTAGATGATCTCTGCTCGCCTGTTTTCGCTGTAGGAGTGACGCCCGGCGCTTGTTCTTGATCTGGATCAGGAGGCAAATTCAAAGCCTGATGATTGATAAAGAACCAACTCTTACAGGGATCTTTGAAGGGGCAGCCTGGGCTACAAAAGCTCCAGGTCCTGGTCATGCCTTCTCTGTTTGAGTGATAAACAAGTTTAAGTTGGAATTTCCACCGCATCCAGAATGGTGGCAATTTTCGTCGTATGCCAATTCCTACCAGATCTGTTTGTGAGATGAATTGCGTGGCGGATTACGGACAGTGGGAATCATGAGAACTCACGAGAACGAGTTGTCTCTATAAAGACAGACACATAGACATATAAGCAGTAGATTGTGTTCTTCCAGAGGAGGAAATCTACTTCTAGACTTCTAGAATCAGCATCTCCTCATCCATGGTGTCATTGGGGTGAAATGACGTCTAAAACCCTTTCACTTGTTCGTCTCCGCCCGTTTGCATGGTGTGAAATACGGTGGACATTGACACGTTAACTTGAATGGTTACGATCAGCTACGATCGGCGGATACGACCTTTTCGTCGCCGTTCTGGATGTGGTGGAAATTGAGAGTAAGGAGTGAATTTTTAAAACATTTTGCGGCTCCTTCTTCATGAATTGAACAGCTGTAGAGTGACGGTTTGTTCATAAATAGACTAAAAAAAAGACGTTTCTGAATTTACCACAGCTCTACTTTCGCTAAACTCTGCTGCCTCTAAATCATCTGAAGCACAAAGTTTCATCTGTTTTCTCTCGCAGCTTTCTGCTTTAATAAACAGCTGATGATAGTTTCCATCTCTGCTATTATTAGCTGCTTGTTGTTGCGGCGGCTCATATATGAGTCCAGTTCTGCAGGTGTAGACACAGCCGGAGTCTAGACCCCGACCAGATTCATTAATCGGACTCCGCTGCAGCTCCTTCTTCATGTCTCAGATCCGTCCTCTTGTGTATTACCCTAAAACGTCCCAGTGTTTCCACATCTACACAAACATTCTTGGTGTTCGTCCTCCTTATGCTCTGACTGTACCACAGACTCCTCTCTAAAATAAACCTGAATGGACCTGACTCCTCTCTCACATCTCTGCTCAGCTGGTTCGGAGGCACTCGGTTCATCTCTGCTCACACCATCATATGATTTCAATTCCATCTGTCTGAGGGTGAACCGCGCTTTAGTTCTAGTTGAGCTGGAAAGTGTTGGCGCTGAGAACAACAGAGCCACTGTCCTGAGAGCGGCACGGCCCTGCTGTGGAAATATCAAATCTGAGGAGTGTGTAATCCGGTTAACTCACGGCACTAATTTGTCCCCTTCATAGCGGCGAACATCTACGACACGCTATTAGAGCTGACAGGGTTAGTTAGCCTGAGACGCTAACCGGAGGAAACAGCTCTCAGTGAACGCTGCGGTGAGTATTACAAGGTGGTGCAACACAGGTCTGTGTGTGTGTGTGTGTGTGTGTGTGTGAGCTGAATTAAACATGAGGAGTGTGAGGGACAGGAGAGCGAGGCAGGGGGGACCTCTAGTGGACGACTGAGGGAACTGTCTCCTTTCATAGAAAATTAGATTTACTTTATCTCCTCCTAAAACAAACTATGAACAAAGAGTCTCTCTTAAATCAACTTAAACCTCTTTTTTAACAGTTTTATAAAACTGAGTTTGATTTATTAAATGAATACGTCTTTTATAATGTTGATTATTTCTTCCCTCCTGTTTTTTTAAAGCACTTTGTAACTTGGTTTTTGATGTTGTACGTTTATAAAGTCTCTGATAATTCGATCCTAGTTTTGCTGCAGGGGAAAGTAATTCTCCGTTTAAAAGCGAGAGTAAGAGAGAGACAACTCCAATAACATGATGCAGGAAAAACAAACAGAGCGAAGAACAGAAAAGCATCAAATTAACTCCGTCTTTTTCCTGGTGTTTGATGATAAACTTGAGCTGAAACGTCTAAAATAGATGCAGAATAAAAAAAAACTCTTTGTTAGTGTTTGCTTCAGAGATGCTGAGCTGCTCTCACTTTAAAACACCGTCTTTATTTGTTTTATCTCCTCCAGAGACAGCGCTCTGAAAAAACCTGCTTATATAATCTGAATCATAGGATTGGAAATCATGTAATCATTCTCTAAATGTACCGACACGCTCTTTCTCACTAAATAATGTCCTATTCTTTAATATTTATGAATCATGTACTACAGGGCTGTATCCAAGCCAACGCAGCATCAACGACAGCGTGGAAACATCAGACGCTGTACAGCTGAGGGACGTCCATCATGAGCTCCTTTTACACCGCCTGTTCAGGTGGGACTGTTCGGACTCTGGGAATCTGCAGCATGTGAGTCAAAAAATTAAAACTAGTTTTTCTAATAAATATTATTTTGCAGAACGTAAAAACCCACGCAAACTTTATTTCATAAAAAGGAGCTGGAAGATCGGAGTAAACGGAGAGCGAGTATCCCAGCAGTTACCTCCAAAAGTACCTGACCGGAGAAGTTCACGTTTTATGAAGCTGTTCAACAAAAACCTGAAATAATGTGGAGGCCAGATGTGCAAAAACTAGATTGGCTGTTCCCTGATTTTGTCTGAAAAGACAACCTCTTTAACGGCGTAAATGTATGTATTTATGCAGGGTGACCATACGTCCTCCTTTTATCCAGAGTTTAAAAAATCCTTCAAATTTCCGGGGTTTTGTACGAAAGCTGAGTTTAAATTGCATTAAAAAAAAACTCGACCCGACCCGAAAAAGCCTTAAAATTTTGCATGCGACTCCACCTCCTGTTGTAGTGTCCTCTTTTTGGGGATTCAGAATATGGTCACCCTCTGCCTGCATGGATTCATGGTGTCAGGAAAGCCCAATGTGAGCTGGGCATTAAAAATATCAATATAATAATAATAATAAAAATAACAGAATAAGACTTTCAGACTTTAACTCCTGGCGTGATACTCGATCTCTTCTGTGGTTAGATCGGATCTGAATTTGGACCTCACAGTCAAACTTGGTCAAATGAGTCACCGTCCTTCACATCCGCACTCTCACAGCTTTTACTGCACAGTTTGACAAACAATCACAGGCAGAGACCCCTCAGTGTCCGAGCTAAAACCACCTCTGGCTCTTCCTGTTTACAAACTCATGACAGGCACAAGTGAGCGAAAAGAGAAGCGCCGATTTTAGAGCCGCACCTCCGACAGCCGCACTCACCGAGCTGAGACTGAGGGGTGTCTATCTATCGTTATAAGTCTATATTTCTGTTATGCACGCTGCACTTAAACTCCAAACTTTACGCGAATGAGCGGATGAATTTTTCCCCTTGAGCTGGTGTGTGAGGGAGGGTTTGTGTGTGTGAATAAAAGATGATATTCATCTCATGTCGTTAAATCATGTGCGGCTGAGACCTGATAAGAGTTTTCCTCCCTGAGGAGTGAAGACTCATCAGCTGATAAAGTTTCCAGCCTGCAGACAGTCACACGGTCACTCAGCTCTTCTGTGGTTAAAGGCGGAGTCACAGTTCACTTACCCAGGCACTTGTAGAGGCCCTGGCTGATCCAGGCCAGGATCGCCAAGGTTATGAGGTCACCAAAACTGGCGGCGATGGGTGTGGCTACATTGTCTGGGTTAATCCCCGTCTTCTTGGAGCCCACAATTACTCCCACCATGATGATACCTGGATAAACGCAAAGAGGGCGGAGCAGGTGACCAACAGACGGGATTATATGAGCAGTAAGAAATACACTGTTGTGACGACATTATTACAACTGGGGCTGGGCGATAAACCGAAGATTTAACAATACCGAAATTCATGACAATTACCAACGTCATTTTGCCCATATCGGTATATTTGTGACTCCACCCCATCCAGTCTGTAACAAAGAGGGACAGACAGGTGAGGAGATGGAGGACGGAGAGAAAGTTGGAGCGGCTGAAGTAGACGAAGTTAATGTGGGAGGGGGTGAGCAGCTTGTGGAGTAGTTATCGTCCATTTATCGTTATCGAGGTGAACTGATCAATATATTGTGATATTGATTTGAGGCTATATCGCCCAGCCCTAGAACAATGTTATGAGTGAAAATCTAAATAACTTTAAAGGTGAATTTACAGCTAAAACAGCTGACAGTAAAATCACCACTTCCTCATCTCACAGATTGTTTTTTTTTTTCAGGTCACATTTTCTCAAACTTCACTGCCAAGTCCTGCAGACATGAGCCTCAGAGTCATTTATAAAGAGAGGTCTGATTTGGCGTGAAAAATCCTGATTTCCACGGCCAACTTCATCCTGGCGCTTCAAGCAGGAAACATGTTGAGTGTGTTTTGTTTCTGGAACAACTTCGTTTTCATTTTGTTTCATACTAACAAATAATAAGACTCTTCAAACTGCCAGCAGGAGCTGCACGACTGATGAGCGTCTCATCTGCAGGAATTCGAGAAAACAGAAGAATCTCTGATTCTTTCTGCAATCTGTGAACAGATCTTTGCCAAAATAGACTGAAAAAAATTGTCTTTTAACTTCTCTGAAATTATTTTTTCTGCCTTTTATTTTCTTGAGGACAGGATCAAACCTGAGATTTCTACATGAGGATTACCAGCTTCATATACGGGGCACATCGAGCGCAGAGCATCCCAAGAACACGACAAGTTGAGGTTCAGATTTTTATGTCTATATTATGACAGTGCCTTAGGAAGGCTTTTCAAAGTAAAACAGATCCTTTTTTGATGACGTGATGCTTTTATTTTGAAGTTGGAGACAATAATTCATTTCCAAGATGAATTCATTCATTTGGCGGGGTTTTTTTTATACTCGGTGAGTTCAATCTGGAACCGAACCTGCCCCGGAGCAGGTAGAACAGGCCCCTGACGTGTGAATACTCTCTGTTTTTTACTTGTTTAGTTTAAGGCTCAACCGATTTTTGTCGTCCATCTTCATCTGAAAATTTCCTCCGTTTGAGTAACGCCGTTTTTTTCACATGATTGTGTTCTCCTCAGTCTCTCCCACTTGAGTTATATAAGTGTGTTCAGACTTGGTTGTAAACTCGACTGTTCTGTAGAGACAAACAACCTCTGGGCATTTTAAACCTCTCTCTCTCTCTCTCTCTCTCTCTCTCTCTCTCTCTCTCTCTCTCTCTCCACAGCGACAGTGTGAACGGCTTATTTTAAACTGCTGTGTCTGCATGTGTGTGTGTGTGTGTGTACACATGTGTGTGTTTACCCTGCAGCAGAGAGGCTATGAAGGCCGTGGCCACGCTGCTGGAGCACAGCAGCACAGCGTGGCTCATCTGGAACTTCCCCTCTGGGATCCAGCCGAGAACCACGGCCGCCACGGCAGCCAAGAAACCCACCACAGTGGCCTGGACCTGGAGGAGAGACGACGAAGGGGGGGAGGGTCACTGACCATCAGTCTGTGCAGGATTAACAGGTAACGCTCTTTATAATAAGTTTTCCTTTTTCATTACGTAACGTTTCCTGCTGCAGATGTTGTTACGTAACAGACCAACGGCTCGTCAAAACACTCGTGTTTATCTCAACGAGTGGGTGAATGATTAGCCGAGTTTGTTCTCAGTCACACTACGCAGATAAAAAATCAATATAACAGTCTGAGTAACAACACAGAAACTACAGAGCAGCTGAGATCCCGGGATTTGCATAAATGTGGCAGAAGGAGCAGAAGCTTGAAGCCTTTATCGATCGAAAATCAATTTCAATATTTTCAAGGCGGTGAACGTGAATCTGAAACTACACAGAGACGAGCCTTTAGCGAGGAGGGGGAGGAAAATACTACAGCTGCCATTAATGTGTGATATCAAAGTGAGGCTGGGCGGTAGGGGTGGGCGATACGGAAAAAATTCATATCACGATTTTATTTTTGCTAAATTTTTGTGAAATAATTTATAAAATAAAATATCCAGATTTTAACAACAAACAGCGTAACATTTATTTTAACTGGATTATCTCATTCTGATATGAATTTGAACCTAAAATAAGACTTCGCACACAAAAGTCAATATTTACAAAAATTAAAAGAAGTCTAAAAATTAATAAAAATAATTTAAAACTTATTTATAATAACAACACCCACTGAGCAACAGACGCTATTAGACATCTAATTATTATTTAGACCTATTTTCAACCGTCTAGATTCTGTAGACAGAATTTAGACGTCGCACTTTAACCTGCTATTCCATAAGTATTTATTTCAAAAAGCAACTGTGAGTTTCATAACTGATCTCCAAGTACTAAACCAAAATAATTAGGATAGCCATTGAGCAATTTACTGGTAGACCTCTGTTAGCCGGCTAGTCTAAACTTGGTCTAAATATCGAGACCAAGATATCGAGTCACTTTCTTTCTTTTTCTCTCTTTTTGTTGGTTGTTTCTTTTATTTTTGGTCACAAGCAAACAGCTCAAAAATCTCGTTAAGATAAAATGTAAACGATGTCAATGGACTTAACCATTCGATTCCCATCCCTGAAGATCGTCGGTTTTATTATTTTGTTTTTTAACATGTTCAAAATAAACATCAATCAATAAATCAGAGATCGCACACCCCTAATGGGCAGTAAATATATATATGTGTGTGTGTGTGTGTGTGTGTGTGTGTGTGTGTGTGTGTGTGTGTGTGTGTGATTACCTGCTTCAGTGCGAGGTTGCCGATGATTAGGTTCCACTTCTCTATGGGAGAATCCATCTTTCCGACATTCACCTGTGTGAGAAGAAGGCGACACAATAAAGTTACTGCAGGAAGAAAAAAAGCCTCTGCGTTTCCATGACGACGACAACAACAACAACAACAACAACACGAGTCCGACCAGGAGCAACTTCATCGGCAAACTGCTGCATTATTTTATTAAGGGTTAGGAGACTTCAGGAGGAGCGTGCGGACGATCAGAACGGGTCTTTTTTTTTCTGCTTCAGTTCAGGATCAGGTCTAGAGCGTCCTGCATAACCGTGTACAGACAGAGAGAAAAAAAGGGTCCAATCGGCTTCTAGAACAGCACCGCCTTCATCTGACACATCTGCAGACTGGACCGGATCGTCAGTCCACTCTGATACATCGAAGAAGCAGAACCATAAATGAATCTGTGGTTTTTAACTTATAAAGACGGTCGTATGACGGTGATGAAGATGATGATGATGAAACGGACCCGCTCAGGATCTGTGGAGCGTCTTTTTCTTCTTCTTGGATTTTCTTTGGTGTTTAAAAAGTGAAAACATGCTCTTCTCTGAGAACTCATTTGTATGTCTGATTAATCGTTAATGTCGTCATGGTTCTTATTTCGGGATTGCCGATCACTCGCCGTAAAAACTGTCGCTCCTGAACCCCTGACTCAGAGCTCGGCCTTCAGGAGGAGAACAACAGCGATGTGAAGACAAACAGTTTTTCTGGACAGCAGTGAGGAGGATCGGCTCACACTGAGCGCTGCTGTCCGTGTTGACACAGCGCTGTGAATGTGGCGCCTGTACGCAGGGAGCCGAAAAGCAAACAAAGAGAGCGCTCTGTCCTGTCACTTTGGCGTTTCTTTGACCTCTGACGGCTTTAAGACAGACACAGAGACCTGAAACCTCGGACAGACACTCCAGAATAAGAACTTTAACTCGAGTTTCTGACGCAGTTTTTTAAAGGCCTCACTCTGAGACGTTCAAGTGCTGCCGTAAATTTGCCTTTCGACGGATCTGCTGCTCTACTGGAAATCCCTCTAACTCTGCAGCATCAGCACATTCCTCCGCTCCTCCCTAATCTGCACAAAAATCCCTGAAGTCCGTCCAGAAAAACTCTCTGGAGGAGGTTTTTACTCGGACTATGAAAAGTTCAGAGACTGAGGATCAGGCTGAGTGTTTTCTCTGAGGTTAAGATCCTTTTTCTGACACCTGAGGGAGTACAGACCGCAGGGCTGTAATCACAGACTGGAGCAGAGATGACCTGTAATAACAGCACACACACAGAGAAGCTGCTGCAGGTGAGACACGACCACAAATAATGATGCAACCCTCGCTGACAGCGCGGAGTCAGGTCAGAGCAGAACAACGCCGGGGTTCAAGACAGGAGATCATCTCACAGTTTTTACAGGTTTTTACATCCATCAGCGTTTTTTTTCTCCTCCTGACGAATCTGAGCAGGTTTGTGAAGCTGAATGAAAGTTTACGGAGGATTTTAGAGGCAGTTCTGATCGATTCATCAGGAAATGTCTGAAAAAAGTTCAGCTACAGTGAGTGAAAACTACTCAGAGGTAGACCGATGAACTGGTCTGAAGATTAAACATGTTTGGAGATCATCTGCAGACGCAGCAGCAGCAAAAAAGTTTGTTTTGAACTTTATAAAAACTGGTTATTAAACTAGTTTGTCCACATTTCCTCATTAATATAATTTCTGTTAAAGTGTGAAGGGCTGAGCTGTTTCTGTGTTACTATTGGCACAAATATCAGTCATGTCCTGAAAATTGTAACCTAATTTATTTTTCTACTTCATGAATTCATCAAAAATTCAACTCAGAGAAATGCACAAAAAAAGGACTTATGGTGCGTTTCAGTTGTACAGGGAAGTCGGGATTTCCGAGCTCCGAGTCAGAGCTTTGAACATGAACGACCCCCAAGATCGGATTTCTGACTCGGAAAGTCGGGCGATCCTCACAACCCCCGAGTTGACATTTAAAGACGGTTGTAAACAGGAAGTAGAAGCTCCTGTAATAAAGAAAAAACAGACAACCTTCTGCGCCTTTTTGTTTCCTCTTCATCCACCGTGTTTGCAGGTTTCGCATATTTGTCCAGAAGTTGTTTATAATCAGACAAAGCGAGAATAACTTTCATGTAGCCATCTTGTTTCCGCTACTTTTTTCCGACTCTGTGACTTTAACGCTGATAACTCGGGTGTGACGTTCCAGCTCCGACTTCCGAGGTTCATGGAATTCACCACAAGTTTTAGTTTTGTAATCCAAATATCGTCTTTTTAGTTTCTTTCTTTAAAGGTTGAACACGGCTGAACAGAAATCCTGAAATCTCTCGAGTTCATTTTGGACCGAGCTAAAGTTTCTTCTTCTACATTTATTCATTAAAACACTAATGACAGTTTCAGAGTTCTGTTCCGTCATGAAATTGTTGTAATTTATCAAATGGAAAAGGTAACAACAGCGTGACATTAGGGATGGGCGACAGAGATTTATCACGGTCAGATTTTACAACCGATAAAAGTCGATAAAAGTTGAGAAAACCACAAACGCTGTACCTTACCAGTTCAGGAAGTAGTCAAATCAGAAACTTGCCCACAGGTTTAAGTGGTAGGTTATAGAGAAAACGAGCAGAGCGAACAGCTGCAGCAGATCTTCGCCACTTTCGGCCATGTTTGTTTGTTTGTTTGTTTGTTTGTTTGTTATTCATCAACCTGCATTTTTCACATTTATCACGAGACGGCAAATAATAATCGTGGAGGATTTTTCTGACGATATATCGTGAATGATTACTTATCGCCCATCCCTACATGACATCGACATTATACTGCCTAACCAAAGCAAAGTTAACCTCGCTTTTTTATTCACACTTACAAACTTGGTCGACTCAGAATTAGCTGGTCAGTCTCTAAGGGGCAAAACCCACAGGGTCCGGAACGGCTCTGCACCGCTCCACCGGTGGATCAAATACGCAAACATGTGATTCCACAGACTGCGGATCGGCTACAGCGGCCGGATCAGTTACGCAAGGCTTTTATTTTTGCTGGACGCCGCAGCAGGGCGCATCAAGTCAGTGCAGCATGAGTCGCCGCGCAAGTTGGATGCAGCTAGAGTAAGAGTAAATCAATATGTTGAACTGTTCTTCGCTTGATAATAGGAGAGGGTTGTGGGATGTGGGTGTTTATCTAAACCGATCGGCGGATCTCATTCAATGTCTCACAGGGAAACACGTGAGATCTCGGGAGAGCTTCTCCTCCGATGGCAGCGGCGGACCAGATCCGGTGGGCGCCGTGGAATCCCCGGGTAATACCCATCACCTGATCATTTTCTGATACTGAGCTGATTTCTGTCCAAAGGTTATTTTTAAATCTGTTATTTGACGCTAAAAAGACGAGATCGAGAGACTCCTGCAGCGCCGTGGGCTCCGGAGAGGAGAGTCACTAAACTTTCTTTAACTGTGAGTGAATCTGTTCGGCTGTTTTACGGAGAAGTTCAGTGTGAGTTTTGGATGCTGGAGAGTGATACAGCTCTCCTCCTCTGTCTGAGTCAGCGTGTGCGGATGTGTGTTTGTGTTCGCTCACAGCTGTGGACAGCCTTGAAGCCAGCGTCATCTCCAGGTTTCCTTTCAGGCCGAGCAGAGCGGGGACCAGGATGAAGATCTCCGTGATGTACTGGAACGCCTCCCAGTGCTGCAGACGACACAGAGGAGTAAAAACATCAGATCTGACTCCACCTTCACTCCGCCTCATTTAAACTCCACCTGTTTGTGTGGTTATCTAAACGGGGCGGGTCGATACGAGCTTCCTGAGTCAGATAGAAACAGATGCTTCTCTAAACCACAAACCTGAAAAGCTCTTGGTTTCCTCCTGACTCATTAAAGAACTGAGAACGTTTCCAGAAAATCTGAAGCTATTTTGACTCTTCTCTGTCAGAATCATCAAACTCCTTCTGAGAAATCTTGTTTTGACTCGTTTCCTGACAGACTTCTGGTTTTAATCTTCCTGAAATCTAAACTTCTGCCCGAGAGCGCCTGATTGTGCGTTGCCCCTTTGGACTTTGCTCCGGCGATGACACCGTGTTCCCACGTTATCTCAGTTATCATCACTCTGTCTGCTGAGAACATTCTGTCACATATAAACAACAACAGTGAGAATCAGCTGACCTGCACCACATCCAGAACCATCCCGGCTGAAACCGTCCCGAATCCGGCCAGCAGGAAAGGCACCAGGATCTGCAGCGCCATGGCCAGCGGCGACTCCTTGGGCATGTTCTGCACATGACTTCCCTGCCCTTCCTCCTCCTCCTCTTCCTCGGCGTCTGCCTCGTCCCCTGACAGCCTCCTCTCAGCCAGCATGGGCTCTGTCTCTGAGTAACCTCCATCTCCACAGTCAGATAGAGATAAAGAGGCCCGGGAGGCTCGGTCCAGGAGCCGCCGGCCCTCTATGTGCGATGTTTCCTGTCTGTAGCCGTTCTGGAGCGGGCCGCTCTCGGGTTTAGCTCCCAGGTCCACCATGGCCAGCCGCTCCTCCTGTAGTTTGGTGTAACCGGTGGGCACCATGGTCTGGAACAGAGAGGCGATCCGACCGGAGGAAACAGGCTTCAGTGAGAGACCGCTCCACCCGCCACCTGCTCCGCTCATACGCACCGTCAGGCTAGAGCCGAGGGACTCCCCTATAGCTCCTCCCAGGCTCTGGATACTCATGATGTGGTCTCAGGCTGCTGTGTCTCATCTCCTGTCATCCAGTCTGAGAGCGGCGCTGAAAATGAGACTGAGTCAAACCGGTTCACACGGGCTCAGGTGCTCCGTCCATGTCGGGAAACCGCTTCAGGGACTCGGGTGCTCCTCAGTCTGCAGAGAGAAGACAACAGAGAGGAGGACGGGTGAGAGATCAGGGAGACACGGCCTGGGGCTCTGTTTGAGGTGTTAGTCCGCCGTCATGGAGCAGCTGAGTCACCTCCGGTTAAGAGGAACAAAAACAGTGAACCACATCTCTGAAAACAGAGCGTGAGAGTGACAGACGAAAGGAGAGAGGGTCGATCGTTCAGAAAACCACAGTCACACTCAGACTAAAAATGGCTCCGCAGTAGGGTCGCACTTTTCTGGACTTTTTAAAGTTGGAAACTTTTCATGGGAATTAATGGGAATAAATCTGAAATGTACAAAACTGAAGGTCGGCCCTCAGCAGTGAACTTCAATATAGTTGGTGAAAATATCTTGTAGCATAATCTCGACTAAAACAACCAGATTTAATGTAAGTGCACTCCTTAATCACATGATCACACGGCACACTGCTTACTGCAGGGCTATTGAGGCCACACCCCCTACATGCACCCCTACAAACGTGACCTTTAGTTTGATTTGCACATGTACAGATGATTTCTTGAACCCTGGAGGGTTTAGAGCCCAGAGCAGGAGACATTTGAGCCCACCGACTATAGAAACTAAGTTTGGATAATATTATGGAGTAAATATAAATATTCATACTTGACTTGTAAAAATTTTATAAAAATAGTTGCTGAATGTAAACTAGCTCATGAAATGTGATGCTGTTTCTTCTGACTCCTGCCAACCAAACAATCATTTATATAACAATTGTCAAATATTTCGAAGACCATCCCAGTTGTTTAGTCGACTATATTTCTGTTCGTGTCGTTGCATTAGTGTGTTTTTACAAGACTTTTTTGTTATTTTGTTCCACAGATAAATGTCACGTTCACCGTCTGAGGTGTGGAAACATTTCACACAAGCTCATGTTGAGGGAAAAATATTTACATTAATGTTTGGATATGAGACAATTTGTTTAAATTACCCCCAATTCCCAGATAACTCCCATAAATACCCAATTATTCCAGTAAATACCCAATAATCCCCATAAATTCCCATGAAAGTTTCCAATTTGGATTATTTCCAAAATCCCCCAGTTTAACTTCCCATGGAAAGTTTCTGGAAGTTTCCCGCCCCTTTGCAACCCTAGTCCAGAGATTAAATTACAGTTTCTCTTCATAACTGATTAACAGATAAGTTTGTTTCACAGCTTTCATCTAAATCATGTGGGAAAACTTCTATCACAGCTACAAAGAGCCCAAAACGAAAAACTCTTCATCCTCTGTTATTAACTGCTGAAAAAGATCAGCATATCCTCCGATTGAAGAAACCAAAGAGTAAACGTTCGATCACTTTCAGGAGGAAATAATTAAGAGTTTGTAAACTACCCTGAACTTTTTGAACTGTATTAAACGAAAGCAGTCAATCGCATCGATAACAAACCTCTGCATGTAAGAAATGAGATTAAAACTCTGTAAACTGAGGGGGACTAAAAGGAGACACCAACACCAGGTGGATCTAATCTTTGGGCCCTGAGGCTGCACTGCATTAAAAACATACATGACTCTGGAGTGGGAGTCACCGCAGACTGAACCACGCAAAGAGGAAACCAGACAGAAACATGAACCAGAATGTCAGCACCCTCTTTGGGTCAATTTAACCTGCGCCCTGACAAATTAAAATGTGACCATCTTTTAGGAAATCATGGACACATCATCCTCCACTTTACTGGAGAGGAGAAGGACCACTCGTCCGAAAGGTAGGTAAGTGTGATTACAACAGCATGGCTCTGAAGTAGAAGAGTCCCTCTGATAAACTTTGTCTTTTTACTCTTTCTGTTAAAAATAAGGTTTAAAATCAATTCCACATCCACCTCATTAACGTTTTACACAGTGGTATAACTATTTAAGAGCTGGGATTTCACTGCCATCTGCTCCACAAGTACAAGCAACTGTTAAACAAACTTTTCTGTTAGCTAGGAAAGGTAAATATTTGGGATAGGCTGGTACAAGAACCAAAGAAATAAACTTGCCTCACTTTGTTTTGACAGCATCAGGTCCACCATTTTATCTTGAAGGACTAATAAAGTCATCATAGTAGTTCAGGGGTAACTGAGAAAGTAAAGGTCTGTGATCTGTGAATCTGTGAATGTTCTCATTTCATTTTATTTATTTCTTAAATTTCATTCTGTGTTACTTTGTGTTTAGATTTTTACCTAAACCTCCAGTGTTTCTTTATCTTGAGTTTTAAAGTTTTAGCCCTTTTTAAGTTCATGTGTTTTAATTCTGTTTCTGTTACATTTCGATCGTGGAAATGAGGGGTTGGACTGGGGTAGATTTGGGTTTTCTTTGTTTCTTTCATTCCTTTTTCTGTGTAAAACACTTTGTGCTACATGGTTGTGGGTGTAAAGTGCTATATCAATAAAGACTGATTGATCGACTGATATGCAATAATAATAAAAAGAATTATTGTACCAGTTGAATAGTGTATAATAGATAAAAATACACATGAATGTGAAGCAGTGACTGTTATTTAGGGAGAGAGAAGGTGAGGAAGGGCTGGGGGGGGGTAGTAAGGATGCACCAATCCGATATTTCGATCAGATATCAGCTCTGATATTGACAAATTAACTGGATCGGATATCTGATGAATGTCACCGATCCAGCGTTCCGATCCAGCCATTTTTTTTTCTTTTAATTAATATCAAACACAGTAACACAGTGATTCTGTTCGCTCTATATTCTCTGTCTGTCTATCCCTTTGCACTAAATGTTTACATGGAAGTCTTACTTCTTTTTGCTGTGTGTTAATGTGAAATTTGTTATTTGTTAATAAATAATAGTCGGTAAATTTATATCTGTGTTAATTTGTTACAAGGCTAATGTCATTGGGAAAGGTATACACTTCATTCATTCAACAGTAGTATTGGATTGGTAACGGATATCGGCCGATATGCTCAGCCCAGGTATTGGTATCGGTATCGGATTGGATCGGAAAAACGTGGATCTCTAGTGGGTAGTAGAGATACGGCTCAACTTACCCCCCTAAGTTGCTCATAGGAGACCACTTTTTTGGCATGCTATATTATCACGATTACAGTTCCGTTAACACTCATGCAGAGATGATACACTAGTCAGAGACAACACGGGGATTGACTTGATGTAGTGATCGGAAATATGAAAAATAGCTCATCTTACCCCACTCTTCCCTGTAATCATGTGTTTATTTGTCCACCTTTCCTCCTCTAGTTCATCGTTATTCTGGCCTCTAACTTTTACTCTCACAATCAGCCTGTTTTATGGTTTCATTCGAAGCCCAGGGTTGTGTTTTAGCGGTGTAAGAAGAAAATAGAGGAGCCAGAGGAGAACATTTGTTTATGTTAGCTAGCTTCAATGCTGTGCTATGACGGTTAGCTGTGTAGGAATCAAAACAGAAGTCAGCGCGGCGGCTCCCTACTTACCAAACCGAGAGGAAGAACTAGAGAGCAGTTTAAAACAAACCAACAACCAAAGCTAGTTTTGAGGGGGAGTTCTTTTCGCTACGTTACCTTTCGGAGACGGGCACATTTCCTCCAGCAGCAGCAGTAGATGGTGATGTTAGGTTTCCTCTGACAGACAGTCAAACAGCAGGAAAGCCGCGTCAGAGCGAAGAGTGGCTGCAGAGATCGTCTATACCAACAAGATAAATCACTCACTTCGAAATCAAACGGGTAAACCTGCCGAAACACAACCGAGTTTGACTCAAACAGACTCATTCAAACACAGAAGAATCTAATTAAAATAGAACATTACAGCGTTTACTTTTTATTTCTTTAAATCGTTCAAACCTACAAGAGAGTACTAGGGCCACAGTAAGAAAACAAAGGCTTTGTTATTACTTCAAAATCATCACCTGCAAGATTAAGGTCGTAATTAAGCCATTATTTACGAGAATAAAGTCGTAATTAAGTCATTAATTACGAAAATAAAGTCGTTATTAAGTCATTAATTACGAGAATAAAGTCGTTAAGTCATTAATTACGAGAATAAAGTCGTTATTAAGTCATTAATTGCGAAAATATAGTCGTAATGAAATAAATATTTAAGAGAATAAAGTCACAATAAAATCATTTATTATGAGAATAAAGTTGTTATTAAGTCTTTAATTACGAGAATAAAGTCATAATTAAATCTTTTATTATGAGAATAAATTCGTAGTAAAATAATTTATTAAGAAAATAAAGTCGTAATCAAGTCATTACTTACAAGAATAAATTCGTAGAAAAATTATTTTTAACGAGAATAAAGTCGTAATAAAATCATGTATTACTTTAATAAAGTAGTAAAATCATATCTTAAGAGAATTAAGACTAAATTAGATAACTTTTTACGCGTATTGGCCCAAATACTCCGTCGTAAAAACACACGTTCAAATGTTTTTTTTTTTTTTTGTTTAGCATTACATCAGAGACAACAATGCATTACCATCCTAATATCAATACAATGAAAATAAACTCTAATCGAATTAACTTTTCGTCCTGAGCTGACATTACGGCGGTAGTTAGTACCTGACCCCAGCAATGTGGTTCAATTATCTGTGAAAGAAATCAGAATTGTGTTCGGAAACACCTCAAACTGGCATTGAGTGGCGGATGGGTTTGAGCGCTGAGAAAATTCTCGGAATGAGATGTCTTGCCAAACTTCTTGCAGTCTTCTGCTCGGAACAAAAAGTGCCACACACCAATGCTGCCTTCACGTGATGTGTGAAAAATGGAGAAACGATCATTTCATCTGCGGACACTCACGAAAAGGTTCCGTAAATCGGAAAATACGCCGTAAATTCTTTCATTTTTTACACCAGTACAAGAAACGAGGTACACCAAAGTTATTGTCGTTTTTCATTTATATAGTTTTCGTATTTTTACGATTAGACGATCGTAAACAAGCAAAGACACGCAGAAATAACGATAAATAAATCTGTTCCTAAAATTTCAGAGCTTTTAGAAGTAGCCTGAAATCACTGGTATTTAGCTGCTTGTTACGCCCATAGATATATATCTATATGAACTCTAGATGACTCACTCATGCTGTTAGCCAATGAAGACCGACATCCGCACATGGCGGCCATCTTGCTACATGCAGCCAGTCCACTCCTAACATTCCAGTCTACAGTGCATGTAACATTTAAAAAACCATAGATTGGGTAATTTTCAACCGATTTTCAAACAGTTTGGTTTGTAATAAACCTCAGAGTTTAAGTTATGTTCCTGCATACTCAAGAATAATTTTAACCATAATCTTTCATAAATAAACATTAAACAGATAGGTAGAGAAATAGCTACAGGCCTACACACACAATGTAGAATATTGAATCATTAATATATAAAACATTTAATCATTCAACGTATTTTATGAGTAATATTTGTATTAGAGTGACAACTTTAATAACACCAATATCTATTTTTCTATAAATATGTTTTATTCTATATGTGTGTGTGTGTTTTTTTCTTCTTTTGCTTTAGTTACCCCCTTTTTAGATTTCTGGTTGCTTAGGAAACTAAATCTAGAATATTGTTGATGTCTTGCAGAAATCTCCTATCTTCATCTTTTACCCTTTTTTTTTTGTTAGATGTGTGGATTTATCCACCACATACTTTAAATGAACAATAACTCACCTTAGAGAGAATATCACTAATGAAAATACATGAATCAACTGTGCTGCACGATTAAATTTTTCTTTCTCAAAGAGAAGCTTCAATTTCAACATGTCCAAACATGCCGACTCAGAGCCACAATCACTCTGCTGTGAGACTGAAGTCTTCAAACCTGCCGAGGATCACAGACTTTACCTTTGAGTCCAACAGGAAGTTTGATTTCCAAGAAAAGACGATCAAATCAAAGTTCCTGCTTCATAAAAACTAAGACCAACTAAACACACCGACTTTCCTTCACGCAGCGTCCTCCAGCCTCAGCTGAATCAAGGCTTTGAGTCTCTATGATCCACTACCGTATTGACCTGAATATAGGAGCACCCTGATGATAAAACCTTCCTCCAATTTTCAGACTCACTTTGAGGACTTTTTAAAGACCAAATCTAGTTTTTCTTTTTAAGGAAAAATAATAAAAATCAATTGGACACAGTGAATGAAACAAGCTGAGTTGATGTTTTTAACATGTTTTGTTCAAATAAAGTTTTTATTATCTTTAAATGACGCTGTGACGGTGAAATGAAATCAAAAATGATCTGGTGAAAATGAAGAACCAACATAGTGTTACGCAGACAGAGCATAGATCTATTGATACTAGATAAGCTGAAGAGGACAAATCTGTTCACAATAGTTCTATATTTCCTGTTTCTCTGATGTGAGCAGACTGTGACATGAGCTGTCCTGGCTTTTGATTGGATCTTAAAAGATCAGCTGATGGCAGATACAGCCTCTGATTGGCTAACAACAGAAATGACACTTTGTCACTGACATTAATCCATAAACCATCAGATTATTTTCTTTTTGGAGGGATGGGATCAGGAAGGTCTCTGAAAACACACCGATCTTCTCTGTGGGATAGAAAAGCTTTGGAGTGTCACAGAAACACAAACTTATCTCCTGAAAGCTGACGGTCTCACAAAGCCAGTGGATTTTACAGGAAGTCACTCCACTGTAGCATCAATTTATGAAGCTGAGATTGTAATCAACAACACTGAGTTTATAAAACAGCATCGACCACGTTAATGACTTCACCCTGAATAGATGCTGATCTCACTTTTTCCAGACTCCAGTCAATACGGTTATTTTTGTCTGTCAGAGGAAAACTTCTCCATCATAATAAAGTAAAAATAATGTTTTTGTTTTTGTTCAAGAATCTTTCCTTTGACTGATTATATTTCACACATTTTACTTTGACTTTCAGGTCTCATTTATGGTTTAATAATTGTGTTTGTTCATCCAAACAAGAGGGAATCGATTATTGATGAGCACAAAGATGATATGAGAACAAAAACATGTAAAGAGAAGGAAAATAATGTCTAATAATATAAAATAAGGTCAATTTACCTCCAGTCAATATTTACAATCATTTCAGAAAATGAAGAAGAAAACAGATGAATAAAAATAATCAAGTGAAAGAATAAAGCTTCAGATTTTTGTTCAAACCCCAAACCCTGTCCTCCTCCCTTCACCTCCATCTCTCCTCACTTCTCTTCCTCTCCCTTCAGTTTATATTTGGTCTGTAACGGTGAAGAGGAAAGAAAAAACCTTTGGGTTTAATCTGAACTTCTGACTGATCTACTCTCACACATGGTATCAACTTCTGCTGCAGAAATATGTGGGAATAATTCAACTCCACCTCTTTATATTTCCACTGGGTGGCGCTGCATCATGGTAAAAACAAAGTAATCCAATCAAAATGTAAATTTATGATCATGTTTCCATCAACAAAACAAACCTGTTCAGACTGTTTGATCCCAGAATATGAGGGAAAAGATCAAATATCCAGAGTCCAGGTCCTGAGCTGATCTCAGAGCAGGTCAAAGTGCAGCTCCCACAGTCCTCTCCGCCCGCTGTGATTGGTCAGTCAGTCTCTCAGTAACACAGCCCAGTCAGAGACTCACCTCACCCTCACTGCTGCTGCCTCCACCTCTCTGATCGTCAGGAAACACATGATCCTCTTCTTAATCACTCTCACAGATGTTACTCCCATCTGAGGAGAGAAAAAAAAGACGATCAGTGTTTCCACTCTGAGACTCACTTCATCAGCTGGACTGAAGAACATCCAGTTTACAGACCAGCAGGTCTCAGTCCTGCTCAGACCAGAAGTGATGGTGTAAAGCAGCAGGTTTCCTCACAAATAAACCAACATCATCAAAATAAAGAAATCATTCCTGTCAAATGTGTTAAAGCTGATCGAACAAACCTGCTGTGAAAATAACAAGTATAAAGAACAGCTGTCTGTTTTCAAACTTAGAGGTCAAAATCAACAAGTTAGCAGAGAAATAAAGTCTGTGTTGAATACAGAGAACTATAAACTGGACTTCAGAGCAGAAACTGAACATTTCTATTTCATTATGTCTCATTTCTACATTTGATCTGAAATATAGAGACGAGGAGACACTTTTTTCATCACTGACACTCTTACACTCCTGGTTTGATGATTTCTGTTCTCACAGCTTCACTAAAGAAATAATCCTCTGAGAGGGTCGAAGAGTCAGCAGGAAATACTGAATATCTGCTGTGATACTGTGTGGAGAGGAACAGGAGAGATCAGCACAGACTAACTCCAACTCTATACTGACATCAGATCCTTCAGTCTGTAGTCTGGACTCTTCTGAAGATCACACAGCAGCTTCACGTCTGAATACTGCAGATTGTTGTAACTCAGGTCAAGAGTTTTCAGATGGGAGGGGTTGGACTTCAGAGCTGAGGCCAGAGAAGAACAGCTGATCTTTGTCAAACTGCAGCCAAACAACCTAAACAAAGAGGAAATAATGAGATTTTAGACAAAAATGATCCAGTTTGAAACCTGATGTCTTAAATCTGTAGAGTTCAGGGGAAAGGTTTGGAAAGTATGAATCAAAGAAAAGTGCCGCTCCAAAGAGCTGAACCAAACAGGAAGTCAGTTTGAAACAGTGAATTTAAAAACACATTAAATAGTGAAATAAAAAACTCAGAGACTTTTTTACTGATTGTAGATGCAGCTCAATATTTCCAGAAAATGTCAGCGACTTCAGGACGGATGGGAAATAAAGGATGTTCAGAATATTTTCACTTTGCTGAACCAAAAATATCACGTCTTTGAGAGGAAAATATTTCAGTCTAAACACAGCAAGGCTTCAGAAAAGTGAAGATAAACCATAAAAGTCAGATTTTCACACAAAGATTCAAAAACAATCAAAATTCAAAGTAACAGAGCTGGACTTTCATCAGTGTCAGAAACTAAACTCTGAGTTTTTTCTATTCCCTGATCTTGTCCTGAACAAAAGTTTGAATGGTTCTCGTCTGACAAATCTCCCCCTGCTTCTGTTTTCTGTCTGAATGTGCTTCTCACTGTGAACTCTACAAAGAGTTTTCTTCTTGGGTTCAGGTTTTAATTCACTGGAGCTCAGCAGTGATCTAACTGGAGTCAATCAAATAATCCACTGATGCAGAAAATCTACTCTGGACTGAAGGTGTTCAGTCTGGGTCAGTATTTCAGTCCTGAGTCAGCAGTTTAGTGTCATCATCACAAACAAATCATGATAATGTTTGAATGGAGGAAAAAAAGTCTCACTTCAGAATCTCCAGTTTACATTTTGGACTCCTCTGAAGGTCACACAGCAGCTTCACTCCTGAATCCTGCAGCTTGTTGTCACCCAGGTCCAGAAGTCTCAGATGGGAGGGGTTGGACTTCAGAGCTGAGGCCAGAGAAGAACAGCTGATCTTTGACAACCTGCAGCACCACAGTCTGAAAAAAGGAAAAAAAATCATTGAACCTCTGAAGAAACTGTTCCTGCTTTTAATGATTCAATGTTCTTGAGCCCCTGAAGGACATGGAAGAACTTTTTCAGAGTTGATCTTGAGGAACTTTGTAAAATCCTCTCTAAACTTTTTGAAGATCTTGAGGAATTTTTCAGTCGAGAAAATTTTAAAGAAACAGAAAACTTTAGTGAGATCCTGAGAAACTAATGAGTGAAATCTCAAAGGTTTTTTTGTCGTCTTGAATTCTTCATGAAGATTAAAACAGTCAGGAGTTTATTCAGGGGTCTGTCCGTCTGCTGTCAACAACTGCCAAACTACTCTTAAATAAACCAACAGATCATTGATCAGAGAGGTTTTTATGGACCAACTGGACAAGATGATGTTCATGTTCAACAAACTGAAGTGAAAACTGCAGAAAAATCTGGATCTGGTTTTTACATTTGAACACGACTGAGCAAAGAAGAAATTCAAGTTTTCAAGAGTTTCCAAATGAAATATCCAGAGTTGGATTAACTTTGTTCTTCAGGTTTCAATCTGCAGCTCATCATTTCTCTGACACTTCATTCATTCATTAGTGATCACATTAATTGTGGATCAGTTCAATATCAGCCTTTAGTCTGTGCTGCTCCTGCCCTCTACAAGCATGTGTAATATTTGTGGGACTGATTTTCTCCTGCTTCCTTTCTACATCCATCGTTCTCCTCAAAGTCAACTCTGAAATGTCGGATTTTTCTTCCTGTGTTGAAGTTTTACAACGACAAATTCAAACTGCTCGACCAAAGTTGATGGAAAAACCACAGAGAAAAATCTAAGGCAGCAGCTGTCACATCTTATTGTTAGATCAGAAGGAAATGGTGCCTCACATCAGAGTCTCCAGTCTGCAGTTTGGACTCTCCAGTCCTGGAGACAGAAGCTTCACTCCTGAATCCTGCAGTTTGTTTCCGCCCAGGTTCAGATATCTCAGATGGGAGGGGTTGGACTTCAGAGCTGAGGCCACAACTTCACAGTGAGTCTCTGAGAGTTCACAGTATGAAAGTCTGTAACAACATAAATATCAAACAATATTTCATTAAAGGGTAATTTGATGTTTCTCTTCACCAAAAACAAACATGATCTTTGGTTTGACAGACGGCCTGTTTTTAACCAGACAGATACTAATATCAGGACCACAGCCATGAGAGAAGACAGGAAGTCAAAGTTTAGAAGAAAAAAAAACTGTTCAGATGTTCAAGACAAATGACTCCATGACTTATTTTAGTCCTTCTGTTCTCTAACAGTGTTGTCTTCATGTTAGTGCAGCTGGATCATTATGACTGAGTGAATTCTTGAGTTCTGGTTGGAGAAGGGGACTGAGAACCAGGTTTTTGGTCCTGGTATGTGATTGGTTAGTATCCAAAGTACCTCTTGGAGAATCAGTGCTCCTCTCAGTGTTTAATGTTGACATCCTGCTGTAATGTAAGTCTTTCCATAGACACTGACTGTTGACCAATCAGAGGACGACTCACTGAATCACAGCAGCTCCTTTTTCTCGGATTGGTTCAGATAAAATCATTTTTTTCGCAGGTTAGAGCTGGTTTGACTCTGAACATTTGAAGAGTTGAAGATTTCTTTGTTTTCACAATCAAAGTTTTTTCTCCCTGTAACATTCGCTTCAGCATCAGAAACAAGTTTATAAAGCCTGATGAATCCAGAGAGACCTTTAAGAGACAGATACAAAGACCCACTGAACCTCTGTCTTTGGGCTCTGGTCATATCTCTCTCTCTCTCTCTCTCTCTCTCACATTATCGTCTAATACTTCATGATAGTTAAACGATAAAAACAAAGTAAAACCTGAAGAGCTGTGGTCAAAGTTAGGGCTGAGGTTATTTGAACTCTAGGGGGCATATGTTCTCATGACACCTATAAAAATAACAGATTGAATTTTTCTAGTTTGTGTTTCATACAGAAAGAAACATTTGGAGTCAGAGGAAATAAAACAGATTCATCTTTGAATGTGTTTTCTTCACTTTTTAAATGTTTGCACTAAATCATGAAGTGAAGTATCAATAATGAGTCCTGATAATATCAACATGGAGGATCAATATGGGTACCTGTATTAATTCAACCTAATGACAGTCATGCTAGTTATAGTCCTTCAGACCTGGTTCAGTCTCACAGACTCAGACCTGGATCAAACCCCAGTCTGCTGCAGTGTTTGTTTAAAGGCTGTTTCAGCAGAAGGCAGCAGTCTGACCAATTTACATCAACATCTTAAACAGAGGCATGCAGCCGAGTGGGAGAAATGTGACCGCTACAGCCCACCAACACCTCAACATTAAGCCGCGTTCAGACCAAACGCGACCAGGTCGCGTCGCGTCGCGTTGGTCGGTCAGGTCGCGTCGCGTGGTGCCCTGGTGTGTCAACACCGGGTCCAAAGCTGCAGTCGCAGGTCGCGGCTGGTCGCAGGTGACGTCATCCATGTCACTAGCTCAGTTTTCAGTTCATCAGTGCTGCCGCATATCTGTACATCCGCAGTAGACGCCGCCGGCGTTTATGGGTGCATGAAACCATCCAGAGGAGGACGGAGCTGGGTGAATTTCACCGCTTGCTCCAGGAACTCCGCCTGGACGACGGCCGCTTCCAGCGGTACTTCCGTGTGTCGACGGCGCAGTTCGAGGACCTCCTCGCCCGGGTGGGAAGCAGCATCTCCCGCCTGGACACGAAATACAGGCGCTCCGAAACTGAGATGCTTCTTCTTTGGCGTTGCGGTCCCGGTACAGCCCGCAACCCACGTCGTATAGCACCGGGTGGTAGCTAACGGATGTGATTAACTGCTCCTCCATTGTGATTCTTCTTCTCCTCTTCCTTGTTTCGCCGGTTTGTTGACGTCAGCAGAGCCCTGATTGGCTGTCGCGGCACGGAGTCGCTCCCAAAGTTCAAATATTTGAACTTTGGGAGCGACGCGACTTGGCGTCCTGCGACCTCGGCGACGCGACCTCGGGGACGCGCCTTGGCGACCCGTCGCGCCCGGTCGCGCATGGTCGCGTCGCAGGAAGCCGGCGGTCGCCAAGTCGCGTCAGGTCGCGTCAGGTCGCGGCTGGCCATAGACTTTGCATTGGGAGCCGTCACCAAGTCGCGTCAGGTCGCGGCTGGTCTGAACGCGGCTTTAAGCCGCGTTCAGACCAAACGCGACCAGGTTGCGTCGCGTCGCGTTGGTCGGTTAGGTCGCGTCGCGTGGTGCCCTGGTGTGTCAACACCGGGTCCAAAGCTGCAGTCGCAGGTCGCGGCTGGTCGCCGGTGACGTCATCCATGTCACTAGCTCAGTTTTCAGTTCATCAGTGCTGCCGCATATCTGTACATCCGCAGTAGACGCCGCCGGCGTTTATGGGTGCATGAAACCATCCGGAGGAGGACGGAGCTGGGTGAATTTCACCGCTTGCTCCAGGAACTCCGCCTGGACGACGGCCGCTTCCAGCGGTACTTCCGTGTGTCGACGGCGCAGTTCGAGGACCTCCTCGCCCGGGTGGGAAGCAGCATCTCCCGCCTGGACACGAAATACAGGCGCTCCGAAACTGAGCTGCTTCTTCTTTGGCGTTGCGGTCCCGGTACAGCCCGCAACCCACGTCGTATAGCACCGGGTGGTAGCTAACGGATGTGATTAACTGCTCCTCCATTGTGATTCTTCTTCTCCTCTTCCTTGTTTCGCCGGTTTGTTGACGTCAGCAGAGCCCTGATTGGCTGTCGCGGCACGGAGTCGCTCCCAAAGTTCAAATATTTGAACTTTGGGAGCGACGCGACTTGGCGTCCTGCGACCTCGGCGACGCGACCTCGGGGACGCGCCTTGGCGACCCGTCGCGCCCGGTCGCCCGGTCGCGCATGGTCGCGTCGCAGGAAGCCGGCGGTCGCCAAGTCGCGCCAAGTCGCGTCAGGTCGCGTTTGGTCTGAACGCGGCATTAGAGGAATCATCTTCACTCTGCATCACCATGACAACAAAGGGATACCATGGAAAACTGATGATAATGATGATGATGATGATGATGAAGATGATGATGCACTCAAGCTGCTTCTCCTTAAAGACACGGTGTCCATATATACAGTGGAAGAGCACGGCTGTTTCCACATGCTATGAGGTGTTATGAGGCTGACTAGTGTCAGTGCTAACCTGCAGCACCGAGGGCAGAGAGAGAGAGAGAGAGAGAGAGAGAGAGAGAGAGAGAGAGAAAGAGACAGAGAGAGAGAGACATTAACATCCTATCTCCACCATTGTTTTCAGACTCATGGAGCTGCTGTCCAAATAACTCCTGTGTTCTCATCATTCATATGTTCTAGTCCAGCAGATAATCTCCAGTGAGTGGTGGAAAATGATGTTAGTTTTCATGGTTGTATTGATGATGAATATTGAATGATGAACATGATGGTACAGAGACAGTTCTGCCACTGTGGAGAAAATGATCCAGTTCTATTTTCACCATCAATGCTGTCAACACCCTCATTTACAACAGATTCATCATTTCCAACCTGAAAACCAGCAGGAAGAAGCTGCAGACACCTTCTTCAAACTCAAGTTCACCACAACTGACTGAGATGTTGATCTGGACTGATACCATCATCAGAAGACCTCTGTGTGTCCTCAGATATGGTCGCTGATTTATCCTGAAAGTTCGACTTTATTCATTACAGACACGATTCAAAACAAAGAGGTCCTCCACAATTAGGACAAGTTCTCAGGGGTCCACAGGTAGACCTCATCCTGGGCTAACAGGACTTTAGACACCAGGATCATGTTTTTGCTAAAGAAACCCCCTCCCTGATATTTGAGTCGATTTCTATTTGAAGAAGAACATCATCAGTAACGTGGACATTAGAAGAACTACAGGGATCATTTACACTATTCTGAGAATAAAACCTGGACTTACATGGCCTTTCTGCAGTTCCTCACAGCTGGGATCAGTCTCTGTCGTCCCTGGTCTAATGTGTTATAATTATCTAAGTCCAACTCATCCAGAACCTCCTCTGACATCTGCAGCATGTAGGCCAGAGCAGAGCAGTGGATCTCTGAGAGGAACTTCACTGATCTGTTCTTTAACTTCAGGAACTCTTGAATCTCCTGATGAACTGACAGATCGTTCATCTCCATCAGACAGTGGAAGATGTTGATGCTTCTGTCAGGAGAGATATCTTTACTGTTCATCTCCTTCAGGTTCTTGATGACTCTTTGGATCACTCCTGGACTGTTGTCTGTGTGACCCAGCAGACCTCCTAAGAGTCTCTGGTTTGACTTCAGAGAGAGTCCATGAAGGAAGCGAACAAACAGGTCCAGGTGACCGTTTTTACTGAGAAGGGATTTCTTCATGACTCTCTTCAGGAAGACATCCAGAGAAGAGAAACTGTCACCCAGGTTTTTAGGAGAATAAGAAACCATCTCTGAAGAAAACCTTTTGTCTTTGTGTTCATTGTCTCTTAGGAAAGTCTTCAGAGCTTCTGTGTTCCTGTTTGTGAAACTGTGGATCATGTAGACTGCAGACAGAAACTCCTGAACGCTCAGATGAACGAAACAGTAAACAGTTTTCTGGAAGATCACACTCTCTCTTCTGAAGATCTCTGTACAAACTCCTGAGTACACCGAGGCCTCTGAGACATCCAGACCACACCGCTTCAGGTCTTCTTGGTAGAACATGATGTCTCCTTTCTCCAGATGTTCAAAGGCCAGCCTCCCCAGCTTCAGGAGGACTTCACTGTCAGCCTCAGTCAGCTCCCGAGGACTTGTCTCATGTCCTCCTTCGTACTTCTGCTTCTTCCTCTTAGTCTGGACCAGCAGGAAGTGTGAGTACATGTCAGTCAGGGTCTTGGGCAGCTCTCTTTGCTCTCTGCTCATCATGTCCTCCAGAACTGTCGCAGTGATCCAGCAGAAGACCGGGATCTGACACATGATGTGGAGGCTCCTGGAGGACTTGATGTGTGAGATGATTCTTCTGGACAGATCTTCATCTCTGAACCTCTTCCTGAAGTACTCCTCCTTCTGGGCGTCAGTGAAGCCTCGTACTTCTGTTACCCTGTCCACACGTGAAGGAGGGATCTGATTGGCTGCTGCAGGTCGAGAAGTTATCCAGAGGAGAGCTGAGGGGAGCAGGTTCCCCTTGATGAGGTTTGTTAACAGAACGTTCAGTGAAGACTTCTGTGTGACGTCAGACACCACCTCAGAGTCGGTGAAATCCAGAGACAGTCTGCTTTCATCCAGACCGTCAAAGATGAACAGAAGTTTACAGACAGCCAGCCTCTCTGCTGTGACCTTCTCTAGTGTTGGATGGAAAACATGGAGCAGACTCAGAAGACTGAAGCGCTCATCTCTGATCAGGTTCAGCTCCCTGAATGAAAGCAGGATCACCAGATGGAGGTCTTGGTTCTCCAAACCCTCTGCCCAGTCCAGAGTGAACTTCTGCACTGAGAAGGTTTTTCCAACACCAGCCACGCCGTTGGTCAGAACCACTCTGATGAGCTTCTTCTGTTGGTCAGGTAAGGTTTTAAAGATCTCATGACACTTGATGGGCGTGTCATGGAGGGTCTTCATCTTTGAAGCTGTCTCCAGCTGTCTCACCTCATGTTGCGTGTTCACCTCTTCACTCAGTCCCTCTGTGATGTAGAGCTCAGTGAAGATCCTGTTGAGGAGGGTTTGACTACTTCCTGTTTCATCACTTCCTTCATTCACACGTTCACATCTCCTCTTCAGACTGATCTTATGTTCATCTAAAACCTCCTGCAGACCACCATCTTCTGAAAGAGAAGAAAAATAAAATGAACCAAACTTCTCAACACTAAAACGTCTGTGAAAAATCAGTCAGCTGAGTTTTCATCCACACAGACCTTAGAGGACAGATGTTCAGACTTACCTCTATCAGAGCTGGACAGCTGCTCCTCCACAGACTCACATCTCTGTGTCTCTCTGTGGAAATAAAGAACATTTATTTTCTTTATCATTTCATGTTTGAAAGATACAGAATAAGAAACATTTATTAAACCAGAGTTTCTGACCTCACTCTTTTCTCTAACATAAAACAATCTCCTGTAAAATATTCAGCTGCTGCTGCCGCAAAGTGTGGAGACAGGAGAAGAAACTAAACTGTGATTTTTGAAGGTAGAGAGATTTTCTCTGACAGTTTCAAACATTTTTTGACCAATCAGATCTAAAGGTCTAATAACAGACAGATGTTTGAATGAGTTTTTATTTCTCAGGATTTATTTCTTCATTGGTCTTCTGGTATTTTGGGACCCACAGACTGTTTTCTGGGGTCTATACACCACAGTCCAAAGACTTACAGGCTCAAAACGTCCCAAACACAGGAACCAAATCAGAAAATACAGAGGTCAGGATCCTTTTCAAATGCTGCTTTATATGACCTTTATTTTTATCAACATTAAGAATAATAAGTAAATCTGTGCTCAGTGACTTTTTCTTTACTTTGTCCAGGTTGGAGGTTAAAGAGGAAAATCAGCGTTTTGAGAGCAGAGGAGATCATTTTTCTCACCATGGTAGAAAACAGAGGGGTCAGGATTTAAAGTTCTGATTTTGAAACATCAGTTGTTGTTGTTTGAGAGTTTGGAGGGTGAAAAGTATTTCTCTTACTGTGAATCTGAGGGTCCTGGTTCTTTAGTGAAGAGCAGTGGATCATCTTTAGACCGGTCACTCTTCATAGACAGACAGTCGGACATGACAGACTTTGCTCTGCCCTCCTCTGAGGGTCCTGGTTCTTCACTGAAGTTCAGAGGTTTATCTTTAGACCGGTCACTCTTCATAGACAGACAGTCGGACATAACAGACTTTGCTCTGCCCTTCTCTTCGTCTACACAAACACTCATCTTCTCCATCTGATGTTGTGCAAATTTATGGAAGATGAAACCAAGTTATACAACCTGAGGACAAAGTAGACAAACAGGTGAGATACAAACAGGAAGAGTGTTCAGAAATAAAAGAGGAATCAGAAAGGAAGTACAGAGTCTGAAAACAGCTTAATCCCCCTCTTTAAGAGTTATACAGGTTTAATAATCAAGTACTTCTGATGTCTCCCCACCCTGCAGGGCCTCTCTCTGATCCTTATCTGATTCGTGGTCAAAACAAAATCAGCTGTGAGGTCCCTGAACTCTCATAAAAAATTAAGGGGACTGGATTAAATTTGAAATGAGACACTAAAAAGATTCTGATTGTTGTTTTTACCAAAAAGACAAGTCTTAACAAAGAGGAGGAAGAACTGCACGTACACGGTTTCCTGATCCAGCTCTTTGTCTGCTCAGGTTTCTTTGTTTTACAGTTTTTAAGTGTATTAGTCAGTAAATCATTTTTCATTAACAGATGATACAGATAAAGAGTTTAACATTAAAACAAAAACAGAGTAAACACTCACCCTGTCTCCTCGTCCTCTCCTCGCTCTGCTCTGTTCGTTTCTCAAAATGGAGTCTGTTTGTTTAACTCGCATACTTTCACTTTCACTCAGACTGTTTTCACTGAAACCTAAACCACCAGATCACAGATTCTTCTCCTCATTTACTGACAGTTTTTGATCATCTATTAAGTTCAGTATTCTTGACAACAATCTTCCTCTCCTGAGTCCGAATAAAAAAAGTTCACTAAAACAGGAACTTGTTTGGTTGAGTCTCAGTTTGTTAAAGCAGCAGCTCCACCTGCTGGTCAAACCAACAAACTACCAGATGAGCACTCCTCTTCTCATACCCCAACTAAATGTGAATATTTTGTTGAACAGGTTTTTATTTTTGCACACAGTGTGATTGTGTTGTTACTACACAAGCTCCTCCTTCACCTCACTTTACAAAGATCACTGTCCAACATCATATTCAGTAAAGGAAACAAATATGTTGATGTGATAAGATAAGTTGTAGTTCACTGCCTTAGGTATCGCTGTCCTGTTATCTGGGCTCAGAAATAAAGGTAGCTGTGTCCATATTATTAAAAGATGGCTGTTACAATAACGGCCAACTTGCTTCAGGCAGCTCCCCCACTCATAACACTCCAGTCTACAGTGCATAAACATTTAATTAACCATAGATTCATTCATTTTAAACCGATTTTCAAACGAGTTTTAGTTATGATCCTGCATACTCAAGAATAATTTAAACCATTGATTTTCATAAATAAACAATAAGCAGATTGTACAATCATTAACGTGGATCCCTGTGGCGCCTCCTGCCCACGAACACGCTGTTACACGACGATGTTTAACGTCGTGGAGAAGTCGGTTTCAAGTTAGTGAAGCACAAATTAATTTACACGGTTATGATGATATTTGCGTGAATTTTCGGATCACATGAGTTCGGTGGTTAGGGAGCATTAACACGGATCAAATGACGATCCCATTCAAAATGAACGTTAGCTTAATAATGTTAGCTGAACTTACTAGTGTCAGATACCTGTGTTAGCTCACAGAAAGCAGATACACGGTTATTTCAGGATCTCTACTACAAATTTAATAACATTAACATGAAAACTGAAAGCTTGGAGCTCAGACGCCTTTACTGAAACAAAAAAATACAGAAAGCTCAACGTTACCTCTCCCGGAGTTCGTCAGGTAGGTTACTCTGTGTCGGTGTCCTCGGAAGACCGACAGAGAAACTCTAAAAAAACATATAATGTGGATAAAACTTAGACATTAACGTAATTCCAATAAAGATATGATAATATAATCCGTGAAATGATAACTCACTGTAAATATCCATGAATTCGTTCACTTTAGCCGGTACCAGTTGACCGCCTGTTGAACTGGTTCAAACCGGTTTTACAGGTTCTGTTGGTGGGCGGGGTTATCTATTTGAATTTAAATACTAAAATACTTCATTTAACAGTTATTATCAACAAATACAATACAAATTATCGATTAAACCACGAGTGCTCAAAATGAATGCAAATTTATTGACATTAATTCAATAAGTTTTTTTCAAAAATAGACAAAGATAGATAGATAGATAGATAGATAGATAGATAGATAGATAGATAGATAGTCTTATTAAAAGCTGTTTCTTATACTTTGTCCGCCTCAATTACAAACATAGCAAAATAGAGCAATAGAGCATAGCAAACAGAGCAAAATATTAGGTAACAACTGTGAATATAATGCACAATCCTGTAGACCACCAACACACACAACAAGTTTAACAATTAAATAGTTTTTACTTTTCTGTTTCATGATTCAAACAGGGTAGGATTAATAAAGTTTTAACTTCTTCCTCCTCCCTTTTGCACACGTAAAATAATGCTTTTGTCTTGCTGATGGAACTTTTTGATTTCTTTTTTCTTTTTTTTTTCTTCTTTTTTTTTTGCTTTTCTTTTCACTCAGCTGTAATTCAAATTCGATTTTACATGTACAAAACAAAGACATCAACCAATCAATGTTCACAATGTTTTTAATGGGGGACAAGTCAGGACAGCAGGCAGGCCAGTTAAGCAGCAGGACTCTTCTACTACAGAGCCATGCTGTTGTCATCTGTGCATACCTTACTTCTCTAAACTTGTCAGGGTCCCTCTCAGTGATTGTCTATTTTTCTGACAAAGTAAACACAGCAGCTCATGTACAGGGGGAGGCTCATTAGATTATCAGGTAATAAGGTTCAGTCTTTTTGCTATGAGTCAGAATATTTTTGATTATAATGTACACTCACCGGCCACTTTATTAGGTACACCATGGGTTGGACCCCCTTTTGCCTTCAGAACTGCCTCAATTCTTCGTGGCATAGATTCAACAAGGTGCTGGAAGCATTCCTCAGAGAGCTTGGTCCATATTGACATGATGGCATCACACAGTTGCCGCAGATTTGTCGGCTGCACATCCATGATGCGAATCTCCCGTTCCACCACATCCCAAAGATGCTCTATTGGATTGAGATCTGGTGACTGTGGAGGCCATTTGAGTACAGTGAACTCATTGTCATGTTCAAGAAACCAGTCTGAGATGATTCCAGCTTTATGACATGGCGCATTATCCTGCTGAAAGTAGCCATCAGAAGTTGGGTACATTGTGGTCATAAAGGGATGGACATGGTCAGCAACAATACTCAGGTAGGCTGTGGCGTTGCAACGATGCTCAATTGGTACCAAGGGGCCCAAAGAGTGCCAAGAAAATATTCCCCACACCATGACACCACCACCACCAGCCTGAACCGTTGATACAAGGCAGGATGGATCCATGCTTTCATGTTGTTGACGCCAAATTCTGACCCTACCATCCGAATGTCGCAGCAGAAATCGAAACTCCTCAGACCAGGCAACGTTTTTCCAATCTTCTAGTGTCCAATTTCGATGAGCTTGTGCAAATTGTAGCCTCAGTTTCCTGTTCTTAGCTGAAAGGAGTGGCACCCGGCGTGGTCTTCTGCTGCTGTAGCCCATCTGCCTCAAAGTTCGACGTACTGTGCATTCAGAGATGCTCTTCTGCCTACCTTGGTTGTAACGGGTGGTTATTTGAGTCACTGTTGCCTTTCTATCAGCTCGAACCAGTCTGGCCATTCTCCTCTGACCTCTGGCATCAACAAGGCATTTCCGCCCACAGAACTGCCGCTCACTGGATATTTTTTCTTTTTCGGACCATTCTCTGTAAACCCTAGAGATGGTTGTGCGTGAAAATCCCAGTAGATCAGCAGTTTCTGAAATACTCAGACCAGCCCTTCTGGCACCAACAACCATGCCACGTTCAAAGTCACTCAAATCACCTTTCTTCCCCATACTGATGCTCGGTTTGAACTGCAGGAGATTGTCTTGACCATGTCTACATGCCTAAATGCACTAAGTTGCCGCCATGTGATTGGCTGATTAGAAATTAAGTGTTAACGAGCAGTTGGACAGGTGTACCTAATAAAGTGGCCGGTGAGTGTAAGTCCTGGAGGTTAAACTGTGATCATTCAGGTTTAAGAATTGATCTGTAAAATCTTTGTGTGTGGGGTTGGAATATGTAGAAGAGTGTTTGACAGCAAAGTTGCATGCATGGAGGTAACTTTTCTGCCAAACTCTCTGTTTACTCCTTAAATGCTGTGATGTGAGTCAAATCTCTGACTCCGTCTGGCACTTTTAAATCTGAACTGCTAGATCTCATGTCAGCCAGCAGATGGCTCCAAATGTCCTCAAAGTTTATTCTGATGTCCTTATGAAAACAGATCAGGGGTTTCCACAGAGCACATGGATTACTGCACACAGACTCACCAAAGGAAACCCAGACTGAATAACCTGCTGCACTCCGCTCTGTGACACCTGTATATTCAATATCAACATTTCAGACAAAAACAGCTTTCATTTATGCCAGAATGATTAAACCTGTCCCCATGTCTTTGCTCCTGAAGGAGACAGACAAAGAAAGATCATTTAGGGTACAGTAACATCAGACTGTTCAGATCCTCAGGATCCTCCAGATTTACAGGAAGTCACTCCACTGTAGCATCAATTTATGAAGCTGAGATTGTAATCAACAACACTGAGTTTATAAAACAGCATCGACCACGTTAATGACTTCACCCTGAATAGATGCTGATCTCACTTGTTCCAGACTCCAGTCAATAAGGTTATTTTTGTCTGTCAGAGGAAAACTTCTCCATCATAATAAAGTAAAAATAATGTTTTTGTTTTTCTTCAAGAATCTTTTCTTTGACTGATTATATTTCACACATTTTACTTTGACTTTCAGGTCTCATTTATGGTTTAATAATTGTGTTTGTTCATCCAAACAGGAGGAAACCGATTATTGATGAGCACAAAGATTATATGAGAACAGAAACATGTAAAGAGAAGGAAAATAATGTCTAATAATACAAAATAAGGTCAATTTACCTCCAGTCAATATTTACAATCATTTCAGAAAATGAAAACGATGAAAAAAAATAATCAAGTGAAAGAATAAAGCTTCAGATTTTCCTGAAAACCCTAAACCCTGTCCTCCTCCTCCCTTCACCTCCATCTCTCCTCACTTCTCTTCCTCTCCCTTCAGTTTATATTCGGTCTCTAACGGTGCAAAGGAAAGAAAAAACCTTTGGGTTAAATCAGAACTTCTGACTGATCTACTCTCACACATGGTATCAACTCCTGCTGCAGAAATATGTGGGAATAAATCAACTCCACCTCTTTATATTTCCACTGGGTGGCGCTGCATCATGGTAAAAAAAAAAGTAATCCAATCAAAGTGTAAATTTATGATCATGTTTCCATCAACAAAACAAACCTGTTCAGACTGTTTGATCCCAGAATATGAGGGAAAAGATCAAATATCCAGAGTCCAGGTCCTGAGCTGATCTCAGAGCAGGTCAAAGTGCAGCTCCCAGAGTCCTCTCCGCCCGCTGTGATTGGTCAGTCAGTCTCTCAGTCAGAGACTCACCTCACCCTCACTGCTGCTGCCTCCACCTCTCTGACCGTCAGGAAACACATGATCCTCTTCTTCATCACTCTGACAGATGTTACTCCCATCTGAGGAGAGAAAAAAAGACGTTCAGTGTTTCCACTCTGAGACTCACTTCATCAGCTGGACTGAAGAACATCCAGTTTACAGACCAGCAGGTCTCAGTCCTGCTCAGACCAGAAGTGATGGTGTAAAGCAGCAGGTTTCCTCACAAATAAACCAACATCATCAAAATAAAGAAATCATTCCTGTCAAATGTGTTAAAGCTGATCGAACAAACCTGCTGTGAAAATAACAAGTATAAAGAACAGCTGTCTGTTTTCAAACTTAGAGCTCAAAATCAACAAGTTAGCAGAGAAATAAAGTCTGTGTTGAATACAGAGAACTATAAACTCCACTTCAGAGCAGAAACTGAACATTTCTATTTCATTATGTCGCATTTCTACATCTGATCTGAAATATAGAGACGAGGAGACACTTTTTTCATCACTGACACTCTTACACTCCTGGTTTGATGATTTCTGTTCTCACAGCTTCACTAAAGAAAGAATCCTCTGAGAGGGTCGAAGAGTCAGCAGGAAATACTGAATATCTGCTGTGATACTGTGTGGAGAGGAACAGGAGAGATCAGCACAGACTAACTCCAACTCTATCCTGACCTCAGAGTCCTCAGTCTGTAGTCTGGACTCTCCTGAAGATCACACAGCAGCTTCATGTCTGAATCCTGCAGATTGTTGTAACTCAGGTCAAGAGTTTTCAGATGGGAGGGGTTGTACTTCAGAGCTGAGGCCAGAGAAGAACAGCTGATCTTTGTCAAACTGCAGCCAAACAACCTAAACAAAGAGAAAATAATGAGATTTTAGAGAAAAATGATCCAGTTTGAAACCTGATGTCTTAAATCTGTAGAGTTCAGGGGAAAGGTTTGGAAAGTATGAATCAAAGAAAAGTGACGCTCCAAAGAGCTGAACCAAACAGGAAGTCAGTTAGAAACAGTGAATTCAAAAACACATTAAATAGTGAAATAAAAAACTCAGAGACTTTTTTACTGATTGTAGATGCAGCTCAATATTTTCAGAAAATGTCAGCGACTTCAGGACGGATGGGAAATAAAGGATGTTCAGAATATTTTCACTTTGCTGAACCAAAAATATCACGTCTTTGAGAGGAAATATTTCAGTCTAAACACAGCAAGGCTTCAGAAAAGTGCAGATAAACCATAAAATTAAGATTTTCACACAAAGATTCAAAATCAAATTCAAAGTAACAGAGCTGGACTTTCATCAGTGTCAGAAACTAAACTCTGAGTTTTTTCTATTCCCTGATCTTGTCCTGAACTAAAGTTTGAATGGTTCTCGTCTGACAAATCCACCCCTGCTTCTGTTTTCTGTCTGAATGTGCTTCTCACTGTGAACTCTACAAAGAGTTTTCTTCTTGGGTTCAGGTTTTAATTCACTGGAGCTCAGCAGTGATCGAACTGGAGTCAATCAAATAATCCACTGATGCAGAAAATCTACTCTGGACTGAAGGTGTTCAGTCTGGGTCAGTATTTCAGTCCTGAGTCAGCAGTTTAGTGTCATCATCACAAACAAATCATGATAATGTTTGAATGGAGGAAAAAAGTCTGACCTCAGAGTCTTCAGTTTACAATTTGGACTCTGCAGAAAGTCACACAGCAGCTTCACTCCTGAATCCTGCAGCTTGTTGTAACCCAGGTCCAGATGTCTCAGATGGGAGGGGTTGGACTTCAGAGCTGAGGCCAGAGAAGAACAGCTGATCTTTGTCAAACTGCAGCCCCACAGTCTGAAAAAAGGAAAAATCATTGAACCTCTGAAGAAACTGTTCCTGCTTTTAATGATCCAATGTTCTTGAGCCCCTGAAGGACATGGAAGAAGAACTTTTTCAGAGTTGATCTTGAGGAACTTTGTAAAATCCTCTCTAAACTTTTTGAAGATCTTGAGAAATTTTTCAGTATAGAAAATTTTAAAGAATCTGAAAACTTTAGTGAGATCCTGAGAAACTCCTGTGAGAAATCTCAGTTTTTTTTGTAGTCCTGAATTCTTCATGAAGATTACAGTCAGGAGTTTATTCAGGGGTTTGTCCGTCTGCTGTCAACAACTGCCAAACTACTCTTAAATAAACCAACAGATCATTGATCAGAGAGGTTTTTATGGACCAACTGGACAAGATGATGTTCATGTTCAACAAACTGAAGTGAAAACTGCAGAAAAATCTGGATCTGGTTTTTACATTTGAACACGACTGAGCAAAGAAGAAATTCAAGTTTTCAAGAGTTTCCAAATGAAATATCCAGAGTTGGATGAACTTTGTTCTTCAGGTTTCAATCTGCAGCTCATCATTTCTCTGACACTTCATTCATTCATTAGTGATCACATTAATTGTGGATCAGTTCAATATCAGCCTTTAGTCTGTGCTGCTCCTGCCCTCTACAAGCATGTGTAATATTTGTGGGACTGATTTTCTCCTGCTTCCTTTCTACATCCATCGTTCTCCTCAAAGTCAACTCTGAAATGTCGGATTTTTCTTCCTGTGTTGAAGTTTTACAACGACAAATTCAAACTGCTCGACCAAAGTTGATGGAAAAACCACAGAGAAAAATCTAAGGCAGCAGCTGTCACATCTTATTGTTAGATCAGAAGGAAATGGTGTCTCACATCAGAGTCTCCAGTCTGCAGTTTGGACTCTCCAGTCCTGCAGAGAGAAGCTTCACTCCTGAATCCTGCAGATCGTTTCCACTCAGGTACAGATGTCTCAGATGGGAGGGGTTGGACTTCAGAGCTGAGGCCACAACTTCATAGTGAGTCTCTGAGAGTCCACAGTTAGGAAATCTGTAACAACATAAATATCAAACAATATTTCATTAACCCTTATGTAACGGTGTGGCTAAAAAGAGCCACTAGGGGCAGAATTTAGCCACCAATTTCCACGTAACTTTTTTTTTACTGCACCAAATGGGATGATTTTTTTTGTGGATGCTTTTATTGATGGACACTTTGAAAATATTACTTCAAAATTTTCACCAGGTCAAAAATAGGCGCTCGGCAAATTTTACACCCTTTGGGGCTTGCACTATTCATGTCACTGCCACTGAGCGTTAAGATAGGATGTTTTTTGGAAATCTGATCCTACATAAAAAACTTAAAGGGCATCAAAGTCAATGATATTACTAATCCTTTACATATTTAAGACTTTATTACCCTGCAAGAGATTTCCAGTTTAGGATGATGTTTTCTATTAAATATCAGTCAGTTTCTCCTATTTTTTCCCAATTTTAGTGACTTTTTTTTTAAAATTGGCCCTAAAAGGGTTAAAATTTTGATGCTTCATGAAAAATTTACTATTTTTGAATAGAGCAGAAGTTAATCAAGAGATATATGAAAAAAATCTGGAAAAAATATGAATCCAATATGTTTTTACAGCAGTCAAAAAAGTGGCTTTTTTAGCCACTGAGCGTTACCAAAGGGTGTAATTTGCGACGGTTACACAAGGGTTAAAGGGTAATTTGATGTTTCTCTTCACCGAAAACAAACATGATCTTTGGTTTGACAGACGGACTGTTTTTAACCAGACAGATACTAATATCAGGACCACAGCCATGAGAGAAGACAGGAAGTCAAAGTTTAGAAGAAAAAAAAACTGTTCAGATGTTGAACAAATGACTCCATGACTTATTTTAGTCCTTCTGTTCTCTAACAGTGTTGTCTTCATGTTAGTGCAGCTGGATCATTATGACTGAGTGAATTCTTGAGTTCTGGTTGGAGAAGGGGACTGAGAACCAGGTTTTTGGTCCTGGTATGTGATTGGTTAGTATCCAAAGTACCTCTTGGAGAATCAGTGCTCCTCTCAGTGTTTAATGTTGACATCCTGCTGTAATGTAAGTCTTTCCATAGACACTGACTGTTGACCAATCAGAGGACGACTCACTAAATCACAGCAGCTCCTTTTTCTCTGATTGGTTCAGATAAAATCGTTTTTTTCGCAGGTTAGAGCTGGTTTGACTCTGAACATTTGAAGAGTTTAAGATTTCTTTGTTTTCACAATCAAAGTTTTTTCCCCATGTAACATTCGCTTCACCATCAGAAACAAGTTTATAAAGCCTGATGAATCCAGAGAGACCTTTAAGAGACAGAAACAAAGACCCACTGAACCTCTGTCTTTGGGCTCTGATGATCTCTCTCTCTCTCTCTCTCTCTCTCTCTCTCTCTCTCTCTCTCTCTCATGTAGCATCCTATTTCCACCATTGTTTTCAGACTCATGGAGCTGCTGTCCAAATAACTCCTGTGTTCTCATCATTCATATGTTCTAGTCCACCAGATAATCTCCAGTGAGTGGTGGAAAATGATGTTAGTTTTCATGGTTGTATTGATTATGAATATTGAATGATGAACATGATGGTACAGAGACAGTTCTGCCACTGTGTAGAAAATGATCCAGTTCTATTTTCACCATCAATGCTGTCAACACCCTCATTTACAACAGATTCATCATTTCCAACCTGAAAACCAGCAGGAAGAAGCTGCAGACACCTTCTTCAAACTCAAGTTCACCACAACTGACTGAGATGTTGATCTGGACTGATACCATCATCAGAAGACCTCTGTGTGTCCTCAGATATGGTCGCTGATTTGTCCTGAAAGTTCGACTTTGTTCATTACAGACACGATTCAAAACAAAGAGGTCCTCCACAATCAGGACAAGTTCTCAGGGGTCCACAGGTAGACCTCATCCTGGGCTAACAGGACTTTTGACACCAGGATCATGTTTTTGCTGAAGAAACCCCCTCCCTGATATTTGAGTCGATTTCTATTTGAAGAAGAACATCATCAGTAACGTGGACATTAGAAGAACTACAGGGATCATTTACACTATTCTGAGAATAAAACCTGGACTTACTGAGCCTTTCTGCAGTTCCTCACAGCTGGGATCAGTCTCTGTCGTCCCTGGTCTGATGTGTTATAATTATATAAGTCCAACTCATCCAGAACCTCCTCTGACATCTGCAGCATGTAGGCCAGAGCAGAGCAGTGGATCTCTGAGAGTTCCTTCTCTGATCTGTTCTTTGACTTCAGGAACTCTTGAATCTCCTGATGAACTGACAGATCGTTCATCTCCATCAGACAGTGGAAGATGTTGATGCTTCTGTCAGGAGAGATATCTTCACTGTTCATCTCCTTCAGGTTCTCAACGACTCTTTGGATCATTTCTGGACTGTTGTCTGTGTGACCCAGCAGACCTCCTAAGAGTCTCTGGTTTGACTCCAGAGAGAGTCCATGAAGGAAGCGAACAAACAGGTCCAGGTGACCGTTTTTACTGAGAAGGGATTTCTCCATGACACTCTTCAGGAAGACATCCAGAGATGAGAAACTGTTATCCAGGTTTTTAGAAGAATAAAAAAACATCTTTAAAGAAAACATTTCGTCTTCGTCTTCGTTGCCTCTTTGGAAAGTCTTCAGAGCTTCTGTGTTCCTCTTTGTGAAACTGTGGATCATGTAGACTGCAGACAGAAACTCCTGAACGCTCAGATGAACGAAACAGTAAACAGTTTTCTGGAAGATCACACTCTCTCTTCTGAAGATCTCTGTACAAACTCCTGAGAACACAGAGGCCTTTGAGACATCCAGACCACACCGCTCCAGGTCTTCTTGGTAGAACATGATGTTTCCTTTCTCCAGATGTTCAAAGGCCAGCCTCCCCAGCTTCAGGAGGACTTCTCTGTCAACCTCAGTCAGCTCCTGAGGACTTGTCTCATGTCCTCCTTCATACTTCTGCTTCTTCCTCTTAGTCTGGACCAGCAGGAAGTGTGAGTACATGTCAGTCAGGGTCTTGGGCAGCTCTCCTCTCTGCTCTCTGCTCATCATGTCCTCCAGAACTGTCGCAGTGATCCAGCAGAAGACCGGGATCTGACACATGATGTGGAGGCTCCTGGAGGACTTGATGTGTGAGATGATTCTTCTGGACAGATCTTCATCTCTGAACCTCTTCCTGAAATACTCGTCCTTCTGGGCGTCAGTGAAGCCTCGTACTTCTGTTACCCTGTCCACACGTGAAGGAGGGATCTGATTGGCTGCTGCAGGTCGAGAAGTTATCCAGATGAGAGCTGAGGGGAGCAGGTTCCCCTTGATGAGGTTTGTTAACAGAACGTTCAGTGAAGACTTCTGTGTGACGTCAGACACCACCTCAGAGTCTGTGAAATCCAGAGACAGTCTGCTTTCATCCAGACCGTCAAAGATGAACAGAAGTTTACAGACAGCCAGCGTCTCTGCTGTGACCTTCTCTAGTGTTGGATGGAAAACATGGAGCAGACTCAGAAGACTGAAGCGCTCATCTCTGATCAGGTTCAGCTCCCTGAATGAAAGCAGGACCACCAGATGGAGGTCTTGGTTCTCCAAACCCTCTGCCCAGTCCAGAGTGAACTTCTGCACTGAGAAGGTTTTTCCAACACCAGCCACGCCGTTGGTCAGAACCACTCTGATGACCTTCTTCTGTTGGTCAGGTAAGGTTTTAAAGATCTCATGACACTTGATGGGCGTGTCATGGAGGGTCTTCATCTTTGAAGTGGTCTCCAGCTGTCTCACCTCATGTTGGGTGTTCACCTCTTCACTCAGTCCCTCTGTGATGTAGAGCTCAGTGAAGATCCTGTTGAGGAGGGTTTGACTACTTCCTGTTTCATCACTTCCTTCATTCACACGTTCACATCTCCTCTTCAGACTGATCTTATGTTCATCTAAAACCTCCTGCAGACCGCCATCTTCTGAAAGAGAAGAAAAATAAAATGAACCAAACTTCTCAACACTAAAACGTCTTTGTGAAAAATCAGTCAGCTGAGTTTTCATCCACAGACTTTAGAGGACAGATGTTCAGACTTACTTCCATCAGAGCTGGACAGCTGCTCCTCCACAGAGTCACATCTCTGTGTCTCTCTGTGGAAATAAAGAACATTTATTTTCTTTATCATTTCATGTTTGAAAGATACAGAAAAAGAAACATTTATTAAACCAGAGTTTCTGACCTCACTCTTTTCTCTAACATAAAACAATCTCCTGTAAAATATTCTGCTGCTGCTGCCTCAAAGTGTGGAGACAGGAGAAAAAACTAAACTGTGATTTTTGAAGGTAGAGAGATTTTCTCTGACAGTTTCAAACATTTTTTCGACCAATCAGATCTAAAGGTCTAATAACAGACAGATGTTTGAATTAGTTTTTATTTCTCAGGATTTATTTCTTCATTGGTCTTCTGGTATTTTGGGACCCACAGACTGTTTTCTGGGGTCTATACACCACAGTCCAAAGACTTACAGGCTCAAAACGTCCCAAACACAGGAACCAAATCAGAAAATACAGAGGTCAGAATCCTTTTCAAATACTGTTTTATACCACCTTCATTTTTATCAACATGAGGAATAATAAGTAAATCTGTGCTCAGTGACTTTTTCTTTACTTTCTCCAGGTTGGAGGTTAAAGAGGAAAATCAGCGTTTTGAGAGCAGAGGAGACCATTTTTCTCACCATGGTAGAAAACAGAGGGGTCAGGATTTAAAGTTCTGATTTTGAAACATCAGCTGTTGTTGTTTGAGAGTTTGGAGGGTGAAAAGCGTTTCTCTTACTGTGAATCTGAGGGTCCTGGTTCTTCCCTGAAGTTTAGAGGAGGAGCTTTAGACCAGTCACTCTTCATAGACAGACAGTCAGACATATCAGACTTTGTTCTGTCCTCCTCTGAGGGTCCTGGTTCTTTTCTGAAGTCTAGAGGTTCAACTCTAGACCGGTCACTCTTCATAGACAGACAGTCAGACATATCAGACTTTGTTCTGCTCTCCTCTGAGGGTCCTGGTTCTTTACTGAAGTCTAGAGGTTCAACTCTAGACCGGTCACTCTTCATAGAAAGACAGTCGGACATAACAGACTTTGCTCTGCCCTCCTCTTCCTCTACACAAACACTCATCTTCTCCATCTTCTGTTGTGCAAATTTATGGAAGATGAAACCAAGTTATACAACCTGAGGACAAAGTAGACAAACAGGTGAGATACAAACAGGAAGAGAGTTGTAGCGACAGAACCAAAAAAGTCGCTTGAGCTCGGAGTCGGGTCTCTCTCTGTCCGACGCGCTCCCTTAATCAAACAAAAAAAAAAACCCGCCAAAACAACTACGCTTCGTTTGAAGGTTTATTAAACAAAAGGGAAATAACTGCCAACTACCAATTTGGCTTCAAAATAAACAACAATCTAACAAAACCAAAGTCTGCAGCGGTGACGGCGGCGGCGTTGAACAAAAATCACGACGTACCGTCCCCGTGCTCTCCACAAAGCCAAATCAAATCCCAGGTGTGCTCAGGTCCTCACAATAACAAATCACCGCCCCTATCTGTGACGTAATCCCCGTGACGACCCCAAACAATACCAAACACCACATGTGAAAACCCCAAATAATTCAACTTCAAAATAAATCTATTCATGACTCTCACAAAAATTAAGGGGACTGGATTAAATTTGAAATGAGGCTAAAAAGATTCTTATTTATGCTTTTACCAAAAAGACAAGTCTAAACAAAGAGGAAGAAGAACTGCACGTACGCAGTTTCCTGTATCAAGAACTGATCCAGCTCTTTGTCTGCTCAGGTTTCTTTGTTTTACAGTTTTTAAGTGTTTTAGTCAGTAAATCATTTTTCATTAACGGATGATACAGATAAAGAGTTTGACATTAAAACAAAAACAGAGTAAACACTCACCCTGTCTCCTCGTCCTCTCCTCTTTCTTCTTTTCTCAAAATGGAGTCTGTTTTCCAGCTCACATACTTTCACCTTGACTCTGACTGTTTAGAGACTATGTTGTTGAACAGGTTTTTATTTTAGCACACAATGTGATTGTGTTGTTACTACACAAACTCCTCCTTCACCTCACTTTACCAAGATGAGTTGCAGTTCACTTTTATGCCTTAGGTGTCACTGTCCTGTTATCTGGGGCTCAGAAATAAAGGTAGCTGTGTCCATACTATTAATATATGGCTGTTACAATAACGGCCATCTTGCTTCAGGCAGCTCCCCCACTCCTATCATTCCAGTCTACAGTACATGTAACACTTAAATAACCACAGATTGATTTATTTTCAACCAATTTTAAAACAATTTGGTTTGTAACAAACTTCAGAGTTTAAGTTATGTTCCTGCATACTCAAGAATAATTTTAACCATGGATTTTCATAAATAAACATGAAACAGATAGGTAGAGCAATAGATATAGGCCTACACACACAAGGCAGCTGTATTAAATCATTAATACATAAAACCTTTAATCATTCCATGTATGTTATATTAGTAATATTTCTATGATAGGGATAGATATAACAACATATAACAATAACATATATAAATATTAATTTTCAATATAAATTTCTGCCTCATGTTGCCATTTTAGACGTTTTTAACAAAACCAAACAGTTTGAAAATCAGGTGCAACTTCAGTCATGTTGTAACAAAAGAGCATTTCTGCCTCTTTAACTGATGTAAAATTACTGGGTCAACTTGTACTTGGTCTCACTCACAGCAAATCTGTTAGCCAAGTTAGACAGCTGATAAACACAAGACCATCCACAAAGACTGTCACTTAGACAAAAATAATAATAATGAAATAAAATAAAATAAAGGCTGTCATATGAGAAATTAAAATCTTGCTGTTGGTCTCAACCTTGACAACTCGCACAAACCGACTCAAAGTTAGCCCTTGTGCGCAAATAGCTGTGAAACAACTGTGCTTCACGATTAAGTCTTTTTTTCCTCAAAGTAAATCTGCCGTTTTAACATGTTCAAGAATCTCAACTCATAGACACGTCATTAAGGTTTGTAATAAACTAAACCGTTTGTACATCTGTCAAGATTTCAGCGAGTTAAGAGTATTTTTGATGCAGATTACTCAACTTTCGTCAGCTACCATAGCGCGGACCAGAAAGGTATAGCTACTAAAGTAAGATGGCCGCCGTGTAGGGACGACGGTTACGCCCCCTTTGGTATTTATCTGACTTTTTGTCACTTAAATTGTGTGATTTGCGGAGTTTTTCTTTCATTTCTCTACATGTCCACTCTCACAGAACGATTCGTGATTAGCTTACTTTGTATTCGTGAAGCTGATTTAATTGTTTTATCTAATAATGCAGAATTTTGAGGTCTCCCACACAGCAGAGGGGGCTGTAGAGAAGAGCCTCTTTATGTAACCTCCCACCCGGATGTTGATCTCACCGCTAACACACATGTCGATCCGAACTTCGCCGTGCTGTGTCTGAAAAATGGAAATAAATGTAAAGAAAACGAGTTCACAGGACCTGCTTTCATGTGGCAACGGAGGAGGTTGGTATTTTTCATGACATTTAAAAGAAAAGAAAGCGGATTATAATTTTTTTTTTACCTCATTAAATGCAAAAACGAGCTTCACCTGGTTGTCCATGCAGTTATAGGGAAGACTGGGGTAAGTTGAGTTTCTTGGAAATGGTCAAAGAAATCGATCATGTGACTAAATATTTAGGAGATGGGCATCAATTCGTGGAGTCTGTGAAGGTTAGAAGCACATGAGTGAAGGGGTTAGACATTTATTTAATAAAAACATTTTTCACTCTGTAAAGTGAATTTAGTCTGTCATCAGTTTGATTAGAATTGTGTTCAGACCAAAAAAAGATCATTTAAAATCTGTTTTATACATCAATTGTGGTATCTATGAGGCGTAAAAGTCCACCATTATAGTTAAGAGGACTAATAAAGTCATCATAGTAGTTCAGGGGTAACTGAGAAAGTAAAGGAGTCTGATGAGAGGATCAGAGTTTACCGTCAGATTGTTGAAATGTTTGACAGATCTGTGGATGTTCTCAATCACTTAAAGTCATTCTCAAAACAGCTTTTTATCAGTTATATCTAATCTTAATGACTTTGAAACCAAACTCAAAACATACCTTTATAGTTTTGCTTTTAACTAAATTTTATCTCATTAACTTTAGGTGTTTTAGCATTTATCTCTTTCTAGTTTTAATGACAGGGACGTCTTTTATTGAGCTTTGGTGCTCTTATTTTAGTATCTTTTACTGATGTTTTAATTTCTTTTCATTTATTATTTCTTAAATTTCATTCTGTGTTTCTTTGTGTTTAGATTTTTACCTAAACCTCCAGTGTTTCTTTATCTTGAGTTTTAAAGTTTTAGCCCTTTTTAAGTTCATGTGTTTTAATTCTGTTTCTGTTACATTTCGATCGTGGAAATGAGGGGTTGGACTGGGGTAGATTTGGGTTTTCTTTGTTTCTTTAATTCCTTTTTCTGTGTAAAACACTTTGTGCTACATGGTCATGTGTGAAAAGTGCGATATAAAGACTGACTGATCGATTGATATGCAATAATAATCAAAAGAACTATTGTACCATTTGAATAGTGTATAATAGATAAAAATACACATGAATGTGAAGAAGTGACTGTTTTTAACGCTTTGTGAAGCTTTCATCAGGAAGTCATGTACACAGAGAGAGAAAGTTTCTAACTGTAGGGGAGAGTGGGGTAAGATGATCCATTTTTCATATTTCAGATCACTACATCAAGTTTTGTCTCTAACTCGTGTCTCTGCAGATATTTCAGGATGTTGTTCATCCCTGTAAACCAACAGAATGAGTTTAAACAGAACTGTCATCTTCATAATATAGCAGGACAAAAAAAAGTGGTCTCCTATGGTCAACTTACCCCCTGTATGGGGTAAGTTGACCATAGGAGTTGGTAAATTGAGCCGTATCCCTACTACTCCCCCACTCCCCCCCCCCAGCCCTCCCTCACCTTCTCTCTCCCTAAATAACAAAGTTGGGCTGATGAAGAGTACTGATGAAGAGCTTGTTTTTGTTGCGTCTTTAGGTCTCAGTGAGAAGTTTCTCCTAAAGCCAAAGAGCAGCAGATCTCTGCAGACAGAGAGAGTCCCGAGGAGCAGCGGTGAGACCTGACAACTTCTCTTCACGATATCCAGCTCATTCTGTTTTCCTGCTTTGTTTTATTTGAAGTAGTTAAAATTGTGAATATATATATTTACATATTACAATGTTGTTGTGTTGTCAGTGTTGGAGCGTCTGCAGGGGTTCCTGCCTCAGATGGCTGAAGCCAACGAGAAGCTGAAGCAGCAGATGGAGGAGGCTCCTGCCGGATGTTTTGATATCGAGAGTGTGGAGGATGCAAAGCGGGTGATAGAGATGGTGATTATCATTTTACCTTTGAAAAAATCCTGTAAAATGACGGGTGTGTGTCGCGGTTTAGATGAGTCATGTGTAGGGTTGCAAATGGGCGGAAAATTTCCAGAAACTTTCCATGAGAAGTTAAACTGGGGGATTTTGGAAATAATCCAAATAGTCAACTTTTCATAGGAATTATTGGGAATACGAGATATTTTCACCAACTATATCTAAGTTCCCTGCTCAGGGCCAACCTTCAATTTTGTACATTTCAGATTTATTCCCGTTAATTCCCACGAAAAGTTTCCAACTTTGAAAATTCCCGGAGATGTGCGACTGTAACCATGTGTGATTTCCTTCAGGATGTAGCTCTGGTGGAGCTCAGCGGCTCAGACAGTGACTCTGAAGAAGAACAGGAGACTTCAGACTCGTCTGATGAAGACTCGGACTCGTCTGAGGAGAGTGAGATCTCAGAGGAGAACTTAAAATTACCCCGAGACAAAAGCAGGAAGAAGAACGTGAACATCCAGGTTGTCGCTCAGGAGGGAGAGTAGACGAGGCGTCTGCTCGGACTTTTGCTGCAGACGGAGTTTCTTCACTCTGAGAGGGGATGTGAGTGAGACTGTCCAGAGGTGATTTTCACCTTCACAGACACGTGAATCTGCTGAGTGGAGCGACGGTGAACATCAGCCTCTTCTGTATCAGACGTGCCTTTGGAGCTGCAGGTGCTCCAGTGATCAGCTGGAATGAAATCAGCCGACCCCGTCTCTCTTCTCTGTTATACCACATGTATTGATAACACTGATTTTGGACTGTTTTCATCAGTTTAGGTTAAAGCCGAGTCGATTTTCTTTTAGTAGAAACAGACAGAGCTGAGTTATGAGGCAGTCACATCCTCATCTCTGACCAGGCTGCTGATAAAAACAGAATCTGATGGTTTAAAAATCATCGAAACTTTATATTTAAAAGAGCAAAATAATCAAATACTGAAAAATTCTGTTTAATTAAAGACTTGAGTTAAAAAAAACATTCAGAGTTCAGATTTCCTGAGGCTTCTGGACATTTAAAGAGCTGGAGTTGAAGTGTTCTGGTGCAGAGATGAACGTATGATTGGACCACATTTCTGTCCTTCACTGCAGATAAGAGACTTTTGAATCATTCCCGTGTTTAAAATGTGCAATCACATGTTTCAGAAACGCATTAAATGGTTTAGAAATGAAGCTTCACAATGAACAGCACCAACAAATAAAATTCAAATCAAGATTTATTCACCGTTTTTTTTCTGACATCAGTGGCTGAAAAACAAACCCCTCTTCGCCCCTGCTGCCTTCACTGAATAGAAAACCGTCTTTACGGCTGTTTCACGTGAAAAACATCTTACAGGCGTGAAGTTAGCCAATATCATCAAACGTCAGAGTCTCCCTGTTGGACAAAAATAGATCAAATTATCGCTCTTTTGTCAAAAATATTTACTAAAAAGTCAAATTTGACACGAGAAGAGTCAACTTTCTACACACGCATGTGTTTGTGAGTCTTTTATGAGATTAACTTTCAGTTTTTATCAACTTCCCCTGAAACTCGCCGGACAGCTGATTCATCGTCGTGATTTCTGTGTCGTATTTGACGAAGTTCGACTGTCATCTTCTGAACATTCGTGACTAAACTGATCAGGACTTCTGCATCTTAAATATATATGTGTAAAAAAAAAAAACGATTGTAGTGATCATAAAAATTAAAAGAGACTCAGAAGTCTGCAGGATGCTTTTTCTGCTTCCTCGTATTGGTTCCTTTCTCCTCTTTAAGACTTTAATTATCAATAAAAATAAAACTCTTCCAGTAATCAATCCCTCCTCTTCCTGTGAGTGTAAAGGTGAACTCCTGACCTCAGAGATCTGAAGACAAAAACGACGACCGCTGTAATCTCGTCGATCGTCCGTGAAGCGTTCATGTTCTTCCTCTTACAGGCTCCGAGTGTCTGAAAAAAAATCCAGTTTTTCTGAATTTAACGAGACGATTATCTCAGAATAATGAAGAAAATAAAAATCTAATCTGCTACTGATTCTAGCCCTGTGAGGAGTTATGGCGCCCCCCTGTGGACAAAATAAGACTGAGCCAGTAGGTGAAAAGAACAAGAACATTTTAGTGGATGTACTTTGATGAAACCAGGATTTTTTTCGCTGGTTTTACACCAAACAATGAAAGAAATCTCCTCCAAACTTCTGGTTTCTGTTTGACGCCGAATCCTCCGATAAATAAATTCGCGGCTCTTCGTTTTAAAATCATAAATTTTCCCTTTAAACCACCGAAGATTTTGACCTCATGGCACAATGTAGTTTACAGACAAACAGAACAGCGGCGACTCTGATAAACGTCTTAAAAATAGGTTTCAGGTTGACTACAGCGAGTGTGTTTTAACATAAAACACACCTTTTATTTGAAAATACAGTCGGATCACGCTCGGCTCCCATCAGGCGTCCAGCTCGGGGTTCGGTGTGTCGAAACACAGAAGGGTAGAAACCAGGCGTCCCTTTTTTTTTTTTAACCATGTCCCATTTTCACGCAGAAAGCCAAGAAAAGACGGGCACGCTGTCCAAACTGAGACGGACAACAACGCTCTCCTCTCACACACACTCTCACACACTCTCACACACACACGCTGTCCTGCAGAATGTAGCTGGATGTCTGACTGAAGCAGACCGATGTGGGTCAGAGTTCGTTCAGAGTTTTAGTACTCCACAGTCACTGCTTTGGTCTTGAGGTATTCCATGAGAGCGTCCTCTCCTGCAGACGACGAAACAAAGAGACGTTTTATTAACACACTCGATAATAAACACACGGACGTTCAGAACCAACACAAATCAAACTTGATCGTCTAAAAACAGGAAAACAGATCCTCAGACTCTCTTCGGGGTTTTTTCCGTCTCCACTCACCGAGGTCTTTGCCGAAGCCGGACTGTTTGAAGCCTCCGAACGGCGAAGCCACGTCGGTCTTGTTGTACGTGTTCACGAACACCGTTCCCGCCTCCAGCCGCTCGCTCACGTACATGGCCTTGTTGATGTCGCGGGTGAACACGCCTGACGCCAGGCCGTACTCTGTGTCGTTGGCTCTCTGCAGGACGCCGTCCACGTCTCTGCACGGAGAGAGAGAGAGAGAGGTTATCTTCGGTCTGGACCTCATGCTGACCTCTTTAGAAGGTTCCTGGATGACTTACCCGTCTTTGAATTTGGACACCACCATGACGGGGCCGAAGGACTCCTCTTTGGCGATGAACATGTGATCCTCCACGTCGGTGAACACGGTGGGCTCCATGAAAAAGCCTGAAGGAGGACGACACGGTTTCTTTCGTCAAACTCTTACTCTTCACTGCCGTCTTTTTCCTCAGAAGAAGAAGAAGATCTCCGTCCCGTGTTTCTTACCTGGCCTGTCCACCTGCTTCCCTCCGTACACCAGCGTGGCGCCCTCCTTCAGCCCCACCTCGCAGTACTCCAGCAGCTTGTCCAGGTGAGCTTTGTGGTTCTGAGGGCCGTGGTCTGTGGAGCGGTCCAGAGGGTCTCCGATCTTCATCTTCTTGATCTCCTCCACCTTTGAGGGAAAGAGTCGATCATTTTCAGGAGTTTTTTGCTCAAACTGACACCGTCATGTGGAAACGAGAGCCGCTCTCACTCACCACTCGGCTGATGAACTCGTCGTGGATGCAGTCCTCCACGAACAGACGTCCTGCGGCGATGCAGTTCTCTCCTTTGTTGAAGTACACGGAGCTCATACCCTGCACACACACACACACACACACACACACACACACACACACATATTGGTTATTGATGGTTATTATTAATTATTATTTGACTTAATAAGAGTTAATTAAACAGTAATAAACATTAACCTGTAACACACCTTAGAGTTTAAACAGCTTTTAAAATTCAATCAGACATTTATGAACCTGAATATAACTGTATGAGCCTTTATTATAATTACAACATTTATTATTGCTCATACGCTCCCCTATAATTAAGCTCTAATTAACTTCAACAAAATGTTAATACACATCTTATTTCACTGTTTGTAACAGGTTTATAAACTATGAGAAGGTTTATAATGAGAGCCTGTAAGTGTTTTATAAGCAATAATAATTTATAAACACTCATTAACAATAATATTTGTTTATAAAATCTAACTAACTGTTAGTTAATGTTTATAACAGGTTTATAAACTATTAGGTTTATAATGAGAGTGTGTATGTGTTTTATAAGCAATAATAACCTATAAACACTAATAATTTTATGTAAGGTCTCACTTACTGTTATTTAATGTTTTTAACAGGTTTATAAACACTAATAATTTTATGTAAGGTCTCCCTTACTGTTAATTAATGTTTTTAACAGGTTTATAAACACTTATTAACCTTAATATTTGTTTATAAGGTCTAACTTTCTGTTTATTTATTTTTATAACAGATGTATAAACTATTAGAAAGTTTATAAAGAGAGCTTTTCAGTGCATTATAAACAATATAAATGTTTAAATCAACACTAATAATTGTTTGTAATGTCTTAATAAGTGTTAATTAATGTTTATAACTATTTATAAACTATTAGAAGGTTTATAAAGAGAGCCTGTACGTGCTTCATAAACTTTAATAATTTATTAACTCTAATAAACACTAATAATTGTTTATAAAGTCTTACTAACTGTTAACTAATGTTTATAACAGCTTTATAAACTATTAGAAAGTTTATAAAGAGAGCCTGTACGTGCTTTGTAAGCTATTATAATTTACAAACACTTATAAACGCTAATTATTGTTTGGAAGGTCTTAATAACTGTTAATAATTGTTTATCAGGAGGACCCTGTTTCAGAGTCCTCGTTATATACACTTATTAACACTAATAATTGTTTATAACGTCTTACTAACTGTTAATTAATGTTTATAACAGGTTTATAAACTATCAGAAAGTTTATAATGAGAGCCCATAAGTGTTTTATAAGCAATAATAATTTATAAACACTAATTAACACTAATAATTGTTCATAAGGTCTTACTAACTATTAATTAATGTTTATAAGAAGGACCCTGTTTCAGAGTCCTCGTTATATACACTTATTAACACTAATAATTGTTTATAACGTCTTACTAACTGTTGATTAATGTTTATAAGGAGGACCCTGGTTCCGAGTCCTCGTTACAAACACTAATTAATGCTGATAATTGTTTATAAGGAGGACCCTGGTTCAGAGTCCTCCCGCTCTCCGCTCTCTCACCATGCGAACGGCCTTGTCCATGTCACAGTCTCCAAAGATGATGAGCGGCGACTTCCCTCCGAGCTCCAGAGAAACTTTCTTCAGGTTACTGACGGCACAGCTGCGGCACAGAATCACAGGTTACTTCAAAAATACGACACGTGTGAATTTTCACCTCCGAGAAATGAGACGTCTGATTCGTCAGATCGAACCTCTTCATGATCTGTTTGCCGATGGGCGTGGAGCCGGTGAAGCCCAACTTCCTGATGTCTGGATGGTCGGACAGACGCTGACCCACCATCCCACCTTCAGGACAGAAAACACATTTTTAACACTTTTACTTTTAAAAAAGGAAAAAGGGACCATGTGGATCCTGGATCTGTGCTCAGACCTGAACCCGGTAAGATGTTTATCACTCCTTTAGGGATCCCGGCTTTGACTGACAGCTCGGCAAACTTCAGCGCCGTTAACGGGGTCACCTAGAAACAGCGAGATGAAGTTTGAAAACGGGAAATCAAACTGAAACTCTTTGATGGAACAAAGCGGCGGGCGGCCAGCTCACCTGTGCAGGTTTGAGAACGAGCGTGTTTCCAGCTGCCAGGCAGGCCGCGCTCTTCCACGCCAGCATCATGAGTGGGTAGTTCCAGGGGATGACGATGGCGCACACGCTGTCACAGGAAGGAGAGACACAGCGTTCAGTTAAAACGCCAAATAAAAGAGGCGCTCACAGATGTTCGGACCCGGACTCTTTACCCCAGAGGTTCTTTCTTGGTGAAGGTCAGGTTGCGGTTGGGTCTGGCTTGGTTGATGGGGATGGTCTTACCCTACGATAAACAAACACACACGCACGTGTTCCTGGTTTCATACTGAACAACTTTTTAGACCTGGACTCTGTGGACCCGAGAGCTCACCCACCTGGATCTTGTCACACCAGCCGGCGAAGTATCTGAAGGTCTGGATGGACATGCCCACGTGTGTCTTGAGCGCCAGCGTGTACACGGCTCCGGAGTCGATGGACTCGATGGTGGCGAGCTCCTCCTGGTGCTCCTCCATCAGGTCGGCGAGCCTTGAGGAGGAGGAGGTGAAGAGTGAGAGGTTTACGAAGTCACTGAGGGGTAGGGCTGGGGAGATTCGTCAACGCAATCGACGTAAACGACTACAAAAATCCGTTGACGCAAAATACATGCGTCGACTTGTCGCATGATGACATAGAAAATGGCTGGAGCCTATCCCAGCATCTTCGGGTGAAGGCAGGGGACGCCCTGGACAAGTCGCCAGTTCATCGCAGGGCCGACATACAGAGACGAACAACCATCCACGCTCACATTCACAATTTGAGAGTGGCCAATTTCGTGACCTTCTTGCTGTAAGGCAACAGTGTTAACCACTACACCACTGTGCCACCCGCTTAGTGCCGCTCAACCAACCAAAAAGGTACAATATGACGAAATGCATTGTGGGCTGCGGTCGACATAATGCTAGCAACAGTGTTTGTTTACATCGGTGAGTACGACACGGCGCTAGATATCAGCGTTTCCCCTTTATGCAACCGATCGTGGCGCACCACCACGGTTAAACAAAAGCCGCCACACTTTAAAAACGAGTTTTTTTCTTAAGTGGATCTACCTCGGACTCGTGTATCAGTATACACGTGTGCATTGGAACTCGCGTGCGCCGAGTATTAGCATTAGTGAGCTATCGTTGGCGATCACACGGCTGATTAATTAGCGAGTTATCGGACAAATAAAAACACAAAACTGATGCTTCAACTCCGAGCTAACTGCCTAAAGTGAATGAATTAGATACGGGGATGCAGGACGTATGATGCAGCGTTCACTGTGGCGTTCGCTGCACCAGCGGGGGGTTATTTGATTGACAGGTCACTGCATGTTTCCTTGAATGATAGCAGCGCCATCTTGGAAATGTGAGCGAGGAAGCTACGAAGAATACATCTATAGATCGAAAGGAGGAGCTGCTATTAGCCTTGCTACACAGTTAGCCGTGTCAGTAACGGTAGAATAAACAAAAGAACACATTAGTGATCGAGATACGAACTCTGACTGAGGCAGCTGCAGGTCTCCAGATGAGACCGGACCGGAAATGAAGAACGTGAGTTAAGACATGGAGGGACGCGAGTTTGATTGAGCGAGGGTTGAAAACGCTTTTCTGGTCCGAGTTTGATCAGTCGGTCAGAGCAGTAGCCTAGAGTGTATCTGCAGTATATAGTATACTGTACATACAGTATATATATATTTTTTATAACTTCATAAAAAAATTACAAAATTGTCCGATTAATCGTTTATCAGATTTTTTCCTGAGTGTTGGCTGAGTGTTACTTGACTTGACTTTAGGTAAACTAAAATAAACTAAAATGTTCATTTTTATCAATGTTTATTTACATTCACAAAGAACTGAACTGTTTTTGTTTTGTTTAATTTCAAGAGAATCTTGACTAAATTATTGAATTAAATACTAAAGGGACAAGTTTTAATCGTTATTTTGGTTAAATTTATCGTCATATTAATCGGTCAATAAAAAAATAACCCTTAAAATCATTGATAAATTAGTCGATAGATTGGTCGTCTAATCAGAAAAATAATCATTAAATTAATCGATAAAAAATAATCTTTAGGTGGAGCCCTACTGAGGGGTCAGTTTTTGGTTTGTGGACTTGAGAAGACCTGATCCTCGCCCTGAGGAACTCAGACCTGTGTGGTTTGTTTGGTTATATAATCCCACTTTAGTCCTCTAGGTGGAGCCACTCACTTGTAAAGCAGACTTCCTCTGTCTCTGGGGTTCATCCTGCCCCACGCTCCGGTTTCGTACGCCTCTTTGGCAGCTGCCACGGCCCGGTCCACGTCCCCCACTGAGGCGTAGGACACCTTACAGATGACCTGCAGACAAACGAGCTCCAATTAAACCTTTTTAGACGAGGGTCAGGATTTCAGGGGGATCATGTGACTCACAGATCCGTCAGTGGGGTTGATGGTGTCGTAGTTCTTTCCGTTTTCGGCGTCCTCAAACTTCCCGTTGATGAAGCACTGATTCGGCATCTTCACCGTCATGTTGTTCACCTCTTTGGTTGCCTGTAAAATTCGACAATCAACAAACGTCGACACCTTCACCCTCCAGATCTTAAAACCACCAAGTGAAAACCGGTGGACTCACGTAGTCGATGACCAGCTCCTCCTCCTGGTCCTCTCCTCTCAGCTTGCGGACGAACATCTGGATGAAGTCCTGGAAGGTGGTGGCCATGTAGACGTCTTCAGTCTGCAGCTGCACGTCAGGACACTTCTGCTTCACCTCCTCCACCAGCCTGCAAAGAGGAGCCGGGTCAGAGTCCACAGAGGCGGCTGGAGTATCAGACCTGAGACCCCGATTCTCTCACCTGACCACGTCCATGGAGGCGGCTCCGGACTTGAAGAAGTCTGTGGCGTCCTCGACGGCGGGGACGTTGCTGAGGATGCCCTTCCAGATGTTCTGTGACAGACAAAGACATGACGGTTTAGCTTTCAGTGATCTGGAGTCGATTCAGGCGAAAGAGTCATCGCCGTTTTACCCTGATCTCCTCCGCCATCTTCTTCTCGTCATCCGTCAGCTCCACGCTCGAGCTCTCCCCTGATGAGAAGTATTTGGACGCCGGGATCATCTTCCCGTCTTCAAACTGCAGGTTCTTCACCAGCAGCTGAGGGTCAAACACGGGGGCGGGGGGGTAAACATCAGGGACAGACATCCTGAAGGCAGACACACTCGTTTGTGTTCAGAGGTAAAGCGGGGACACTCACCGCTTTCCCGTCGGTCCCGTACAGGACCAGTCCGTTCTTGGTGACCAGGCCCGGCTGAGACGCTCCCTCGATGTCCAGGGGCTGACCGGCTGGGACCGACCCCCCCAACATGGACGAGCCGTACAGAGTGACGGACTGAGGACACACAGACGAGGTTAACACACACACACACGTTTCTGTCTGTCAGTATTTGTGCAGACTTTAAACTCCGAAACAGCAGCAGGTTCGAGTACCCCGAGTTTTATTATCGCGGTGTGACAATGGGATCATTCATGAGTGTGTGCGTGTGTGTGTGTGTGTGTGTGTGTTCCAGGAAACACACCTGACCGTTGATGAGCGTCCAGGCCCCGGGGACTTTGTCATGTCCTCGGATCCAGTTGTGGATGGCCTTTGCCGGCTGGGCCAGGTTGACCTGAGGGACAGAGAGACACCAGAGTCCAAATGCTGACGGTTCAGATTCATTTTCAGAGACGCTTTCTGAGAACCAGAGGGAAGCCCAACAGCTGGCTGCCACTCTGCGAGGGACACGTGGAAAAAACGAAGCTGGAAAGTAACCCTGCGGGCTAAGAATAGCGCGCCGAGACGTGGCCCGGAGAGACGAATCAGAGGGAGGCAGAGACCGGCCCCGCCTCCCGAGGCACAATCTGACACATTTGGCTCTGAATCTTCTGGACTCTGGGTAAATTTCCAGGCCGGTCTGTGAATGAAGGTGCTGTTGCACAGAGAGGCTGAAGCGGCAGAAAACAAGCCGTTTACTTTGATTATGTAAGAGTTTGGGCACAGAGAGGCTCTCAGTGTCCAGAGGAGGTCAATAATGAATCATATCGGTGTGCGGTGTCTCCAAAACCAACATCTGCTGCTGAAGGTCGTGACGTTTAGGTGTGGACAATAACTCTGCTGGAAAATACAAGATTCAGAAACACAGATTAACTCGTCAGAACACGTCAAGGTGCGGCCTCAGCTCTCTTCTGTATATTCAGGTCATAATTGACGATTTTCTGCAGTTCGGCTCAGTTTAGATCGAAGAGTCTAAAAACACACCGTTGTTTTACCTCACAAACTCATCACAGCCTCCATCTTTAATTTCTTCTGCTGTCACAGTTTAGTCAGCGAGGCTCTTCCAGCGTCTCAGTGAGGCTGCAGAGCGCTGCACAGGTATGAAACAAACATGATCTTTGAAGAAGATTTCTCAGGATTTCAGGAGTCGAACTCTGCTTATCGATGTTAGTCTGAGAGACGGTTCAGAGCCGTAACCAGATAGTTGCTCACAAAAACCCTATTTATATAGTCGGACCAGTCCAGGGTGGTACTCGTGCACCCTTATAACGTGTCACAGAGGCGTCACTCAGCTAGAAGAACTCATGGACAGATGTTATCATGATATTTAGACAAAGCTTGGAGTAAAACAACACCATCAGCCAAACAAAGGTGGAGCTAGAGTTGTCAAGTATCGATACTTATGTGCCGATAGCTGGTAAAGCTCCTGTTCATCCTTTACCTTCCTGTCTGATTAATGATGTTAGTCGAGCCGGTGGCCAGCATTAATCCGCAGTAGCCGTTGTTTGTTTTTGTTAGTAGCCATTAGACGAAGATTTGCTAACGTGACTCGAACGGGTTTTCTCGTAGATACAGACTGAAGCAGAGAGAAGTCGACCTGCAACAAAACCGAAGAAACCCCAGCCTCCTCCTCCACTACTGTCTGAGAAAGTTTGATCTAAAGTCTCCTGAAGCTTCAAAATAAACCTGGGTTCACAGTGAAAAAGTGATTGTCTTGTTTATTTTTTTATATTTTTCATTTTCTGATTTTTTAATAATCACATTTTTTTAATGATTATTTATCAGCTGTTCTGTTTTTCATGTTGATAAACTGATATTTTTTATCCCTTTTAAAGTATTTGTCATTTGATCCCGCAGTATCGAAAATGGTATCGAGTTTAAAATTTTAGTATCGTGTCAACCCCAGGCGGAGCAACTTCAGACTGTTTCTTCACAAACTTGACTGATTACTAAACTTACAACAAAAGTGACTTTGATCCACATCATTTTTTAACATACTGACGTATTTTTGTTTTGGCACTTTAACTCATTTAAACCGAGACAGCGTGTACGCATTTCAACCTTCCAAGCTTGGAGCGCAGATACGTCATTTTGTAACTTTCTGTAGTTTTTCAATCATTTCTGGAGTCGTGGCAAATCAGATCCTCATACCCGTCTGCCTCTGACAGGCTAATAAAGCTAAATAAAGCGACCGGATTCATGCTCGGATCTTGCTAAGTGCTTTATGAGGAAAGTAAACAATGACGGAGGCAGAGAGCAGCTTCGGATGACGGTGACGGCCACAATTTTGAACCTCCTGGGCCACAAGATCGTGATTTGTGGATGAGAGGAATGTTTTTGGACGACGAGGAAGAGAGCTGGTGGACCTCCAGTTTATGCCTCTTCATATTGAGGTCTTTGGTTCACACTATCGGCGTTTTCTGTGAGTGTTAAATGACTTTCGGTGAGCACAGACATGAACACATTTATTTATTTATTAGTTTTTAGTTTTGCTTTTGCACCGGCACTATCCTACGGCAGCTGTTTAACCTTTCAACACTTTATTTTTATATTTACATTTGTATCAAACAGACACTTTATCATGACTGACACTTTTTACAGAAAGCAAATAGTTTGTTTTTCTCCAGTGCAGAGTCTTTACTTATTTCATTTGAGTTTGTTTGTTCAAGGTTATCAATAATGTGATGAAGGTTCAGACAAACAAAAGAGAGTTATCTTGACCGGCTACACCTTGAGAACATCCACCTGCTTTCATGTTAGTGTCTCTAAACTCCGGAAAAAGTCGCTAGATTTGTCGTTCGGCGCTTTTTTGAAAATTAGTTGATCGGAGGGAATCTGAAAAGTTGCTAAATCTAGTGACAAAGCCGCTAGGTTGACAACACCGTGTCCAGCGGTCTGCGATTTCTCCCTCACGACTTTGTCTGACTTTGACGAGCTGAGGCAAGTTTGGACACCAGCATAAAGACTCGCTACTGCCCCCTGCTGTGAGCGTGTTACTAACGCTGAATCACCAAATGCAGGTTTTTAGCACAATATCAATATTTCACTTTTTAAAATGACCGTTGACATTAATATCATGTTGGTGCATATTCAGTATAAAAGCACAAAGGCCCGCTGCACTGCTGAATTGTGCTTCTGCAGAGCGGGGATGCTGACCTTGGCGTTAGACTTCTTCTGAATGCCCTCGTAGCTCGCTCCCTCTTCCGTCTGAGGAACTTTAGGAGCCTTCCCGTCAGCGATGAGCTGCACAGACTCCACCTACACCGGGAAACAACAGAGCAGCTCAGTCTGGGAGGTTCTTAGTCTTCTCCAGATAAGCTGGAAAAGGTTCAGATGGATGCGTGTGTATTTCACCATGGCCTTGATGCCCTCAGGGAAGAGGAAGCGGTTGTAGAGCGAGTCCACGGTGTCATTGGGCTCCACAGCGCACTCCCTCTGCAGCAGGATTGGTCCGGTGTCCAGCCCATCGTCGGCCCAGAACACAGAGAAGCCGGCCTTCTTATCTCCCTGGATCAGAGTCCTGGTGGCGCACAAACGCAGAGCAAAAAAATGTTGGAGCGGTGCCATAACACAGGTGTTTTTAGAGCAGGTGGGGGATTTAAAGGAAACCATAAACCTGAGTTAGTGGAGCAGGAGAGATAAGGAGGAAATAAAAGGTGAACGTGGAAACACAAAGACCAACACCGTCAAACTTAGAGTAACAGGCTGACACACTTTCATGTCACACAAGTAAAAACAGTGAACTACAGAGCATCAAAAGTCTTCAGAGTCTGATTCAGAAATGCAGAAAAGTCACAACAGCTGTAAACAAACAGAAGCCATTCATTTACTCTGAGTGATAACAGGACGCAGAGATAGTGGAGCGGGTGGAGCGAATACAAACTAGTGTGGGTAGAGATAAGAAAACCAGCTCGCTCAGGGGGGTTGGGGTCAAACTGAACTGGTTTAATCCTCCTGCTAGACGGACAGATAGCAGCAAACCCCCTCACTCTTCACTCTGACCTGAACCCGAGTCTGACTCTGTGTGAACTGCAAACCTTTAGCCTTCCAGTTCTTCTGCAGGAAATAACCTCCTTGTGTAACATTCACCAGAAACCATCGTAACAGCTGCTTCGTGCTGATCACATCTCACAGTAGACGGTCACAACTATCCATCCACTGTTCAGAAATGTGCTAAAATATGCACAACTGCAACTCACATTTACTTCCCTCAGCACTTAGTCAGAAACAAACGTTAGTGAACAGTTCAGGAGTATATTTCAATCCTTATAATACACCTGTCTTTAATATTTTAGGAGTAAATATTCAGAAAGATCATCTTCTCCGATCAAATATTGTTTCTTACATGTTCTGCAAGTATTTGACATATTTATGCTGCAAAGAAACATGCATTCAAAGACATGAGGGTTGGGTTATTACTATAGACAAGTTCCCACTACAAAACCGCACAAGTGTCAAACAAAGACGCCGACTCAGTTCCCTGACTGACTGCAGCAGCCGGAAGTCTCTCCTGCAGGCTGGTCTCTGCAGTTGTTGGTTAATGCGCAAAGTCTGCAGATTCTTTGACCACCTGCCACTGCCCGTTCAGCACAAAGTCCGGTTTTGATATGCAGCACGTTTAAGTCTAAAGTGATCATCTTAGTTAGTTTGATTGTTATGTGTAATCTATTCAACCCAAGAGGAAAACCTCACTGTCGTCATTCATGTTGGACTATAGATCCGCGTGGGCACTGAGCCAGAATCTCACTCTAAACAGTGATATCAGTGATCCTGGTGTTGTTGCACTTTTTGTATCCTGTCTGGGCATGTCCCATAAATCCAGGGACGCACAGATTCGTGTGCTGAAGGCTGAAAAAAGTCTGACAAACTAAAGGTGGGTATCATATCGTAAATCTAATAATAATCGTATCGTTATAAATCTTATTGTATCGTATGAAATCGAATCGTACTGTATCGTATAAATTATTATCGTATGAAATCATATCGTATCATATGAAGCAGTATTGTATCATAGCTAATTGTATTATATCTAATCGTATCGTATCATATGAAACCTTATTGTATGAAATCGTATCGTATAAAAATTGTATGACATCATATCATGTATGTAATCGAATCGTATCGTATGAAATTATGCCGTATCTAATCGAGTCATATGAAATCTAATCATATTGTATCTTATCGTATGAAATTGTACCAAATGTTATTGTATTTAATCGTATTGTATCGTATGAAATTCTATTGTATCATACGAAATCGTATCAAATCTTATCTAATAAAATCCTATAATTTATCCAATCGTATATTGTATTAATTTATCGTATGAAATCATAACATACTGTATCATATCCTATCTATCCGTATGAAATCATATCCTATCGTGTGAAATGGTATTGTATCTTGTATGAAATTGTATCGTATCATAACAAATCGTATCATATTGTATTATGTTGTATGAAATCTTAAGATATTGTATCGTATGAAATTCTATCAGATCATATGAAATCGTATTAAATCATACAGAATTGTATCGTATCATACTGGATAAAATCATAATTTATCTTATCGTATGAAACCGCATTGTATGAAACTGTATCTTATCGTATGAAATCATATCGAATCTTATATTATCGTAAAAAATTTTATTGTATCGTACGAAAATCCCATCGTATCTTATCTAATAAAATCCTATAATACATCAAATCGTATTTTATATTAATTCATCATATGAAATTGTTTTTTATGGTAATAAATTGAATCGTATCACATGAAATCGTATTGTATCGTAACGAATTGTATCGTATCACATCTTATAAAATCATATTGTATCTTATTGTATGAAATCGTATCGTATTGTATCTTACCTGATTGTATAAAATCACATTGTATGAAGCTGTATCGTATCGTATGAAAGTCTACCATTTCGTATGAAATCGTATCGTATAAAATCGTATTGTATTCTATAAAATCGTATCTTATCTTATTGTATGAAACTGTATGAAACTTTTAGGAATCGTACAAAATTGTATCGTATCATATGATATCGTATTGTATAAAATCGTATCGTATCGTATTGTATCTTAACGTATGAAATCGTATGAAACTGGAAGAAATCGTATAAAACCGTATCGTATCTGGGATCATTCCTCACCAGTTGATGGCGGAGGCTCCTCGGTGCAGCGGCAGGATGGAGGGGTGATAGATGATGGAGCCGTGTTTTGGGTTGTCGATGATGTTCATGGGAATGAACTGGGAGCAGAAGGGCATCACATTGAGCTCGGCGCCCACCTTCTTGTAGGCGTCCACCACCTCTGGGATGGGTTTCCCCTTTACTCGCCACCGAGGAAACTTGAACACGGGTGTCCCGTCTTTCTCCGCCGCCACCGCTGAAAGAAAATTAACCAAATTATTAACACAGGCAGGCAGGTAGACAACAACCAGAAGCACCCGTCCTCTTAACAGACCAATGGGGAGGTGAGGGGGAGGTGCTGGAGTTTACGGCGGGTTGTTTGATGTTAGAGCGGGTGAGGGGCGGGAACATGTGCTTATCAAACCAGCTGTGACACATCAGATTGTCATCCAGGTGATAACTCCCCACAGTGAGGGGGGTTGGTGTCCTACAGGTGAAACCGTCCCCCCTCCTTTAGGCCTTTTTGTTGTGGATCAGAGTTTGTTTCCCCGCAGGCGAAAATGCAAACAAATAAACAAGGATGTGGGAGTCTGAGGCTGCAGCTTCAAGAAGACCGCGATCTGATCCGGCTCGTCAGTCCAGTTTTCTGACAGGAGTGGCAGCAAAAGCCGACGTGCACGCACGGATGTAAGAACACACGGGGTGAGAGAGGCACAGAGGAGGCTGACAAGCTAACTCGATGTCCTCCTAATAAGAGAAAGACATTTCTAAATGTTTCAACCCTGTACAAATCTGAACATTTGCACAACATGTTTGATAATCATCTAAAGAACCATCAGCCTGACCCCTTACTCTTAATTCTCACAAGAAAATCAGCTGCTTGAATTTGCATCTTCTTGAGTTTTGCGCATGATTGAAAACCGTCTCAGAAACTACAGCGTGAGGATTTCTGCAATCTTCCTAAATATGCGTTTGGAGTTTTCCTGTAGGATGTTCCTGCTCCTGTTAGTGAAGGGTTAAAAGCCGACAGCTGACGATGATGGAGTTTCCTGGAAAGATTGCATCATACTAGAAAGCGCAGCCCCGGTTGTCAACTTTTCACCTCAGAACCGCATCTCTGGGCCGCGCCGGGCCTCTCCGCTCAGGGACAATGGAGGCACTATCGCTCAGCTCACACGGGATAAAAGCTCGTCATTGTGGGGGGAGGGGGTCGCGGGGGGGGGGCACGGCGGAGTCAACACAAACTTTCACAGCCACAGCAAAGGCCCGCGACGGACATCAGGATCATTAGAGGGTCCGTCTTCTTTGTGTACAAACCCAATTACTCACAACAATCAAATGTTGCACAACTAGATTGTTATTTATCTCTGTTTGGGAATGTAAATGTTTGATTTTTGGGAATTGTTTGAAGTTCACTTGAGATTCCTCTTCACTTGAACTCTTGATACTTTCTTTTGATTGAACACTTCAATATTGAATGTTCAGTCATATATATTTCTTGTGTGTTATATACACAATGAATTTCTATTTGTTTACTCTAAAGGTCCTTTCACACCGGGAGCGTTTTTTTTGTGCGATTATTTCAGACATCAATATTTTTTTTCAGACCTGTATCCTGTCAATACAAGCGTTAACATCAGTGACGTTTTCCCGTCCTGCGATATTACTGCGTTTATTTTTTCAGATCACGGTCGAATTTTCTAAAGTTTCGCATACTGTGTGTCGACTTCTGACCAATCAGATTTCGTGACCTGAAGGATGACTTGTGGAGAGTCATAGTGTCGGATCTCTCATATGACGATGGTTTGTGTGCTTTAACAGTTTGATAAACGTCTTTGTTTGAACTTTTATCTGTGCTAAGTAACTTTAGCTCGTAAGCTAACCTGTTCAGATACAACATACCATATGTATTTTCACTGTCTCAACCTCAATTCTACGTATTACTCAAAGCCGCCAGGAGGGTCACGCTGAAGGAGGAAGATATGACTGTAGAAAAAATGACCAACCACAGCTCTGCTACGACGGAAGATTTTGGCGCTCGAACTGCTCTGTCGCATCTTTCGCCATGGTAACTGCCACCGAGGATCATGGGAAGGCTGATGTAGCCTCCATGCATGTATGCTCAAAACAGGCGCACTCAAAATCAATAATTGTAAATAAGATTTATTATTTCGTTTTGTTTCCTGCTCTATTATATCTTCTGTTTTGAGCTGAAAACACGAAAACAAACACTAATCTTTATTTTTTGGTTATACAGAAAAACAAATAAACAAAATATTGACTTGTTTTTTCATTTTTCATTTACTAGATTGAATGGAATAATTGAATGGACGGATGAAACACAGACCGAAATTGGTTATGAGCATTTTTTCCTTTTCTCCTGGACAAAATCTCAACCATTTTTTAAATTGCAATAACTGTTTTTGTTTTCTTTTTGTTGTTCATTCTGTGTATATATTGTTTGAATACAAAACATAAAAAAAACATATCTTTGTCTGAGTATCAGTCAACCACACATCAGGCTCCTTAAGAACCAGAATCTTCTGATACAAATATACTTAGCCTTAAAGTAGTGTTACATGTACGTGCATGCAGCAATAACACAACTACATACTCTCCATTTTTCTACAGCTAATTTAATAAAAATTACTATTCTGTGCAAAAGCGGTCAATTCAAACAACCAAACTGAAGGACTAAACCCAGCAGAGGTGGAATAAACCGTTAACAGGTCAACCATTAGTCTGGAGGGAGGGAGAGAGAGAGAGAGAGAGAGAGAGAGAGGAGTCCAAACTTACCCAAAGGGTCGGCTTTCCCATCCTTGTCAGGGACCGTGAACACTCCTACCACCTTGTGTCCTTGCTTCCTCAGGTTGCTGTACACCTCCTGACCGAACAGACTCTGGCCAATGATCGCTAGTTTCAGCTTATTCTGGTAGTAATGCTGCAACGGAGCAAACACAGACACACTGAATACGTTTAACACACCTGCAGACCCATTTTTTACAGTGTTTACAGTCCTTTCCTAAAACAACACCCTCTATTCTTAGACCTTTAATACACAATCATGATAAATGTCTGAAAATGTCGACACAGCTTTTGTTCAGTAGACGAGAATTTAACCCTTTCTGACCAAACATCTTAGCAGCAAAGGTTACACAACAACAAAGTGCACACCTGACTCAGAGACACCTGCACCTGCCTGACTTTAACATGAGCGGTCAAAGACGTACTGCAGTGAGTTTGCAGAAATACAGATGAACGTGTGAGGAAGACGAGGGCGTCTACAGGCTGATGACTCCTTCAGATTATAGATTTCTATAAGTGCGCGTGACGATTAATTATGAGTGATTTATCTGATGCTTTAAAATAAAGTCGGATGTGACGACAACTTACGCAAGAACAGGAAAAATGTTACGAGATAAGATGCAGTGTTTTGTCCACAGGGGGCGCCGAAATCAACGCAAATCTACCAAAAGTTCCCTGCAGGAGTTTTGAATATTATAACCAATCGTGGCTTGTGATCCGATCCAGAATGGCGACGATTTTCTCCGTACGCCAATTCCTACCAGATCTGTTTGTGAGGCGAATTTCATGGCGGCTTACGGACAGCAGGAACCGTGAGAACTCACAAGAACCTGCGGATTCACGTGCAATCACGGGATAATGAGTTGTCTCTATAAAGACAGACACATAGACATATAAGCAGTAGATTGTGTCCTTCCAGAGGAGGAAATCTACTTCTAGACTTCTAGAATCAGCATCTGCTCATCCATGGTGTCATCAGGGTGAAATGCTGTCTAAAGTTATTTTTGTCCTTGTCAGGTGAAAGTCTCACTTTCTTTTCTCTCCTTTAACACTTTTTTATCTGAACACCTGTTGTGTTACTTAAGTCTTATGTAATGAATTTACAGTCTTAAAAATCCCCGATAATCAAAAATGTTAGCTCACTGTTTTATCTTCATCATTTAAAAACAGAATTGAATAAATGAGATATTTTGGTATTAATTTTCCTTTGACTGCAGACGTGTTTAAAATATTCGTTTCTGTTTTAAGTCTTCTACAGTATTGGAGACAAAACTTCCACCAAGGGTCCCTTTTTCCTCTTAATTTGACCAAAACTTTCACTGTATTGCAGCAGATGGTACGATTTCTGCTGACATGATATGATTTAGATTTAGTTAGTTAATAGTACACTGTCTGCAAATTTACTTCCCTTTAGCGGTATTAGAGGCTGTTTTCATCCACGAACTTTGACTTCTGTAAAAATATATCAGATTAATATTTTTACTAGACTAGTAATACAGCAGGCCTATGTAACGGGTAAATGGGTAAACCAGGTGATAAAAGTAAAATCACCTAATTCGATCCTTTCTGAACAGGGTTGATAATCCCGACTGTAAAAATTATGTTAATATAGCGCCGTGTCTCTGCATTCAAAACATGTGGTTATAATGGGAGTCAATGGGGCGAAAACAGCCACTAAGACCATCAAAGGAAGTTTTTAAAAAATCTGTTGCTGCACGAAAATTAAATATGCATAAAAACTTAATATGTTACTAATCTTTGACATATCCAAGACTGTGATAGCAGGTAAAAAAAATTCCTCTCCCCATTATATTTTATATTAAAAATACAGTAATTTTGTGTTTTTCCCCTCCAAAAATCAGTGACTTCATCTTCTAAATCGGCACTTAAAGGGTTAAGATCCTGTTTTCTTTTTTAAATATTTAGTAGTTTTGATCAGGACTGAAGTTGTTTAACAGATTTATGCAAAAAAATTAAAAGAAATATTAATCTGATATATTTTTGAAGCAGTTAAAAGTTAGCGGCTTTTTTTTAACGCTGTATGAGGGTTTAGTTTAGACAGAGGGGGCCCCATGATGTCTGGGCCCCTAAATCTGCAGGTCCGCCCCTTCCAAAGGTCGTTAAACCTGAGTCTTTGGTTAAAACCGGTTCTGAGAGACTCTATTGGCTGAGAGAAAGCTCTGCCCTCAGCCTGAGCAGTTCCTGACTCTAGTCTGCACACGTGTGTGTGTGTGTGAAGGGGTCTCAGGTTTCTCCTGCTCAGATGAATGGACCTGTCAAGTGCATGAGGCACCAACTCCAGGCTGCCACCAACTGCAACGGTTGCAAAACACGCGCACAGTCCTAGTGCCCGTTTCACGCTTTCATAAGGGTCGTTCGCAGCCCTGCAGGATCCGGACTGAGCCGAGGGGAGCTCAGGCTGATGCAACTCCTGCAGGTCTTGTACAGTAGAGGCCGGTTCAGTCTGAGCAGAGACAGTAACGTGGCAGCAGCCTGGTCCCTCACACACCAATGAGGGTTCAGATAGGCAGCAGCAGCAGGGGGGCTTTAAAGACCCAGACCTGAACTATGACTCACTGATCCGCAGTCAGAGCCGAGTCCGCTTCACGTCCCGACAACACGGCATGCATTTAACACTGAACACTGAACATGTAACATGTAAAACACCCACTTCTGTGATTGTCTAACAATGCACCGTAAACAGAAGAGGCACCGTCCACGCTCTGGTGCAGTACACGCAGCGTTACTCACGGACGAGGTGGAGAATTTCCTCAAGACTTGAGTCGCCGTCCACAACATGATGGCGATGATTTATTTCTAAAAATGTTTAAAAAATTAAAATAAATCCAGAGAAAGAGAGAGTGCAGCTGGTCACACACACACACACACCTTCCTCTGTGTGTGACAGTGAGTGTGTGTGAGGGACTGTGTGAGGCAGAGGAGTGGCCGTGGACCGGGATCACCACAGCCAGCTTATACTCGACAGCGGCGGACACACGACGTGCTGCTTGGAAATGGACGTGCGCGCTCACGCTGCGGGGCTCACTACCGCCTCGGCCGCGCGCTCACGCGTGGGAACTCATGAATCCTTTACATTTAAATCCATTTCATGACTCTGTTTTACACTAATTTAGTAAATAAAAAGTTATCAGTCGGTTTATCGGTTATTATTTTTTTAATTTCTATTTTTTAGAAATTCAAAAAGCCAAACTAAGACCACATTTATGCTCGTCTCCCTCAGTTCAGCTGCTGTTTAAAGCTCCTCAGTCGAGTTATTGTAGGCTTATCAAATACTTTAATTCATAATGACAGCTACGGTGGCCAAGAACTGCCACTGCTGCAAATAACAAAAGAACGCAAAAAAAGAAACTGAAGCCCGCCGCAGATAAAAAAAAAAAAAAAAAAAAAACACATAAAGTCTGCTGGAAATAAAAAAAGAGGCGATGCAGATAAAAAAACAAAAACAAAAAAAACAAAACAAAAACAAAAAACAAAAAATAACAAATCCTGCTGCAAATAAAAAAGGCGGTGCAAATGAAAAAATTAAAAAAGCCACAACGAAAGTTAACAGTACAAAAAAAAAAAAAGTGACGATGCAAAAAAGAAAAAAACAAGATTGATGCCTAGATCGTAAATTACTGGTGCGTCATTATTATCGGTCCCCGGCAGCTCATTTACGTTGTGGCTTTTTTATTTGCATCCTTTTATATTTGCAGTGAGTAACTTTTTTTTTCCATTGCCACTTTTTAACTTCAGTTGTTTTTTTTTTTTTTGTTAAATCTGCGCTGTTTCTTTTATTTATTTGCAGCAGGCTTTGGTTTCTTTTTTTTCTGTTAATGGTAGTTTGTTCGTTGATGACAACAAAGATGCTAAAATGCTTATAAATGCTACAAAGCTAACATTAGCATGACTCAGAGGAAAGGGTTACCAGACCAGACCCTGATCCAGAACCACTTTAAAAAGACTTTGCAGACCAGGACAAGATTCTCCCAGAGGATTGCACATTAGTGAAACATTTACCCTGCAAAAAAAAAAGCGATTCCACTCGTTTGTACCAAGACCACTTGGAACAGGTCCTGATCTAGAACCACTATGCCTACACTTGTCACTACAAGTCTACAGACTTTTCATAGTTTCCTTTTGTATTTCAGACAGGTCACAGCCGGAAATAAGACTTTGACTTTTATGACCTGGTCCAACGTCCAGAGGTGGTAAAAACCGTTAACTTCCCCTTTGTTATTTTTTTACACATGAAAGTTTCCCTGATCCTAAAACTCAGATTTACAAAGTCTCAGACCCTTTAGAAAAACTGAGTCAAGATCTCACACATCTATGTAAAGCAGTTCTGGATCAGGAACTACTTTTTTTCTAACAGCTGAATTAAATCAGCAGTTTAGACCCAAACTTCATTCTTGTAAATTCCTTCATTTGCAGACTCTGTGACGTGCTTTTAAAATGCTTCTGCACAAGTTTTCTTTTATTGAATGTTTTATCCTTATTTCCCTATTTAATGTCAGTTTTTTGGCAAAGAGAGCTCTACCCTGTTCTCAGTTCTTACATTTAGCTTGAATTCTATTTACAATGTTTATTATATTGCACTAAAACACCAAGATACGCCCTAGAAACCTCGTCTCTCAGTCCTGTCTTAGTAAATCTCATTTCCAGACATTGAAGGTTATTTAATTGAAGCTAATCTATCATGTCTAAGACAAGTTTTGGCTTATTATGTCGACACCATTTCATATTTGTGCAAAACGACAGAAAACTAGTATTCAGTCAAACTGATTTCTCTGTTTTTGTTGAGGTGAACCGTGAGTTTAAACCTGAACTCTCCGTTAAAGAGTTAAAAATGCAGACCGTGTCCTTCTGCACGAAGATAAACTCTGAAGTTATTTAACTTTGTTTGTTTGATTCCTCTTCCAGAACTTCGGCTCTCTGCTGCATTTATCGTCACTGCACCTGTCCAAACTCCCACACACGAGATCTGACCAAATACTCATCTAGCAGCGTCCACACTCAACTGCCCTGCACAGGTTCAAGCAGAGCAAAGGTTCAGACTGTGCGCACACACACACACACGCACACAGAATTATGACATCTAAAGACGGCTTTACTACCTCCTCTGACCTGAAAACATTTTGGCAGGAACAGCTGTATCCACTCCTCTTCTTCTACGGTTATAAACTTGTTCATTAATCAAATTTTAATCTTCCTGCTCTGTTGCAACATCGCCTTGATGGCGTAAGTGGCTGCAAAAATAAAGTCACTTTAACTTTTATTACTGCATATTTAAGGGACACAAGAGTGCAACAGTGACTTTTAATACCTGTACCTGCGTCTCGAGGCGGGAAGATTCCTAATGTCAGTGCAGGTGTCTGTGCTTCTTCTTTAGTTCTTTTACCAGATTCAGTACCGGCCAAAAGTTTGGAGTCACCTTCTCATTCGATTCTTTATTTTCACGACTATTTACTTTGTAGATTCTCACTGAAGGCCTCAAAACTATGAATGAACACATGTGGAGTTATGTACTTCACCCTTTGCTCTGATGACTGCTTTAAACACTCTTGGCATTCTCTCCATGAGCTTTCAGAGCAGGAGTGTCAAACTCAACCACAGCAAGGGCCATAATCTGGATTTAAATCTAACCTGAGGGCCCAACAGGGTCAACATTTCACCCAAACTGTCGGCCTCCTTTTCAAAATATATAACAAAATCAGCGACGATTATAAACCACTTGGAAATTCAAAAAGTACGAAAGATAAATTTAAAGGCAATCTGAGATTTTAAAAAAGATCCACTAGATTAGTTCAAAAAATCAGAATAAAAATAGAGCAAATACATGAGAGGAAAATTTAAATCATAAGTTTGAAAGGTCAAAATATGACTTAAAATTTAAATCTAAATGATTAAAATGACATAAATCTAAATACTAAGTTGAAAAACGAAGCGCTAAATAAAAAGTCAAATCATGTTTGACTTTTAATCTTGAGATGCAAAACTGGAAAACTGGATAAAACACATTTTTCACGACATTCTTGACTGTTTATCAAATCTTCTTACTCTTTACTTTCCCAGATTTTCATGATTTATTAAGAATATTTTAAATAAAGGTGCTTAAGTTTACATTATTATCCTGGAGGAAATCTGCAGACCTCATACTGGTGGGCCAATAATAATACAAATATGATATGATCTCGTGGGCCTGATATTATTGTTCCACGGTCCAGATTTGGCCCCCGGGCCTTGAGTTTGACACCTGCGTTCTAGAGGTGGTCGCGTGACGTGGTTTTCACTTCACAGGTCTGCCTCATCAGGGTTAATTAGTGGAATTTCTTGCTTCATCAGTGGGGTCGGGACCATCAGTCGTGTTGTGCAGAAGTCAGGTTAATACACAGCTGACAACCCAATTGGACAACTGTTAAAATTCAAATTACGGCAAGAACCAATCAGCTGAATAAAGAAAGACGAGTGGTCGCCATTACTTTAAGAAATGAAGGTCAGTCAGTCTGGAAAAATACCCAAGTGGAGTTGCAAAAACCATCAAGCGCTACAACGAAACTGGCAAACGGGGACTGACCCAGGAAGGGAAGACTAGGGATCACCAGGAATCACAAGTTCACAGCAGCTCAGATCAGAGACCAGCTGAACACGCAGAGATCGAGCAGCAGACCCATCTGATAAGAGGAGACTGTGCAGATCAGGCCTTCATGGTCAAATAGCTGCTAGGACACCACTGCTAAGGAGAGGCAACGGGCAGAAACACAAGGACTGGACATTAGACCAGTGGAAACCTGTGCTTTGGTCTGATGAGTCCAAATCTGAGATGGTGTCTTTGTGAGACTCAGAAAAGGTGAACGGATGGATTCCACAGGAGGTCTGATGGTGTGAAGGCACACCGAACCAGCAGGGCGACCACAGCATCCTGCAGCGACACGCCATCCAATCCGGTTTGCGTTTAGTTGGACGATCAATTATTCTTCAAATGGACAGTGACCCCAAAAACACACCGTTTGGAGAACCGTTTCAGGTGACGACGTCTTGAAGCTCATGGAGAGAACGCCAAGAGTGTTTAAAGCAGAGCAAAGGGTGGCTGTTTTAAAGAAACTATCAATCAATCATCAATCAATCATAACTCCACGTGTTCATTCACAGTTTTGACGCCTTCAGTGAGAATCTACCATGTAAATATTCATGAATGAGAAGGCGTGTCCAAACTTCGGGCCTGTTCTGTACTTGACTTGTTTTACAAATCTTTGTGTCGAGAACTGATCGCTGAAAGACGTCGTTTCGATCGTCGAGACGCCACAAAGGATCCAGAGAGAAGCCAGGGGAGCAGCTGTGATTTATTGGTGAATCTGTTTCAACAACATCAAAAAGAAAACGAACAGTAAGAGCACTGGTGGTGGTGGTGGATGTCGCTCCGGGGCGGGCGGGCGGGCGTGGTACGAGCTCCCCACCTCAAACTGCTGTCTGCCTGAGAGATCAACCTGCTGTTTCTTTTTTCACATCAGATCCAAATTTTTAGAACAATCTGCCTCAAATGCGGGTCTGACCTCCTCTCAAAAGCGCGATTTGGACTGATAAAGTGCTGGTTTGTCTGGTTTTATTCCCCGGCTGCTGTAATTCTTCAATCACACAGCACAACAGCAGGTCAGGAGAAGAGCGTGTGAGCAGTTTACTGTCAGAAACAACAAAAAAACAGACGGTGGCGCTCCTGGGTGAGAGGCAGCCCTAAAAAGGCAAACTGGAGACATTTCCCAAAATCTCTGACAAATAATAAACTACAGAGAAAAGTCACTCGTAGATGACTTTTCCCAGGATAACGTGCCGGTGCTGGAGATGAAGAAAAAGACTCAAACTAAAGAAAGAAACACGACTCTGAAGTTTGTCCCCGAGAAGACGCTCCGATACGCCGTAAAAAGACCCGCCGTGATCGTTTTAACTCGAGTTTACTGCTAAAGAAATCTTCTACCTGCTTTACTCTCCGATCAGTGAAAGGCCGTCGAGTCTGTAGTGGAAAAAGTTTCACTAGTTTTACGAAGCAGCACTGGCACGCCGTTGTTGTTGTTGTTCAAAAGCCTAATGCGGTGCTTATCGAAGGAGGCGAGGGTTTCGGGGTTGGGGGTGGGGGGGCGGTCAGGCACCTTTTACCAGGACGTACTGTAGGACCCATGCTAGTGCGACACACTCTACAACAATTACAGGTGACAAGCAACAAAACGGTTCTCCCTTTTCACACCACGGTCCCTGCTGGAGCGAGGAGGTCACAGGAAGCGGATTCCTGCTCCGAACTGGACGCCGTCGCATATCCTGCAGGAAGAGAAAGAGAGGAAGAGTTTATGGCTAAGTTCACGCCGCAGGTTATGATGCACAAATCAGATTTTTTTGTCTTCATTTCAGACTTTTGGCTAAGGTGGATAAAATTTGAGTTGATAACCTTGAATACTTCGAAAGATTTGATTTCAGCTGAACTCCTGAGTAGGGTTGGGAATCGAGAATCGAGAATCGATGGGAATCGGGACTAAAACTTCGATTCTTCTGGTATCGTTCAAATATTAAAATTTCGATTACAAGTTTCGATGCCAGAGTCCGCCGACCGGAAGAAATAGCCGCCGAAAATCAACGAAGAAGAAGCCGCTTAACACCAACGAGGACGGAGCGTATGAGACGAAGCCACACAGAGAGAGAAAGTACGTTGCAACCCACAGCAATGCAGCCGCTGTGGGTTACAATCTCTCTCTGTCTCTCTCCTCTCTCTGTGTGGCTTCGTCTCATACGCTCCGTCCTCATTGGTGTTCGGCAGCTTCTTCTTCGTTGGTCAAAAGTTTGGCTAACTTTAGCAGGAAGAATGAGCTCTTATCTCAATGCAACATTAGCAATACAGTTATATCATGCAAAGGAGGGTAAACGACCAACATGATTAAACACCTCAGGATTCATGGAGGAGAAATACCCGAGTGCTCGTCTTTGACGCGCTTCGCCGGTGTTGTGTCGTAGAATGCACCCCTGACGGGAGCGCGGTTGAAAGTACACAACAAGGCGAAACAATCCAAGTTTTTCTTACCGTTGAACGGAACCTAAAGCGTGTGCCTTTAATGATTTCATTCAGGCTATTCAGATATGCCGAAAACAACAGCCCTCTGATTCGGAATATTTACTGTCCTGAGAATATTATGTTCTCTACATTAACAGCTTACTGTACAGTTTATATACCCAAGAACACCTTTATGTGTGCATTTTTGAGACACATACAAACAAAACGAAAGTTTACTGCTCCATTTGACATGTTGTCATGATCTAATACTCGTGTTTTTTTAAATATGAGATCATATTTCTTCCACTAAGAAGCTAATCAGTGGAGGGGAGGCATTCTACGGCAGGGGTGCATTCTACAGCACAACACCTGTCTTCCGCTAACCAGTCAGGATCAGACAAGTGAAACAATAAATGACTTCTGTCCTCTGCTAACTTTGAAACGGTAAAGAAATTGAACTGTGTACGGTGAGTAAACTTAAATATCCACCTAACGTTAGCCCTTGTACTTTTTCATAGACAAACGACCTGAAAACAAAAAATGATATTTATATACTGGTTGAAAATAGCCCTGTGAGAAATTCATAGTAAAGTTCTTAAAAAGTTAATAGGATTTAAAAATTCATGGAGAAGTTCAGAAATTTCATCCAAAAAGAAGAGCTCCGGTTAGCACCCTCATTCAAACCATGATTTTCTTTTTTCTTTTTTCTTTTTTCTTTTTGATATCCTGCCTTTTAAAAGAATCGAATTAGAGAATCGATAAGAATCGGAATCGAAATGAGGAATCGAAATCGGAATCGGAATCGTTCAAAATCAAACGATACCCAACCCTACTCCTGAACGACTAGGATGTGTGTCGCACAACCACAGGGCCTAAAATCAAAGAGGTGTCTGAGCGCTTTAACGTTTATCTGTGAGGTACAGATCGGCGCACCTGTCTCCGCTCTGCACTCCCATGGGCACGCAGTAGTTCAGCTCCAGCCTGGCGATGTTCCCCAGTCGCAGCACGATACCGGCTCCGTACGACCAGCGGATACACTCCGCCAGCTTCTGAAGGTGAGCGCGCGGACCCTCGCCTGAGAAACAGAAAGAGTTCCTGTGAAGCAGAGACGCCTCTTTGTTTGTTTGGCGTTTATACTCAGTCTGTGTCGCGCTCAGCTGACCCACCGTAGTTGAGGTTGCAGAGGTTTCCTGCGTTGAGGAAGAAGTGCGTCCTGAAAAGGTCTCCGAAGCCCCCTTTTCCTGGTCTGAAGGGGAGCGGGGTGTAGAGGTGCAGACCACCCGCCCAGTACGCCTCTCCGCCCAGATAATCCCCTGAAACGCACATGAAGGGTTAAACCAAGAGACTATCAGACCTTTAGGAGTCAATCGCAGCGCCTACTTTTATTTTTTAAAACTCACAGTGAGACTAAAGTTTGAGTTTGAGTTCTTTCATGGCTCTGAGTTTGTGGATGAAGACAGGAAACATCAGGAGACATGCAGCGAGGATCTCCTGCTGGGATCCATTGGGGAACGTTGCATTTCTGTGTTTCCTGTCTTAATCACGCCGCCATGACACCCGTGTTTAGGTTGTTTTCAGGTCAGTGCTGTTTCATTTACACCTACAGGGAGGGACCAACACACTTCCTCGTCGTGTCACCCACCTCCTACGTTGGGTCGGTTTGAGATCCAGGTTTGGGGTGCAGCAGGATGAATGAGTGAAATTCATGCAAATCAACTTAAATGGAAAGTTTGATGCAGACAGTGAAGCTGCAGTATTTATATTTGGGTTTAAAAACGACAAAAAAATCAGAGTTTTATTTTGAAACGAGAACGAAAACAAACAAAATCTTTTTCTGTTTTTTAGCTTCATGATGAGAAGTTTAAAAAACTCCGATATGAGAGTCCAGACCTGCAGGAAACTTTCATTAAACCTGCAGCTGAAACTGTATTTTCATGTTTTTTCTCACCTTCGCTCTGTGGCCCGATGCTGTACATCCCAAACCCTCGAACGCTGGTGGGACCGCCGAGGTAAAACCTAAGAAAACAAACTTGGATTAAACGTTCGCTCCGAGTTTCTGCAGAATCAGAATTTAACTAAATTTTCAGATGACGTTAAAACATCATGAAGGCGTACCTGTCGGCGATGCAGGACGGCTGTCCTCCCATTGGATAAAGCGCCCCGCCCCACAGAGACGCAGACAAGACCTGAGGAGACAGAGAGTGAGCGGACAAACTCATCCTGTGCTGCTCTGTCGCCCCCTGCTGGTTTCTTGATGCAAATGAAACTTTAATGCGACTCTAAAAACTACAAATAGATTCAGTTTGCAAAGATGAAGTTGTACTCGAGTCGCCCTGAGGGGGTTGACAGGAAGTTTAAGAACAAAAACAACCACTAAAGCTCAGCTGATTCACAGTTTTCAGACAGACTTCGGTTAAACACGGACTTCGGCGAGTTTTTTTCTGTCTTACTGAGTCCCAGAAGAGTCGTCTGTTCAGCTGCAGCTCGAAGTCTTCCTTCAAAAAGCTGGCGTCTCCTCCTGTGTACCCGGCCAGCTCCTGCACGGACAAACAAACAAACAAACTCGTCAGTGAAATCTTTGAGCTGCTGCGAAAAACGAGGAACCAGAGAAAGGATGACAGGATTTGTACACGCCCACACACACTCACCTGGTTGATCCGCAGTAAGGCACCTCTGCTGGGGAAGATGGCCGAGTTTCTCGAATCGATCGACATGGTGTGCTGCAAACAAACACGACAGGAGCTCATGATACCGTAACAGGAAACAGATTAGACGAATCAGAGCGGGGGGATCTAGATCTGGTTTTTACCGAGAGGGCGGATTTCAGCGAGTGTCCGCTCTCCTCTCGCACGGCGAAGGAGGCGCTGCGAGCGAGGCAGCCGAGCTCCCTCCAAACGCCCTCCCACTTCAACGTGTGGTTAGTCACCCCCAGAGGAAACTGCAGCGGGACAGGAAGAGTCAGAAACGTTTCGTCTGTAACTTCACCCTCACTCTCTCTGAACACACACTCAGCCTCTTACGTTGAGTTCTGCAGACATGCCCCTGTCGGTCTCTTTTAAGGAGCTCCATGGGAACTGACCGGTGACCTTGTAGAGGTTGAGAGTGAGGCTGAAAATGAGGGAACAGACAGAGCAGCATTAAAGGAGAAACATCCGCGTATTTGGACCGTTTTTATTTTTACTAACTAGACAAAAACACGACCTCAGAGCTGCAGGTTTCACCTCTGCTCTTCTTTTATGGATTTATTTCACTCTACTCAGACACAGACGGTGGGAGTCGAGGGTTCGAGGAGGTCAGGGGTCGTGCGTCTCACTTACTTGCGCTCAAAGTGTCCCGGCTGAGGTTTGAAGAAGGACAGACCGTATGACGTCTCCTTCGTCCCGTAGGAGAACTGGAAGGTGAGCTTCTCAGCTCGACCCAGCATGTTGGGCAACTTCACACCGAGTACCTGTCGGACGACATAATAATAATAATGACAATTCATTTTATTTATATAACGCTTTTCATGATACTCAAAGACACTTTACATAAAGCACACATTAGAATATAGCAATAAGAATAAATATAAATAGGTAAAATAGTCACACGTTAAAAGCAGTTTTAAAAAGGTGGGTTTTCAGAAGGGATTTGAAGGAGGGACACTCAGTGCAGAGAGTTCCAGAGGGAGGGTGCGGCAATGGAGAAGACCCTGTCCCCCCAGGTTCGATGAGTCAGGGTGCTGATGTAGGAGGGGGCCTGATTGTGAGGAGCTTTATGGGTGACACACTGTCCATTTTTAAAAGTCGTCTTAAAACCCATTTTTATTCATTGGCTTTTAACCCTGCATGAGACTCGGCTCCTGTTTTAGTGTTTTATGGTTTGTTTTTAGTTATTTGTTTCTATGTTTTTAAATTAGTTTTTAAAAACATTGAAACTATACTTTTAATTCTGCTTTTATTTTATCCATTATTTTAATTGTTTTTTTGATTGTTTTTTATCTTGTTGTTTTGTCTAGTTATGTACAGCACTTTGTACAGCTGTGGTTGTTTTAAAGTGCTTAACAAATAAAGTTGAGTTGAGTTGAGTTGAGTGAGGAGAAGGATTTTGAAGGTGATACGGTGTTTAACAGGAAGCCAGTGGAGATTCTGGAGGACAGGGGTGATGTGGTCTCTGGAGTGGGTGTGGGTGAGCGGGCGGGCGGCAGAGTTTTGGATGGTCTAGAGCAGGGGTCACCAACACGGTGCCCGCGGGCACCAGGTCGCCCGCAGGCCTATTCTAAAAATAGCACAACTCAATTGTGAGCTGCGTCTAAAATTAAATTTTATTCTGTTGCTATTCTTTTTTAATCACACTTGCATTCATATAGATTTGATTTAAAATGACAATATCTTAAAAATAAGTTCATTATATATTAAGTTTACAGAGGATTAGGTGAACTCTGACCTTCTATAGTTCAAAGTTCAGTACTGTGCACGTGACAAAACAAACCCGGTGTCCGTGGAGAGTAAGCTTAGAGATCGGCGCAGAATGCAGTTTCTTACCCCGAAACATGGCAGAAAAAAGAAAGAAAACGTATCACTTTCACAGCGAATGGGAGGAGGAATTATTTTTTACGACTGTAAAAGAAACCTGTGTGTGTCTGATTTGCGGGGCAACTGTGGCGACGGCAAAGCGGCAGTGAAAGTGAAAATTCCTATGTAAATGCAGTGATGTACTTTAAGTGATCATCTGAAAATTGAACAGTTGCTGAGATAAATAAGGTTTAAAGTGGTGGATATTGATATGTTTCCCATTTTGCTGTCATTGTTGTGCTAAAATTTATTAACCTGATCAGTGTCTTCACATAGATAAGTACCATTAATGATTATTAATTAAGTATAACTAAAAGCATATTGAGGAAATGTATTATTTCAGAAGAGTGTATCAAACTGGTAGCCCTTCGTGTGACTCAGCACCCATGAAGTAGCTCTTCGTTTCAAAAAGGTTGGTGACCCCTGGTCTGGAGTTTTTTGATAAGTTTGTAAGATGAGCCGTAAAGGATGCTGTTACAGTAGTCCAGTCTTGAAGTGATGAATGTGTGGATGAGGGTTTCTGCAGGGAGAGTGATGTAGACACAGCTCTGTGATTACGACGGTGAGAAGTTTGGATCTAAAAGTCCTAAAGGTGGGAAAAGTTTCAGATCTGCTCCTGTTCAGTCTGGACCACTTTAGTCAAAGAGGATCATCTGTTCTCATGCAGTTAGTCGTATTCTGCAGTCTGACGGCTCCATGTGCATGAAAAGCCAAGGCGGGGAGAGCATCAGCAAAGAAAGAGGAACAAACCAGACACAGAAGGAGAAGGAAGAGCACGGAGACTGGAGCAGTTTCAATCAGCTCGTCTGAACTAACACCAAAGCTTGAGGGATCTCAGAGATGGCGCTCCCTCTCCTCTGCACTCCGCTCTATCCTGAGCTGGAAATGTGACTGTCATGAATAATAAATGTGCGGCTCTCTCACCATGCTTCCTTCATTGTTGCCGACCATAGTGTTGTAGCTTCCTGTCAGCCTCTTGACCTCTATCACCTCAAAGGTCACGTCCAGACCGTTTGGCAGAGCGTCTTTACCTAAAGAGGAGGAGGAGGAGAGACACATAAAGGTCCATCCACACGATCACAACAGTTCAGGTAAAAAGAGAGAGCGATGTGATCCTGTTGGGACTGTTTTACCTTCAGATGTATCGATAAGAACCTCCACCTCCTTGAAGATCCCGAGGCGGAGCAGCCTCTGTCTGGCCACGTGAGCTTTCTTCATCACCTGTAACCACGACAGAAACACACCTCAGCGCTCAGGTACCCTGGTATGAACCTGTGACGCCGTAAAGTGCAGAAAATCCTGAATACGTACGTCGATCAGGTTTTTGGCGTTGAACACGTCAGAGATCTCGTAGCCGAGGAGGTCCTCTTTAGTCCTCCCCAGACCCTGAATGTTGACGTGTTGGACCACCACCTGAGAGTGAAGACATTTGACAGTTTACATCCAAACCAACCTTCAATTAAATCAATTCAAACCTACAAACTGTTTTTTTTTTTACAGCACTCACATCTTTGTTCTCCAGGACCTCCTGCTTGCCCTCCTGCTCCATCTCCGGAGTCTCCACCAAGTCATCAGGGTTCACCCCCAAGTCCCGGCCATGCATCGGGAGAGGATCCAGACTCTGCATGAACGATAAGAGCAAAGCTGTGAATAATAATAACACAGCAGGTCTGAGATGATGTTCCTGTGTTTTATTTTATCTCACAGGACGGTCAGTCAGGAGAGATCTCAGTCAGACGTCGTTTAAAGAATTCAAAAACTTTTACGCTGACTAAAGCTGCTGTGGAAATCATGTAAAACAGGCCCCAACGATGCAGAAATGTAAACTAAGAGCCTAACTGGAAATTTAAACTTCTTCAATACGGCAGGACAATAAAAAGTAGGGGAGAGTGGGGTAAGATGAGACATTTTTTATATTTAGATCACTACATCAAGTCATTCCTAGTTTTGTCTCTAACTCCTGTCTCTGCAGATATTTCAGGAAGTGGTCTCCAGTAGGTAGGAATGCCCAACCATATTAACAGTAACTCTCCGACTCTGGTTGTTTTTTTACAACAGCAGTGATGTCGCCATAATTCGGGACAATGTCACACAATAAAAATAACCATAATGATTTTTCCATCCTGTTTGTGAAATGTAATCCTACATGATCTGGTTTCAATACTGCGTCGGATTTTTCAACCATAGAGTGCGAAATTACGGGCATAGTTGCTCGTTCTCCACTGACTCGTGTATTTTAATTATTTCGGACGTCAATATTTTTTTTCAAACCTGTCAATACAAGCGTTCACATCAGCGGCGTTTTCCCGCCCTGCGATAATTCGGCATTTATTTTTTCGGATCATGGTCGATTTTTCTTAAGTTTCGACACTGTGTCCACTTCTGACCAATCAGATTGTGTGTTGTTGCGACGTCTGATTCACCGGTATATCCAACATGGCGGACCGGCTGATTGTTTATGATCGTTTACACAAACATTACAAAGATAACGACCTGAAGGATAACATAGCATCGGATTTCTCATATGACGATGGTTTGTGAGCTTTAACAGTTTGATAAACGGCTTTTTTTTAACTTTCATCTGTGCTAACACAAGCTAACGGTTGTTAGCATAGTTTCATGTGTTTATCTTATCGCCTCTGATTGGCTGACAGTTTGGCTTGAGCGTGTGATGACGTTCCAAGCTCTTCTAGCCAATCAGAGGTGATGGAGGCGGGACAAAAAGTCTTCCCCGGGATGCGTCTCTTCCCCCCCGGAAAGTCGCAAAATCGCATCGGGCTTGATGTGTATAGTCAGGCGCGTCAAAATCGCTGAATAAAAAAAAAAATACGCCACTGAATATTTCGGAATTTCACGATCTTTATTCGCGTCAGCCCTGGTGTGTAAGGACCTTTAGAAGCATCTAAGTATATTATGTCTATGGTCATCACAGCGACCCTCGGCAACTCTCCCGCCGAATGCGCACAATGCTACTGCGCAAGTGGTGGAGTGCGTAAAACGCTTCTGCGCAATGTTGGTTTCAGGAAATGGAGAGAAAACGCGGAATTCCTGAGCATTTTTTGGCTTCAAAACTGGCGAAAGGTGGAACCAAGTTGTCCATGCAGTTTATGTTGTCAACTTGACCACTAGTCAGAGACTAAACTAGGACTGACTTGATGTAGAGATCCAAAGTATAAAAAAAATGTCTCATCTTAGCCCACTCTCCCCTATGTAAGGCGCATTTAAAGGGCAGGAGAGAAAGGGCGGCACGGTGAACGAGTGGGCCTCTAACAGCAGTGTCTGATCTCCTACGACCAGTGAATGTCTCTTCACCTTACACACGGTGAGAAACTTCAGACGAGAGAAGACCATGAAGTTTGTAAGGTTTGTGAAAATGACTTTAATACGAAGTTTAATTCAACCAAATGCGACTTTTTGGTTGTTTTAAGCTCATGAAAATTAGTGTTTTATTATTACATTTTTCACAGCTTCTGGATAGTTTAATAACTTAATGTTAAACGAATTTAATCGATAAAAACTGAATCCTAAAAAGCAGTTTGTGTGAAAACTCCACCCGGCCTTTATTCGCAGCATTGTCTTTGTGTAGAAATCTGAAGGAGAGTTACATCATTCTCAAAGATTTCCAGTTTTAATCAGATTCTCCTTGTTCTTCTCTCCTCATTGTTCGTCTTTATCAGTCAGTGAGTCTCGGAACATCGAGTCCAGGAGAGTCTGCAGCTCTCAGGGAGGTCATGCCCACTAATCCACGGAAAGACCACCTGTCCGCGAGAAAAACACTTTACCTTAGCATGGACAGTCCCCATGGTCACTACCCGCTCCTTCAAACCGCTTCAATCCGGATTAACTGCTCTGCACACCGGGGAAAACAGGTAAATGACAGCGGCTACTTTCTCCACTACCAAGCCCCCTTCACGGGAGACGCCATGACAGTTGGCGAGGTCTCGTGGTGCGTTCAGGTACACCTCCTAATATCCGTCAACTCTACCTGTCGTCTTGCGTTGTAGTCTTTATCCCGTTGACTGTCTTTTTAATGCCGTTTTTCTTACGTAAAAGAACTTCAAATGCAGATAAAAGATAATATTAGGAAAAATAACCAGAAAAGAGTCTAACATTGAGCATATTCCTCTTTCATTATCCGTTTTACCGAGTTAGGCTCCTTCGTGAATGCAGCATTTGCTATAAAACAAAGCAGAGAAACATAAATGGTCGTAGCAGAAATGTTTCAAACGTTTTTAAAGTGAATTGTTTCCGATTTACTGAAGCCTGAAAGCGTAAAGAAGTAAAGAAGTAGGATGCGGCGGCCAAAATCTTCAGTTTTCGTGCCCATGAAGGCATCACCCTGACTCCGCGACGTGATTGGTTAGAATGAGATTGTGCTGAGGTGGGCGTGGCAGGGTCAGCATAGTCGTACATAAGTTCTCCAGCAGATGACGCTGTTAGCCCTCTGCGGCTGTAACCGGACAGGATCTGAACGGTATTTTCCGTTTTTTAAAATGAAATCTCATCCGCTCAAAACAACTATTACAACAACAACAATAATAATAATATTATAATTATTATTATTATTATTATTATTTTATTATTATTATTATTATTATTATTATTATTATTATTATCAAAAACTACTATATTTTAACACCCTGTTTTTGATTTTAAAAGCTGAAAAGAACCACTTAAATTTGCTTTTTTTAATCAGGACCTTTTGTCTTTGTCAGGAACCTCTATTTCAACAAAAAATTAAATTAAAAATTAAATTGACTAAATTTATAAAATGATCTTACTAAAAATTATGGCACTCGTCGTGTTAATGTCTAATAATTATAGCAAAAACTGAAATCATAAGTGCACTGATGGCCAGATCCTCTTTCACTCATGTGAGATTTAAGAAATTCTCATTTTTCCATGTTTTTCCATGTGACATTAATTCAGTATAGATGTCTGTGTGAGGGGTATACTGACAAAAAAAGGTCCAGAGGCCACCTACAAAAACTATTATAATCAATATTTTCATGGATAATGAAGCCAAACAAGGTAACCTAGAGATGAGAACCAAACTGGATAATAGAGAATTGTTTTTAATTTAATTTACAGCTGATTTAAGACACGGGTCAAAACCAACCCTTAACATGGTGGGTGTGTAGTAAAAGCTAACACAGGAGGAAGGGTAAATAAAAACAATAATGTAATGCATGACAGAACTATGGTGCAACAGACAGTTTCCACACTCAATGACTTTTACATATGATTTTGAGCCTGTGCGGTGATTCCCACTCCAGAGTGCTGTCTGTTTTTAATGCCCTGAAGATCAGGACCATCCAGTCCTGGTTTTGGTCCTGGTCCCTTTAGTACAGAGGTTTCTCCAGATCCTCCGAATCTTTGAATGATGGACTGTAGATCAGTGGTTCTCAACTAGAGATACAGCTCCTTTCAGATGTCCATTTTTACCTCCTCTGCTGTTGTGCAATGCAAAATAGTTGTCAAAGAAAAACCACTAGGTGGCAGCATTTCTCAACCCTGAAGCCCATCTCTGATTTGTACAGCCTGTCCTCTCTGAGCAGATGGAGCCGGTTCATGTTTAAGGAGAGCCGTCATTGTCTGATCTGATTATAACACAAGTCCTCCGTGTCTTACATGTTGTTTTCAAGCTCTGTCCTGAGGGTTATTTAAGTCGTATTGGGAGGATTTGATGAGAACCTGCTTTAGTTTATGTTATTGATAAGATACGGTCAGATATTGATGAGATCGCTCATTTAAAAAACAGCTGAATCTCTTTTATAAAACACACCTTTTTTGGTGTTTGGTCCTCTAAAACCGGTCACATGACCTCTCAGCACAGACAGTTTTAGACACGTCTTTAATATGGAGGCCCTTTAATTCTAAAAAAGTGTTTTTTTCTTTTGTAACTTGTCTACAACTTGTGCAAACAAGATAAACAACTTGACAACTTGGTCCTACAAGATAATTGTAGAGTACCGACACAATGCTGACTCCAATTAGAAAACTAGATCTGACACACAATTAAACTTCAACACCAACAATGCATTCTTGTGGGAATAAGTTAATATCTTGTTTACGTATCTGTGCAAACAGTTTATGATTCTGTGAGAAGTTATCTTGTGCGCACAAGTGAATGGGAAGTTTATCTTGTTCATAATTGTCTTGTTGGCACAAATTTATTGTCCTCTGGCTGCGATTGTTATCTTGTGATAAATATTTCATTATCTTGTTCCTACTAACCATTATCTTGTTTGAAAAACTTAATATCTTGTGTGCACTATAGAGCTATCTTGAGAGAAAAAAAAGTTAATATCTTGTTTGCACTAGTTGTTATCTTGTGCACACAATGCGACTATCTTGTGGAAAATAAGTGATTATCTTGTGCAGTCAAAAGTATGCTGTGCACACATTAAAATAATCTTGTGCGCAGATCCAATTATCTTGCAGGATAAAGTTTTTTATCACAAGCTGTTATCCTGGGGGAAATAATTATCTTGTTGGAAGAAGATAGGATCTTGTCCACACTCTACTGCTGTCTTGCAGAAACAAGTTATCATCCTATGGATGTGATTATCATCTTGTGGTGAATATTTATTTGTGGGCAAGAATTATCTTGTTGCAACAAGATCATACTCTCCGCACAAAATACAATTATCTTAAGATATCAGGCTATCTTGTGCAGCAAAATGCTATCTTGTGGAAAATGGTTTTCTAAACAAGTTACGATCTACATTCAAATGTTATCTTGCTGCTCAAGTTATTGTACAGTTGGAAGAAGTTATCTTGTACGCACAAAATCACTTCTGGACCCACAACATTATTTAATTTTTATTGCAGATGTGGGAATAATTTAAAATTCTTCTGTGTTTAATATCAGGATTAAAAAATGTTGTTTAATATCTGACGAGCTCAAGTTTATAGCTTGTTGGAACAAAGTAGAATAATTTGTGGTCACATTATAATACTTTCAAATCAGGATCTTGTTCACCCAAGATAATTGAGGAAGCCCTCACTTTTAATATGACTGTTTAATGTCAAATTTAATTGTATTTTTTTCAGTGTTTATATTCGTGTTTATAGAACTGTTTCTTTAATTTATTATCTTTACACGAACTTAGACCTGAACCAGGTGGGCACGCTCATAAGTCAAACCCACGACACGTGACCTCAGTGTTCTGTTTGTTTTTCTTTCATCCAAACTAGGCGGTAAATTATCGATATATCGTGTCCCGCAAAAATCGAAGTTATCGATCGTACGGATCCGATCATCCCCATTATGAGGCTGAGCTGCTCTTCCATTAAACTCTCTCTCTCTCTCTCTCTCTCTCTCTCTCTCTCCTGTGCCGGCACACAAACAAGCCAATCAGAGGGCTCCTCTCTCTCCCGGCCGCTGCCAGTCCACCAAAAGCGGTCCACCTCCTCTCCTATCAGAGACACACACACACACACACACACATACACACACACACTCTCCCTCTCTCTCTTTCTCTCTCACTCACTCACACACACACACTTCCAATCCAAACCCCCAGAAAAGCCCTGCTGAATCCTCACACCGTCTGTCAGCATGGGGAGCGCTTGTTTTTCCCGGGACGTTTGTTTGTTTATCCTCCTCATAAATACTTGCAGGGTGATGGGGGATGTCGGACTCGCAGGTAAGAGCTCCCCTTTCCTCTCTGTCTGTCTTCGGCTTCGTTGTCAGCTCTTAAACGCACTTTTTTCTTGGCTTCAGACTCACCGGCTTCAGGGGGGGAAATGATGGAGACCTGATCGGAGAAAAGTACCTGGAATATTCCAAGAAATCATTTGGCATTTTAAAAACAGATGAAGTACAGTCTGTCCACCTCAAGATTGTAGTTGAGTCACTTGTGCGCAATAAAGTTTCTTTAATAATGAATGTTTGGTGGCATTAGAAACATGGAAAGTGCGTTTGATTTGAGGAAAAAGTCAAATTTCCCGCATCAGACGCTCATTTCGTGGAATATTAATTATCTATTCAATGAGGAAGTCTTTGCATAAATCCCGTTTTTGCTTCTCTTCTCTGAAAAACTCTTCGTGATGCACAAAGTGATCTCCAGCCTCTCAGACTTCGCTGCAACTTGTGCGTCCTGCGCGTAAAAGGTCAATTCGACTCGGAAACCGCAGCTTGATCTCGGGGTTAAGCGCTCATTTGCTTTGATTCTGCAGTGAGAGAGCTCCCTGTTTCCATCTCTCACCCGTCTGGAAAATGGTGCTAATGATTTAGCGGAGGTGGTTTGTGAAGCTGGAGCCGCTAGAGAGCACCTTGTGTCGGGTTTTGTGGCCTGTCCGCAGCTGGAGGAGGAAGAGAAAGAGGAGGAGGAGGAGGGAGGTTGAAGCTGTGCGTAAATGTGGGCTGAGGGGGGTGGAGGTGGCAGGAGGACCGTCAAAGTCCCAGGAGGAGCAGGCAGGCAGGCAGGCAGGCAGCAGGGGCCCAATATCGACCGTGGAGCAGCAGCAGCAGCAGCAGCACATTGTTCAGCCTCCCACCCCTGAGAGAGGGTGAGGAGTCAATATTGAGACAGTGCGCCTCCGTGTAGAGGAGGCTTTGTTCGGAGCAGGAGCGCACTGCAGGAGGAGCAGAAAAGAAGTCCTGGAGCTTCTCAAAACTCTAACTTGTTGCTCCTCCGTCTCTGTTTTCACTTCAGCTGCAGTGAAACACACACTCAGACTTTTTAAAAAGGAAAATATTTATTGTAAATTCCGTTTTATCGTTTATTTATTGCCTTTATAGGGCTGAGCCGGGCAGAGGGCCAGACAGAGAGCAGGGGCTGAACCACAGGCAGCTTCCCGCCGGGTTGCCTAACTTACACACACACTAACACACACTTACACACACACACGGTATTTATACACTCTGATGAAAGCAGAGGACGAGCAGAGCAGCTCTGCGGTGATGTAAAGGTCTGCTGAACGCTGCAAACGTTA